TAAAAGTAGCATACAAATTACACTTACATCGGCTGTGGCAGCTCCTGGGGATTGCTTTTATCCCTTGCAAATTTTGCGCTTTATTTTCGGGATTATTGCTCCCAATTCTTCTACATTCAAAAATGCTCACTGCCGAAGTCATTTTATTTTTGAAAATCACAAATGTGTTAATACCAGTACAAAAATTAAATTGAATTGCTAGATTTTTTCCACAAATGTAATGACAGCTGATTCGAATATCGGTTTTGCTTATCTCCTAAAAAGCAAAATCAAGTCGGTTTTATAACACCCCAGTATATGATAATCTTAATGAGTTAGAGAAAAAAATTTTGATAATTAAAAATAGTGCTATTTTAACGACTATAATGAAACAAAATAAAAAAAAATCAAGTTAAATTTTCTAATTGCAGCCGCCCCTCGGTAGGGATTTCTGTCATGAAATAAAACTCCGTTCGGAGGCGGCTTAGTATAAACTGTAAGTCTCTCCATTTGTTGGAAAAACCTCAAGATGCAAAACCTCAAATCGGAGGAGGAGCGTCAATTATATAGTATATATATTATATATAACAGATTTAAATGACGGTAGTTGAGATATTTCTTATTGTTGTAGAAATTTGTTACACTGGAGCTAAGGTGCAAATACAATAGTACTAACGAGCACATTGCTTGAATAAGATGCGAACGGAAAGTGGTGTCAGAAGAGTAAGCGCACTCTTGAAGACATTATCGTTGGCTCCTGTTCGCCAAATCACAAAGCAATATTAAAGTGTTAAATGGATTATCGGATCAAATAGACCGGATTAGGCAACAAAATGAAGTTAAAATGAATTGAGCGTTGTGTAAAAGATAAAACCTTCAAATTGAATAAATGTTACGCTACTTTCACTTAAAAGTAGAACTCATAACATGAATTTTTAGCTTTCCAATTGATCTAATTCGTAAAAGAGAGTTTGTTTGGTGTAATATTGCTCGCTCTCCCGCAGTCGTAATGATTACAGCCGCGGCAGCCGAGTGGTTCGAGTCCTGTTTCCACCAAGTTCCAAAAGTTATAGAAAATTGTATTGAAATAAAAAAAATTTAGCTTAATTCCATCTTAATTTTTTAATTGCGTTCGCCCCTCTCCAAGTGTATTACCGACATGTAATAAAGGCTCCTCATAATAACTGTAGATCCCTTCACTTGCCGGTAAAATCGCTTCAGCGGTTAGAAAGCTTTTATTTCATGTCGTAAATACAGTCGTAAAGCTTGACATTCCCTGCCGAGGGGCACATGCAATTAGACAAATTTATTTTCTTTAATTTTATATGTTTGGTCGAACCCGAATGTCGAACTGAATGTTAGTACACAATGCTAAGCATTAGGTTATTGCGGCCGCCAGATATTAAAGGATGATCTATTTCGTGGTTCCAAAATGGTGGAAACAAAATAGCAAATTCAAATTATCGAAAGAACATTCTTTGGCATTTCTTTTTCGAAGTTTGTCTCCTTCAAATATTGGCCGCGGCATGTCTAGAAAATGTCGGATCTTCTTAGAATTTTTCAAGAGATCGTAGGGCGAAGCGCTGTCCCTTAAGAAGGTCGAGCGTCTTCAGCTCTTGCATTTTGTATGCTTTTTCTATAAGACTGTACAGCTGCTGGCGTATACCGATGATATTGGCCTCAACAACTGCGCCGTGAGTTTTGCTTTTTCCACACTTAATGAAGATGCGAAGCGAATGGGTCTGGTAGTGAACGAGGACAAGACGAAATATCGCCTGTCATCAAACAAACAGTCATCGCATACGCGACTCGGCTCCCGCGTCGCTGTTGACAGTCATAACTTCGAGGTCGTAGATCAGCCCTGGGAGTCTTCGAGAGAAGTTTTGCAAACGATTTATGGTCCTTTGCGCATTGGCAATGGCGAATTATCTGGTGAAGAGTGATTGATCTGGATTCACTTGGTATTTCCAACTGGAGCCAAACAACGAAAGGTGGTGCCAACGCCAATAAAGAAAAAAAATTTAAGATCTCGACATAGAATGCACCAAGTAGTTCTATACGTCGAGTTGCTGCGAATAGCGCGGAAACGACTCTTCACTGCGTGCTGGGCGTGGTCTATTCGATGGAATATTATCCAATAATGAATGTTAGGCCTCAAGATGGGTGATGGGTGCGAATAGCACGCTCAGTAGGCCGATTATGTTGACCATAAGTTAAGCGAAGCGCGCGAAACACATTCCTTACGCAATGTAAATTTTCGTAATGAAGTTGAAAGATTTGTAAACGTTGTTCAGGCGTAAATCTTTCCATGATGAAATGACAAACAATACTGAGCAAAAATAACCTGAAAGCTTGAAACGACTCAAGCGTGATCTACCAAAAAAGGATTTTTAAAAAGTAACTCTACTTGGATCACCCGTTACCTACGATACAATTATACACTTAAAACTAATATGATTATCTGTGGCCTGGACTTGGGATATCCTAACAAAGCATACTCAAGTGGTAACAAAATATGTTTTTCTTTTTCTTTTTTACTCGAATAGTTTGACTTATGTACATATAAATGCTAGTATTTTGAGTATAAAATAAAAAATTAAATATCAAAATTCATATATTAGTCTCACAAATAAGATAATTCAAATATAAGTTTTAATACAAATTCCCCATGCTTTCGATCAGCAAAAGTGGGAATTGAATCTGATCTCATAGCTTAGTGTATGAACGAAAAAGAGCAGATCTTGTAATTAAAACGGTGAAGATAAGCATTTTTAGCTACCTTATCGGTAGCAAGGAATATGTAAAATGGCAAATTTGTCAAAATATCAGTTCGCAATGCAAAATGTAATCAAAACAACATTATCGGCCTTAGAGTACAATTACCCATTCCGACGACGCTATATATGGATGTACACATATACATATGTATAAAATGTCAATGACCGAAAAGTACGAGAACGCTAAGAAAATGTGGTGCATATAAACAAAATCCAGCTGTTCGTTATTAAAAGAAAACTTTTCGGAGTACAATTCAATCTACAGCGTTGAAGCACTGATTGCTTAAGCGAGGAGCGTTAGATCCTTACACAACTTTGGGACATCTCTTATTGCATCCTGCCATTGGTTTTTTTTTCATTTTGACATACTTGTACACATACATACAGCCTTGGCGAAAAGTATTAGGCACCTCACTAGTTACTGAATTTTTTGGTTTAACAAGTGAAGTAATGAAGTTTTATTAGTAACACAGTGAAAATACAATGAATTAGTGATAATAACGTTCATATTTAGTAGGTCCACCCGTGGATTTAATAACGGCAGCAATTCTCTTAGGCATGCTGCGTACAAGCTTTGCACATCCTTCCGCACTTTCAGCGTACCACTCGGTAATTAAGGCACTTTTTAAATCAGTTTTTGATGTTATACTGTGATACTTAATCTTGCGTTTTAAAATAGTCCCCATGTGCTCAATGGGATTGAGATCTGGGGACTGTGCAGGCCAATCTAACAAAACAATGTTGTTATTTCTAAACCAACGCATCGTAGTCGTTGAGCATTCATTTACTTGGATATTTTACAAACGTAAACAAAATGTTTTTAAAATAATTTTTATTTTTCATGAATTAAATAATTTTCGAACATTTTTGACACATATCGGGCGGTATCTCGGCCCCAACCTGACGATTGTTGGTTTTCAGGTGGTCCAGAGTTAAAGGTTTATCCGCATAAACACTGTTTTTTGCTTAGCTTCGAAAAGAAAAATCCAACGGTGTGTTAAAGTCATATTCGCTCGTATTGTGTGGCTCGTGGCATCATCTTGTTGGAACCATATATTGTCCAAGCTGTGTTTTTCGTAATAATATCTCCGAGCAAAGAACTCTGACGATCGGCAAAGACAGTAACAGAAGCTCTTTCTTGGTTTTCGAAGAAAAACATAGCGATTATACCGGACCAAACAGTCACTCGTTGATAAAGCGTTGGCTTTTCCATGGTTACAAGTAGCTGTCAACAATGTGACCAAGTAATCTTCTATCCATTGAGCGAAGAAAAATCGCATGTTCATAAGGATGTTCATAAGGCTTCAGTTCTTGTACCAATTGGGCTTTGTTAATAACTTTGAAGTCTTTATGCAAAATCTACGCATGGGAATGCGCGATATCTTTAATTCCTACGAACGGTATCGCGTTGATGTTGATGGGGCTTTGAGCTACAACAGTAATATTTTCCTCTGAACGCACTAGACGAGCACGTATGCAATTTGTTTTGTCCGATAAGAAACCGGTTTTGGGGTCTTGCTGCATATGAGTTGAGTTGAGTTGATGCGGCTGCTGGTCAAACCTCAGCACACTTAGGCCAATGAGCCCATTGTGATACCACTGAGGCTCCTACCTTCAACTTCTCAAATGATCGAACCATTTCGTGTGTCTTACAAAAGCAACGAGATTTCCAATGTTCACTGAGGTCAACTCAGCGAGGCAATCGAAGAAGTGTTTCCTAAGAAACTTGTGTCGCGCGGATGTCTGGATGGCTGGACAGTGGCAGAGGAAGTGCTCGATGGTCTCCTCCGCTTCATCGTCCCCACAGCGGCACACACTGATTTATAAACTGCCAGGGAACCAAAAATTTGAATTCGTAAACTTTATACAATACTAAAAATTTGACACATCGGGAATGTCATTGAAGATTTCAAAGTTCAAACAAACCTTACATTAGCTAAGAGTTTGGCAGTTCCTACTCCTTTGCCGAGTCTGAAAATTTTACTGCTCTAATTATAGCCGGACCACGGCAGAGAATTCAATCACTCCGAATGTATTTCTGATACTCTATAAAAGCTTCTCATAAAAATCAAGTAGCTTAGAATAAACTGTATTTCCCTCCATTTGGTTGAGAAAATATCAAGAGGCACAGCTCAAATTGTTCAAATAAAATAATAAAAGTTAATAATTCTTATTTAATTTATTCTTTGAACATTTGACTAGTTGCAAAATAACAATAACAAATTATGCATCTTAAAATTTTAGCGAGAATTATCAACTCCTTGCGGTACTCAAAAAGTGCATAAGCCTTGATCTACTCAACCATCACTGCAACTGTTACGACGATACAAATTTTTCCCACTTAAATTACTGCAGTATGCAACAAAAGATTTCATCCAATACATCAATTAGTGGCAATATTTCAACGAGCAGCTTCGCTAGCGATGATTCCATTGGGGATAACATAGTGGAGGAAGACGGGAGGATATCCTTAGCGTATGAGAATTTACGTAATATACCACGACGAGTCGCTGAAAGATTTGCTGCTCATACAAGATATTTAGATCTCAGCTATAACCATTTTCAAAACCTATCGTTTTTGTCATTCTTCGATGAGTTAGATACATTGATTTTAGATCGAAACTACGATTTGGATATAGACACATTGCCGTTTTTACCCAATCTCAAAATTTTATGGTATGTAAATATCATTTTTAAATCAATTATTCAAATTTAATTTTAACAATTTTTGTTCACTTTTATATTTTGAACAGGATTAATAATTGTAACATTAGTAATATGGCAGAATGGGTACTGCGAATACGAGATCAATGCCCATCATTAGAATACTTATCAGTAATGGGAAACCCTGGCATAAATAATGTTTTACCCTCCTCAACACCTTTAGCTAACTACGATGCCGGGCCCATGCCTACGCCTGTTACAAACGACTATCGGGAATACATACTCAAATGCCTGCCCCAACTACAGAATCTCGATGGAGAACCTCGAAATAACAAATTTCCAGTGGTCAATCAAAATAATTGTTTGACTTCTACCAGCAGCTATGGAAATAGCCAGTCAACATCTTCCATCTCTAATGATAAATCACCTGGAGAGGAAAGAATCAAGCAGATTATTCGTACGCTAAGTTTTAGGGATATGTTTCAATTAAAAAATAAGAGAAAAAAATTATATCTGAGCTCTTCTACAAACTGATCACACACATATACATATACACACATTCAATATTCAGTATCTCTCACGCATAATGGAGCATCTTTTTAACAACATTCGCGCATTTTGGACTTTTTTAAAATTTCACCCAATTCCACTGAATCCCTAACGATATAAGAATCATTCATATTTACATTTCAATGCGTACACATTTTTTACATACTTTTAAAAGTCATTACAGCTCGTGAGTATCATATGTTTTCAAAAGTATTTTAGGCAAGGTGAACAAATAAATGTATTCAATAAAATTTACATGACAAAAACATTGTATTTTGCATATTTTATTTACCAAAATAGTGTTTTCTATAGGAATATTCGGCTAAAAGGAAACACCAAGTAAACCTATATCTCAAAACTTGATCCCTCGAAAAGAATTGAGTTCACCCTCGTCCTGTGTTTCCACGCCAGCGGCTATTGTTCTTCCGAACCACAGCCTATTTCATGCTAATACAACTAATCCTTCCATCGCCTGCGGATCCAAACCCAGTGGTGTTTTTTTCGCTTTTGTTATCTTTTGAATCATTACCTCTGCATCGATTAACAAAGTAATCAAGTACAATAAATTATAAATATAAGGCCAAGAAAGAAGTTCGTTCCGTTAAATCTAAGAGATGGTGTTATTGTCAATATTATTAGTATTGGATGAGTGCATAAGTTCGTGCCCGATTTCAAGCGCAAGCTAAAATTGAAATTTTTTGAAGAAAGCGCTTTTATTAATCAATTATGTATTCGCCATCATGTTCGGCAATCCACTCCCAAAGTTCAACCAATTTACGGATGCCTGATTCATAGAAATCGAGAAACCGTTCTCGTTGAAAAAGGTATCAAGGTGGTTTTTGACGTCTTCCACATTTTTAAATTTTTTTCCACTCAAATTGTTCTGCAGCGATCGAAATAAATGATAATCAGAAGATGCAGTGTCGGGTGAATATGGGGGATGCGGCATAATTTCCCAATTCATCTCCTTCAGTTTGCCAGGGTCGGTTTTTCAACATGTGGCCTGGCGTTGTCATGATTGGAAAAGATTTGATTGGGAAATCATGCCGCATCCCCCATATTCACCCGACACTGCACTGGTAAAGATTTCCATCATGACAACGCCAGGCCACATGTTGCAAAACCGATTGGCGATTGGCCAAAATCGGACGTTTTTCATCAATTGCTTTCTTCAATTTGACCAATTGCTGACAATACTTGTTGGCAGTGATCGTTTCTCCAGCTGGCAAGAGCTCAAAATAGATCACGCCTCGGATATCCCACCAAATGAGCAGCAGTACCTTCATCGGATGCAATCCACCTTTCGACATCGGTTCCGCCCCTTCGTGTGCCTGTTTCCATGTTCTTTTGCGTTGAACATTGTTGTACAGGATCCATTTTTCATCACCAGTCACGAGCCGATCCAAAAAAGGTTCGTTTTTGATCCGTCGAAGCAAAGAAATTGCTGTTGACATACGGTCCACTTTGTTTTTTTCACTCAACTGATGTGGCACCCATGTATCGAGCTTCAAAGTGTACCCAACCTTTTTTAAACGACGAAACGCAGTTGATTTGTTGACGTTCAATTCACTGGCAACCTCTTCCGTCGAAATACGTGAGTTATTCGCAACTAAAGTCCTTAGAACATCGTCATCAAGCTCAGAAGGCCGTCCACTGCGAGGTTGATCTTCGAGGTTAAAATCTCCAGAACGAAATTTCGCGAACCATTTCTTTACTGTGCGGAGTGCTGGAGCACGGTCCAAATAAACTTCGCGAATATCTTTAGTTGCAGCGCCTACTGTTTTTCCTTTGCGGAATTCGTATAACATAATATGACGCATATGATCTTTTTCGTTGTCCATCTTCCATGCGTCTTTTCACTAAGCAACTCAAATCAAAATGAAGTTATTTTATGCTTGATTTACAGTTCGGACTGTCACCTTTCCAACGATATATAATATGTATATATTTCTTTCACGAGCGCCACTCTCAAACGATTCGAACGGCATCCAGCGGAATCGGGCACGAACTTATGCACTCATCCAATATTACGTGTCGTATCATGTCATACTATGCAGCGCTGAAAACGTGTTTAACAGTTAGTCTTTGACAGTTTTTCGATTGATTGACGCAGTACGTTGTGAGCGCTCGTGAAAGTTGGACACCAGCAAAGAGAAAATTCGCTATATTTTACAATTTTTCTTCGATCAAGACGAAAAAGCAGCCAAAGCCGCTAAAAAAGTTAGTTTAGTTTATGCGCCCGATACTGTAAACCAACTTGTAGCGCAAAAGTGGTTTGGTAGGATCCGTTCCGGTAATTTCGATGTCAAAGATGCACCACGCGTCGGGAGTCCTGTCATCGAAAATTGCGATAAAATCATGGAAATAGTGGAAACATGTAATAAAGATAACCCAGAAAACCGTTTGGAACCATTTGCATAACCTTGGATACAAAAAGAAGCTAGATGTTTGGGTGCCAAAAGAAATAACGCAAAATAAAATGATGGACCGAACTTCCATCTGCGAATCGATGCTGAATCGCAACAAAATCGACCCGTTTCTGAAGAAGAATGTGACTGGCGATGAAAAACGGGTCACTTACGAATACATCGAGTGCAAACGATCGTGGTCAAAGCTCGGGGAAGCGGCCCAGACGGTGGCCAAGACCGGATTGACGACCAGAAAGGTTTTGCTATGTGTTTGGTGGTATTGGCAAGGAATCATCTACTACGAGCTGCTCCCCTATGGCCAAACGCCAACAAATAGATCGCTTGAAGGCAGCAGTCATCCAGAAGAGGCCATCTTTGATGAACAGAGGCCGAATTGTGTTTTCATCAGGACAACGCCAGGACACACACGTCTTTGGTGACGCGCCAGATGCTCCAGGAGCTCGGATAGGAGGTCGTAATGCATCCACCTTATAGTCCGGACCTGGCACCAAGTGATTACCATCTTTTCCTGTCCATGACGAACGCGCTTAAAGGTGAGAGGTTGGCCTCAAGCCTATGAAAATTGGCTCTCCGAGTTTTTTGCCAATAGGGACGCAGCCTTTTACGAAAGGGGTATAATGAAGTTGGCATCTCGTTGGCAACAAGTTTACGAAAAAAACTGAGCATATTTGACTTAAATCGGACAAATGTACACAAAGTTGTTTTGAAAAATCAATAAAAAACCGAACGAACTTGACCTAATATAATTAAGATTTACCAAAGAATGAATATATGTATGTATGTATGTATGTAGTATAACAGTGTTAGAATCTCTTATGACGAACAGCTTAAAAAGAATGTATGTTTGATTCGTAAAAGTTAGGACCTACGGGCATAGTACGTTACCCCAAAATGTGCGAATAAAAAATGGTGTACATTCAAAGACGAATACCGCGTCTGAATTTCAGGAAGTTGCTTTCAGCTACACTAGAGGCAAATGGCTGGAATAATGGTGTGAAATATGTAAAGAAATCTTTTCACGTTTTCTCAGAAGATCCTAAAATGTACGAAAGAGTGGGGGCTTCAGTTTACTGCGCCCAACTGGAAACAAGGGAGTCGTATAAGCTACTAAGCCATTGCAGTATTTTCCAAGCCGAAATGTTTGCAATTTCATATAGTACGAAGTCAGCTGTATTCGGATTGTGTAAAGAAACGATTCAAGCACTGAGCGATTCAAACTGAAGTGTGTTCATTTAATAGTTCCAAGACCACACGGACATTGAAGGTAACGAGATAGCAGAGGAACTTGCTAAAAAGGGTGTCCATTTAGAACAAGAAGCAGCATCGAACCTTCCAGTTCCATTCGAGGAAGTGAAGACGAATCAAGAAGTAATACTACTGCGTCAGGCGAATAGTCTCTGGGAACGAGCTAAAGGCAGCAGAATCGCGAAGACTATGTGTAAAACATATAGTACTAGACTCACGAGGTTGGTACTATCTGTTAAGAAACCAGTCCGCTGATAGGACTATTAACGGAAATGCAAGGAATGCACGGTGACAGTGGAGCACGTAGTCTATGAATATACAGCCCTACTCTGAATGAAAATTCCCGGGAGATTTCTATCTTTCCCCTCTTTTCCTATCATAAATAAAAAAATTTGCGGTTTTTTTCTCTTTACTCTTTCCTATTCTAAGCAAAAATTCGAAAAGAGAAAAAATCCCCGGTGGAAAATGTTGGCATCACCAATTCAAAAATATTCGTATTATTTCCATATTTCCCGAGAGGTTTTGTCATGAAAGTTGTGTGGCAGTTTTTATGAAAAAAAAATAATAAAACAAATAATCGTATTAATGTTTTTTTTTTCATAAATAACCGTATTGACGGTTTCTTTAGATTAAAAATAACGATTAAAGTGCAGTTGCAGTTGATAGTAGAGCTGATGGAAACGCAACCAGCTGTAGCCAAAGGATTTTTTAGGGTAATAGGGAGGAGTGTAACCAATTTTGAGACAACGTGAGATGAAATAGTCGGTGGAAGTGTTGCCTGCAAGGAAGTTTGGATAGCAGGAGCACGAGACCTTGCAAAACGACGTGATATTTGCGCTGGTGTAGAATTTATCTACGATGAAGAAGAATACGTTGTCATTCCTACTCATTTGCTTCAGCAGCAAATAAATATATCTAATATACAATAGTATACAGTATCCATAATTCCAATTTAATTTTTCTTTTCAGTAACATTTGTTGGTTTCACCAAATTTCTAAATTTTAATTATACACAACCCTGCAGGAACGGGCTGATGAATTCAAGAATACACTCACACGATTTAGGGCAGCACTAACACATATGCACATTTTATGGTTTATCTTTCTCTTAACTCTTAACTACTTAATTTTTCATTGCTTTTTACATTGTTTTTATTTAAGGATACTTCATGTGGTACGAAAAATTCTGTTAACAGCAGCAGCACATCTCAAAAATATTCAACAAAACTTTGCAAGGGACATCTGCATTAAGATACCAATAACATTATGATTCGAAAATTATTTTTTAATTTTACTTAGATGTCTTTATACTTCAAAGGAGCTGCGATTATGACGGAGGCGTTCGTGGAGCTGCGTCATTATTAAAGACTTATTCTGTATATGCGGTTTTGCTAATAATATTTTGCTGATTTTTGATAACGAATTTATTATAAAAGCACTGCTGCTGTTTACGTCCATATTGTTTTCTTTTGGTGTCAATGCTGTTGCTCAACTGTGTACTGTTTGTCCGACAAGAATGACGAAAATGCACAAGGAAACGAAGAGAAAATGACGTACACGTATACAAATGTAAACATCACGTTTGTCATTTCGGCCTCAAGAAAGTGATAGGAAAATCGCTCTACGAGCTGACGAGATATGTCATCATGCATTCCCGACATATGTTGGCTCAAATGATCGGAAGCCTTCTTGCAGAGAATACAACTAATTAGCTAATTTCGAAAGGGAAAAAATCGTACTTCCTCCTTCTCCCCTCTGCATTTAGAATTGGCGGATTTTTTCTAAGGGGATTTCTAAATCGGCAAGAGAGAATATTTAGAATTGTGCTGATAAATATATATGTACAGATACTGTATTTACTTCCGATGTGTGTTGCACTTAAACCACAAAAAAAGTTGTGTTTATGTTACAGAATCAGTTTGTTGTCAGAATCAGAATTGAAACGGGCAAAATTCTGCTAAGGTTTCATTTTCGAAACCGAATTTGTATCGACTTTGTGTGTTACAGAAAATGTAAAAGTAAAATGCGAATTGCACTTACGTCGCCTCAGGCAGCTCCAGCGGAAAGCTATTAGCCCCCAAAAATTGGCGCTACAATTTCTCGTTCGTTTCTCCAAATCCTTCTGCCATCAAAAATGTGAGAACAGCAGAAGTCATTTTATTTTTATAAGATAATTTGTTAAAAAAAATCATAAAAAATCGGCTGAGTACTAAAGCATCACTCTACTTATTGGTGGAAGCCGCATGAAAAATACTTCAGTATCTGTTGTGATCGACAGCTATGGAGCTTTGTTTAATGATATGCATGGGTAACCAAACTAAAAATGACCCAAATATAAAAACAACTTCACAACTTGACGTTTGCTTATATACAATGTTTTGGGACCTGTTGCATTACTTTTTCTTTCAACGAGGAAATTGTTTTCTCCAACAGAAATATTTTCCATTTTGGGACCAACACATGTATCGTTATTCTTTTTTTATTCATAGTCGTAGTTTCTTCAAAAAAAAAAAACAAAATAAATACTTTTCTAGAGACAATTCCTTCGAAAAATCGTTAGCTTTGATGTCATATAAATTTTCTCCATAGGACCCCTTAAATATTGGTAATTAGAAACAAGATGCCGATTTGTATTGATAGAGCTCATCTTGGCCGCTACAAAATAACTTAATGCCGAAAATTAGGAACAACTATATAATCAGTTGAATGATTTTTTATATTATCTATATGTGTGATTTTACGAATTTACTAACAATATTTTAGGATAATGTCAATTAGACTTAATATCTAAGCTGGCTAATGTACTTTCCAGACTCGATATCAACTTATCGTTGCTATTAATTTTCGATGATTTTGTTGTTCGCAATGCCGCAGTCTCCAATGCCCAATGGGCCATTTTTTGGGCTTCCTTACGTTTCGAACCCAAGGCGCGTGAATTGGCAATGTAGCTGCAGCACTAAAATAAAAACGAGAACATATATGTACAAATGTAAAAAAGTTAAGGTAAATACTTACTAGATATAGACCGTAAAGAGCACGCAAATTATTTGAATTCAATTTCAGCGCTTGAGAATAATACGTGCGAGAGATTTCTATGTTTTCCATTCCACCCTAAAAATATGTTTATTAAGAATTATATAAGTATTGCTTTATTGGCTATATATGTATAAGATTTGATGATTTATAAGAAATTATAACAAGAATCGAATTCATTGTTAGCGAAGGGGTTTAATGCAGGAGTAATGGGACTTGGCCAGTTTGGTCCTTGAAACTATTGTCGACTCGTGAGACTAACGTGCCTCATTCGTCCCTTATTTACGGCTTAAGAAAGGATTTGAACAATAGTCTACCATTTTGGTATATCATTCCGAGATTTCAGTTAAATCGGTCAGACAAGAAAAAATTACTTTAACGATTGTTCAATTAATATAATATTTAATTTAAACTGCTGAACTAACAATCATAGCTATAATATCCGATGTCAGCCGGTTCGGTGACGTCAACGGTTGCCGTAACCTTGTATTCTGTAAACCTTGTGTTTTTGTTATATAAAAAATAAAAAAAAATTCACAAATGCTTAATGTTGTGTAGCAAAAGCGAAAATTTTGTACAGATAACTCGAGTTTATGATCCAATTTGATAATGGTATGTTTTATGGTGACGTTAATACGTAAGTACCTATATACTTTTTTTTTTATTACGAAATATATGTATGTATAGTGAACGCTTCTTTAATTTCCTCTCAAAATATATGTCCGATAAAAAGATGAACAAAACATAATGATCTTCAGGTAAAATACGAAGCCTTTATACCTTTCATGACCATATCAAATTTGCGGTATTGAATATTAATTCTTATTTATATATATGATTTTCAATATCAATATTAACTTGTATTTACTTGTGTAGAATACCAAATTTATCTTATCTAAACTCTCTTTGGTATAGACCTTATACCTCTGCTTATGCTCTTAGAAACCTTTGGCAAATTTTTTCCCTATTCCCGATAGCTAGGTGGTTAGCATGGCGTATTGCCATTCTAAATATAAAATATACAATTTTCTAATTCCGGTTGCCCTTCGACAGAGAATCCCATGCCCTCGGAGGGGGTATTTCTGATATGTCATGAAAAAGCTCCTTATAAAAATCCACCGGCTGTCCAGAGATGCCCTGAAATAAACTGTAGATCTGGACGAACATCAAGACGCAAGACCATAAATTTGAGGAAGAGCTCGGCCGAAAATCCCTTTAGCGGTTACAAAGCGCCAATTATATATATATATATATGATATAAATGCCCGATTTCAATGATTTACCGTTCTTTTTTAGATACTTTACCGAGGTATTTATGAAAAAATCGTTTTTTAATAGGAATATATGTTACCGTAGTCCGAGCAGGCTGGTTCCGAAAAATTATTAATGCACTCTGCTTACTTAATTTATTTGAAACTGGCGAAGTATTTTTTAACTTATTCCGTCATTCTGTACCGATCTGTATATATTTTGATGTGTATATCACTTATCTTTACGGTACTTACTTACTTCGGACCAAAGTTAATATATCAACTCATGTTCATGAAAGGTATTATTATAATTACCATGGTGTATCGTATTTCCGCAATCCGCTGATGTATAAGATGGCTGTGTGGATTATGTAGTAAAACTTCCTCCATGCAAAAAACTGCCTTGGAATATTCACCTTCCGCCAAATACAATCCGCAAAGCTCATGCCATGCTTCTTGATCAGACATAAATCTTCAAAAGAAAAAGAACAGAACTTAATTATAATTATAATTTGAATTTAACAACATACGACTGTTGGCTGTATATGATTCCACTTACATTTTTAAATAGTCACACAAATCTTTAATGGCTTCAACCCGCTTTCCTTTTGCTTTCAGTATTGCTATTTTCCGCTTCCGTGGAGCTGCATTTGTTTCATCCTTTGCAATAATTTCATCCAAAAGCTCAAGAGCTTCGTCATACATCTGCATAGCTTCCAAACGCATAGCCTCAAACTTCATTACGCGTAAGCTCTCAGGAAACTCTGTGCTCAGTAATTGAATACATTTACTTGCGATATCAAGACGTGACGTGTCGAAAGCAGCAATAATAACTTGCTCTAATATCAGATGCCTTTCATTTCCAGTCTTTTGTACGCGAGTTTCCAAAACTGCTTCCCACAATTGAATTACATCGTCACTGCAGCGTTCATTATTTTCTCGCCATTTCCTAAATTGATCCCGAACATCTAAAATAAAATTATAATTTTTATGTCAATAACCATCCAAACATTGTTATGCCTTTTTTATATTCTCGTATGTTATATACTAGAAAGATATTCAAATGTTTTAGACGAACCTGTCCAACCCATTTCTTTGAAATTGTATGTCATTATATGTTATCAAATACACTTTTTTTTCTATTTGTAACTTAATTTATTACAAATTAATACAATCAGCAATGAGCCTAATTGAAACGTCAAATTTCCACAGTGCAGAGCTTTATTGAAATTACCAGCAGATGACGCGCTACTCACATTATGTCGAGTTTAGGTTTCTTATTTTGGGAATTGTTTATGTAACCGTACACGTCGATTGGTTGTCGGATCCATTTTCTGGCACTTCTTGGTAGCAAAAGTTAAATTAATAAATATTAAATTCAATATAAATTTCACAAACTTGTACAAAAATCTCGGTTCTCCCGTGTAAATTAAATTCAGAACAGTCAGTTCGTGTGTGTGTATTACGAGTTGTACTTGACTAGCGAATTACGATGAGAAATCGAATAACGTATTAGGAGCTTTGGCAGCCCTATTAATGAAGTATTGAAAATTCCCGCCAAATTATGGCATGCAGATTCAGTTGTCTAATTTATTTGGTTGTTTTGCTGTTTGTTGGTTGTAAGAAATTTATTTAAAAACGAAATGGCTGATGCGGAACATTACATTCGAGATATACAGCGAGAGTATGTTGATTTTTTGGATGATGAAGAAGATCAGGGCATATATTCGGGACTTATCAAAGATATGATTGCTGAGAAAAGCCGACGATTGATTGTCAACATTAATGATTTAAAAAGAAAGAATCCCCAACGCGCTCAAGGATTACTCTCCAACGCATGCGATGAACAGTTGGCATTTGGAAGGGCATTAAAAGAATTTGTGTCAACAGTAGATCCTGCTTACGCCAAGCAATATGAAGACTTTTTTGTTGGATTTGAAGGCTGCTTTGGAAATCGCCATGTTACACCCCGTTCTTTGACTTCTGTGTAAGTATTATACATACATATATTAATTATATATATATATATATATATATTTGTATATAACAATGGCAGTTAAAATATGTCTTGTTTAATTTTAAGGTATTTGGGAAATTTAGTATGTGTTGAGGGGATTGTTACCAAGGTGTCTTTAATCCATCCAAAAGTTGTACGAAGTGTCCACTATTGTCCAGCGACAAAAAAAGTTATGGAAAGAAAGTATACCGACTTAACTTCCTTTGAAGCAGTTCCGTCCAGTGCTATATATCCTACCAAAGATGATGAGGGGAATCTATTGGAAACGGAATTCGGTCTCTCAGTATATAAAGACCATCAGACAGTAACAATTCAAGAAATGCCTGAGAAAGCTCCAGCAGGTCAATTACCACGTTCTGTAGATATTATTTGTGATGATGATATGGTTGATCGTTGTAAACCAGGAGATCGAGTCCAAATTGTTGGTAGTTTTAGATGTCTTCCTGGCAAGTTTGGTGGATATACATCAGGAACCTTCAGAACAGTGTTATTGGCCAACAACATTTCAATATTAAGTAAAGATAATAATATGGATATCAGCCGTGAGGATATTATTTTGTGTAAAAAACTCGCTAAAAACAACGATATTTTTGACTTGTTGGGTAAAAGTTTAGCTCCTTCAATACATGGACATACATTTGTGAAGAGGGCAATATTATGCCTTTTATTAGGTGGTGTAGAAAAGGTTTTGCCTAATGGTACGCGGCTACGTGGCGATATTAACGTTCTTCTTATTGGTGATCCAAGTGTGGCAAAATCACAATTATTACGTTACGTATTGAACACTGCACCTCGTGCAATACCTACTACTGGTCGCGGCTCTAGTGGCGTTGGTTTGACTGCTGCTGTAACGACTGACCAGGAAACTGGTGAACGGCGTTTAGAAGCTGGTGCTATGGTTCTAGCGGATAGAGGAGTTGTTTGCATTGACGAATTTGATAAAATGAGTGACATTGATCGTACTGCTATTCACGAAGTAATGGAACAAGGGCGAGTGACAATATCAAAAGCCGGTATACATGCTTCATTAAATGCTAGATGTTCAGTATTAGCAGCAGCAAATCCGGTATATGGAAGGGTAAAAATTACTATTACTTTCAACAAAAACAAAAAAACTAACATTTATTCCTCGTAGTATGATCAATATAAAACACCAATGGAAAATATTGGCCTGCAAGATTCTCTTTTATCTCGATTTGATTTATTATTTGTAATGTTGGATGTGATCGACAGTGACATTGATCAAATGATTTCGGACCATGTTGTTCGTATGCATCGTTATCGGTAAAATTGTCCTATTTTTTTTTTTTTAAATAAATAAAGAAATTATTATTTCTGTTTCTTCCTTTACAGAAATCCAAAAGAAACTGACGGAGAACCTCTTTCAATGGGTAGCTCATATGCAGATTCTTTATCATTCACCTCAAATTCTGACGAGGTATATATAAAATCATTTTTCATCTTATTAAATTCATGGAAGTATTATAATTCTTATTTTACAGAAAAAAGATACAGAAATCTATGAAAAATATGATCCTCTGTTGCACGGAAGATCAAGAAAGCGGCAGGAGAAGATTTTATCCGTAGAATTCATGCGCAAATATATTCATATTGCAAAATGCATGAAACCTAAATTGAGCGAGCAAGCCTGTGAAGCTATTGCCACGGAATATTCATCTTTGCGATCCCAGGAAAATATGCAATCAGATATTGCTAGAACTCAACCAGTCACAGCTCGTACTTTAGAAACTTTAATTCGTCTAGCTACAGCTCATGCGCGTGCACGTTTGTCTAAAACTGTAACTGCTGATGATGCGCAAGCTGCCATTGAACTGGTTCAATTTGCTTATTTTAAAAAAGTATTGGAAAAAGAAAAGACCAACAAACGTCGGCGGGATGGTGCTTCTTCTGATGAAGATGAAGCTAATGATAACCAAAAGTCCACAAACAAAAAAAGTAAGCGCAAACGCATAGAGCCAGCAAGTGCTGGGAATGACTCTGATGAAGAAATCGAAACTCCGCAACCAGATGCTGGTGATTTAACTCGTCGGGAAACAAGAAAGTCGCTTCCCGGTAGTGGGTCCGCAAGTACAGCTGCGCAAATAAGTGCACAAGATACAGAAAGTGTCGTTTCGCCTCCATTTATAACGGAAGGCAGGTTAAGTAGTTTCAAAAATAGGTTGCAACGCCTATTCCGAGAAGCTCGCGAGCAGAGTTTGTCTCTGGAACGCATTACTACAACTATTAATGAAAATAACGATGAACAATTTTCTAATTCCGAAATTGATGCTGCCATGCATCAAATGACAGAAGATAATCAAGTTATGGTTGCCGATGGCATAGTTTTTCTTATATAATACAACAATTCCTGTCACAAATATACATTTTCTTTTATTTCCTCAGACAAATAAATGTAAGAAAAATTTGTTATTAATAAAGTTAGGTATTAAAAAAATATATATTAAAGTTAATTTTTTTAATAGGCGTAATACATGATGATATGTATATATAGAGCATGATAAAAATATTTATAATGTACAACTGTTGGGAAGTAGGTCGACAAATTTATGCATTTTTATATATAGGCACCTACGAACGCTTTCAAAGTGAAAAATGCCCGTAGTTCGTTATCAATATTCGCCAACGACAAAACTGAAGTCGATTCCAAAGACGCTCGAAGGACCAAAAGGTCGGGTTGAATCGACAAAAGTATCGCCGGAGTGTCGAAAAAAAAAGAAAAAAAATATGTTTCTATTCATAAATATGCATAAGACGACCATAAACGTTTTTTAATGCAATTAATACTTTCAAAACATATTATTCATCTTTTATATGTAAAATTAAAGCACAGAAACTGACTTATACCTTGTTTCGAAACGACATCGAAAACATTCCGAAAATGAGTTTTGTGGTTTGTGGGATCAAGGGTGTTTTTCACTTCAGCTCGCCTCTAAACGGATGTTCGTTGGCTACACAGGGTATACTTGGTCTAAGACGGGAAGTCGTGAGCTCCACATAGCCCCGTCCTCCTCTATTGCGTAGAAGCGTGGATAATGTCAACATCTGGAGAGTAGGCCCTGGAAGTCTTAGAACGAATTATGGTTCTTTGCGCATTGGCAACGGCAAATACCGCAGACGATGGAACGATGAGCTGTGCGATCTATATAATGATATTGATATAGTCCAGCGAATGAAGAGACAACGGCTACGCTGGCTAGATCATGGCGTCCGAATGGATGAAAGCACTCCAGCTTTAAAAGTATTCGATGGATGGAAGCAGGAGAAGAGAACGATCTCCACTCCGTGGAAATGGTGGGGAGTGATCTGGATTCACTTGGTATTTCCAACTTTTGCTAGACAGCGGAAATAAGAGAAGAATGGCGCGATAATATTGCTTCGGCTATAATCGCGTAAGTGGTGCTAACACCAATAAAGAAGAAGAAGGGCTGTCACCCGTTTAGGTCAACAGGTAACGTTAGTCTAAGCTCACCAGCGAAGCAACACCTCACAGCTGGGCTGCTCTAAATCCTTTTTATCACCATGGTTCAGCGGATTATTTCTGCTGCGTGTGTCATAAAAGACTCCACCATTCCTCTTGGTTAGATGTAACCAGTGCAATGGAGGGAGTGATCTTAAGGTCTGCTCAAATGCGTCCACGGAGGTGCGTTCAGCACCTTTACAAACTATTGGTAACCTTAACGGTCTCAAGGAGCTCTCCGCAGCATGACTCCCGCCGATCCCCACCCTCACCCACAACCAGCTCCTCTTCCTCCCTTACGAGGGCTACCTAGCAGCTTTTAGTCCCCCACACAGTCTCTTCCGCGTTTCGGAACATGATATCAGTCAGATGCAACTTCTCCCCTGGCTGGTATCTACAACCAACACCAACGTGCGGCATTCAATCCAGCGGGTATTACAGCAACAACATACTACTCCCACTCACCACTCCCTCACCCCTCGTATTACGAAACAGAGACGACTTCTACAGTTTAACTACAATATACTCCACTGAAAGATCGATAGTCGACTACATAAGCCGAGAGCACCTGTCAGTTGATGCGATCCAGGAAACGAAATTGACCGGATTTTCTGAGCCGGAACGGGTATAAAATTATCTTCCAGGATGGCAAGTGATATCAGGGTGTAGGCTTAGCGTTCATCTTACACAACACCGTGCAGTATCGTCTGAATTTTTAGTTTTAACAAGTGAAGTAATGAAGCTTTATTAGTTAAACAGTGAAAATGAATTAGTGATAATAACATTATTATCTAGTAGGCCCACCTTTCGATTTAATAACGGCAGCAATTCTCTTAGGCATGCTGCGTACAAGCTTCCTTCCACACTTTCAGCGTACCACTCGTTAATTATGGCATTCCTTAAGGCAGTTTTTGATGCTATACTGTGTTCCTTAATCTTGCGTTTTAAAATATTCCACATGTGCTCAATGGAATTAAGATCTGGAGACTGTACAGGACTGTATCGCCGAAAATGCGCGTTAACGAAGGCAGAAGAACAGCCTCTAATACATTTATGTACTTTTCTCGCAAAAGAACATTTCGCCGACACCATCAGTAGCCATGTAGCCTCAGATCCATGCTTAACAGTGCGTATCACGCATTCTGGATGATGTTCTTCCCTAACCCGTCGCCTCACGAACGTCACACCAGGTGCTCCAAATATTTGTAGAAAAGAAAAAATAATGTTTTCATAAGATTTGTATTATGTCTTCAAAATTGCTCTAGGGTAAGAAGCTATGGCTGTTAATACTTTAAGACGATCTTAACTAAGCTCACCTCGATGTTTGATTCATCAGACCACAGAACATTCGACCAATCTTCTTCCATGAAATGTTGGTATCGGCGAGCCCATTCCAAACGATTTTTCCTATTCTTTTCTGAAAGCTACGGCTTTACACCCTTTTAAACCTGCATCCAGAAGTCTTCTTCTAGCTGTTCGTGCACTAACTGGTTTACTAAATTCATCCGAAAGGGCAGCTGCAGGTCAGAAGATTTTGCGATCCATGAGAGACTCGCGTATAAGTATTCGGTCTTCTCGTGTTTAGACGCTTTCTTCCACTTTTTGATTTATTATTGTGGGATTTCGTCTCCACAAATCGCCTGATAGCATATTGGACCGCGCGCCGCAAACTACCCACCAAATTAGCAATCTCAACCTAAGACTTACCTTCTTCACTTAGCACTAGAATTCTTACTCTATCATAGTAACTAATTTCACTTTTTTTAGGCATTTTGGTAAATATGAACTGTTCTTATAAGATTGGTAACTTTTCACTAAATGTAATTTACACTTTCACTTTCAAATTTAAAATACGAAAATATTTTATGAATTTCTTAAAAATGACAATTTTCGGTTTAGCTTACCCAGAGTGCTAGGACTTTTAATATTACACAATTTATTCGTTTAATCAACAGTTAAACACCCATGTAAGACATTTACAAAAATAAGTGATAACTTTGATAGCCACATTTGAGAATACTTGTATTTTAGTGGGATGCCTAATACTTTTGGTCAAGGCTGTGCGTCGCTTTTATGTGTCTCATTTTACTTTTAAAAGAGATCCACAAACTGTCTCTGATTTCCTCCGCCAATGAGATGGATTCAGTCTTGTACGATGATACTTTTTCAAATTAGTGGCTAAAGTCGAATCGAAAATTTGTATGTAATTCATTTATTTGTGTTAGGAGTAATTTCCAAATATGTGAAAATAAATCTGTATTTATAAGATATAAAGGTCGAGATACGCTATAAGTCTCTTCTCTCTTCTCCATCATTTTTTGTACTCACTCGTACAAGTATATTCTTTATTAGATAATACAGGGTCCGCCACGTAACTTTTTTTTATTAAATGCAATAAAACAAATGCCTATTCGGCAAAGGCAAACCGCATCGGATGGTCTCGTGGCTTCAATTCTTGAACCAATTGAACTTTGTACGGTGTTATACCAAGGTCTTTTTTCAAAATTCGCCTAAGGGACGTCTCGGAAATGTCCAATTGTTGAGAGCGACGCTTCACTGATGTTCCGGGCGCCTCACGCACACTCTCGGCCACAGCAGCGATATTATCGGCAGTACGCACTTTTTTTGGTCTCTCACGCGTTAGTTTATCAATAATTGTGCCGGTTTCTCTCAATTTTTTCAAAAGAAAGCGCACATAAGGAGCGGACGGTGCTTTGTTACGGCTCATTTCCGTGCGTAATTTTCGCACACATTTTCAAAGTAAAACTGCACTATTTTAACGCGTTCCTCAATCGTATACACAATCATTTTCGTTTAGCGGAAAGATAAAACTAACTTTCTGTCAAATCAGATGTAACATCAGTGTTACCACACTCAAAATAGCCACTAGTTCAAAAAAAAAATGTTAGATGGCGGACCCTGTATTTTTCTGCCTCTACTCACTCTTCTTACACCGCAATAAACATCAATAATTTCAGCAGTTGAACAACGAATTTTATTCTAATATTTTTATTTCATAATGCAGAACTGAGCTTACAATCAATTATTTGTTGGAGGTAAAACCAGAGCGTATTTTAGAAGTGCGTTAACATTTTCTGGAATTGAAATCTTAGATACCAATGAATGCGAAGACTCTCTCTCATTTAAAATCACTTCTGGGTCGAATCCAGCATATCGGCTTTTCCCAATTTCTTTTTTTATTAATTTAAGTTGCTTATTTATCTGTTAGTATAAGATGAATTGGAATTATACTTTAGTTTTCATGTACATATTCACGTATGCATAATTGTAATAATAAGATAAAAAATAATACTTAAATCTATTGAATACTTGAAAGTATTAGAAGCAATAAAATGAAAGCGTCAAATATAACGAGACGTATAGCCATCGAGGCATATAAAAAATACTAACCTTGAAAAACTTTCAAAAATATGAAATTTTTTACTCTGTTGTTGTTGCAGTCGCCAACCCCACTTGGGAGCAGGCTAGTTAGTCTAAGTCACCTAATGGTAGGTCCAGGAAACGAGCTGTTTCCACGGGTTCGGACCAGAGGAAGACGGGGGTTAGATGAGTGGGTTTGAGTGTATGTTTCCTTAAACCCACTCATCTAACCCCCGTGTAATGCGGGACTCGTTGCATGCAGAACATACGTTTTGTGTGTCGGGGACTAGTCTGAATAAGTAGGAGTTTAACCAGCAAGACCATAGTTGTGCCAGTATTACGCTTGACTCCCGAGGCATCTTGAGCTCTTCGTCTGCTATAGGTGGTGGTGTGACTCCGAGAACGCCATACACAGGAAGAGAGTTCTTGAACGAGTTGACGGACTCTTGGTGAATTTAGCTTAGAGCTTGCCTGTAAGCCGTCCTGCCCAGCAGTTGTTGCGGTAGCATCCCCGCAGAAATAGCTTGCGCATACTGTTTTCGCCGCTGAGTAGCGCACCTTTATCAAGGCAATATCCATCTGGGCAACTTGTATCTGGAGGGTTATATATATTTAATATTTCGAGCTCGCCATCGCCTGACTGAATAACTATGCCCTAACAATCTAGAGTAAGAGCCCTGTGGTCGATGTTGCCGTCGATAAGACGATTTGTATTAGTTTATTGCCAATAGACAATTTTCAAGTGCAGAAAGTGTAGTTATAGATCTCATTTACTCTTCTGTCGGGTTTCGACTTCAATTGAGTTGGCTATTTAATAGTAACTTAAGATAGCTGAATTCGAAAGGGAGAGTGACATCTGCGCCTTTTGATAATTCAAAAAGGAGAAGTTTGTGGGCGATTTCCTGTCCTGTCAGGAGTGACTCCAGTAGCTTCATTAAGGCTCTGTGTCTTGACGGTCTCCCGCTGCAGCCGAGGTAGAGGAAAGCCTAAGTATGTATTACTTTACATCAATACTTTTCTAGAACTTCATTTAAGAATAGGGTAGTTGTTTCATGATAATGGTAGCTCTTGTCTTATGTTCATCTTGAATAGTCATTTAAATATTTTTAGAAGTTATTGGGATTCAAATGTTTTAGCCTGGGTCCTTTCAGAATAAAAATTAGTTTAACTTTGGTGTATTCTTTGGGAAGGTGCCCTTCGTCTGCACAGGTTTTGTAGACTTTACATATAATACAATTGGTTGCATGATGTCGTCTGGAGCTTATGAATCAGTGGGGAATATGCCATTTATTATGATTCAATGTTTTTACTGCCTATACCATCATTCTGTAGCAGACAATGTTGCTAATATTAGAAAAAGACCCGTTTGTGTTGCATACGAGTTGGTTGTGAAAAATTAAGGTGTTTAAGTGCATTTGAGGACTCTCAGAGCACCGATTGCATATCCCCAGAGTGAGAAATGTGTCTGGTCGTTGAAAAAAATTTTGTTCGAAAGTTGCATCCAATCGACGCATGTACGGCAATGTTACTGCTCACCTGGCTTCAGTTGTTGTGTGAGCTGGACTTTATATGGATGTCGCACCTCTTGAGAAAGTCAATAAAATTCATTTCGAATGCGAATCCCATACGGTTATGCTGAAAAACAAAAGCCAAAAAAAATCTAAATCAGCCTCAGATGATAGGCCCCCATAAAGATGACGAACTAAAGGCTGACATCACCGCCGTTCCAAGAAGTGCGATGAATGGGACAAGGACGACATCGAGTAGGTTCTTGTCCATAATCCGCATCAAAACGAAATTCGTTAACACCACGCTGACTTGCGCCGACTTGCGCTACGCCCCAATGGTAGAGAGCGCCTCGAGCACACTTATGTGCGCTGTCCTCACCACAACGTCACAATTGTGGTGGGCTACTTCAAAACTAGGGTGGGCAAAGAAAGTATTTTTGGGACAACAGTCGGAAAATTTAGCCTCAACGACGAAACATCACCTAATGGGCTGAGGCTGATCGACTTCGCCGGTGCCCTGTAGCCCTAGATTACAGCCCAAGAAATTCACCGAGCACTTGACTGTCTCCAGATTGAAAAACTCTCAACCAGATCGATTATGCTGTGGTAGACGGAAGATATGTATCCAGTGTTTTAGATGTCCGTACGTTCCGAGGTTCTAATATCGGCTTGGATCACTATCTTGTCGCAGCGAAGATACGTACGCAGCTCTGTATATCGAAGAACACCGTCAACACAAGAAAGGTAAGACTTTGAAAAGCTGCAATCACAACAGACTGTCGAGCGGATTTCTCCCCGAATTGCACACCAGAAACCCGATAAGGGAACTGTGGGACCGCATTTGAAACTCCCTACGCACAGCTGTAAACGAAACTAGGGCAATCCTCGGCAGCTTACCGAAAGTTTCAAGACCGAAGCAAACTCTTGTAGGACTCGGGGTGACCTAGTGACAGAGGGAACACTTTTCCAAGTTGCTGAATGCCAGTGAAAATGAAGCACCAGGAGAAGATGAAATCGACACTTCAATTGATGACGAAGGAAAAGTTGTTCCATTATCCGGTTATGAAAAAGTCTGAATAGCAACCGCCCGCTTAAAAAACAACAAAGCGACTGGGTCTGACGGCCTACAGGCAGAACTATTCTAACATGGCGGTGAAGAGCTGATAAGAGGTGCAAGCATCAGCTACTTTGTAGAATATGGTCGGATTATTGGAACTTAAGTGTGTTCTGCCCAATCCACAAAAACTGCGTGGATTTTGATCTGCTTAGTCGACCAACGACCAGACATTCACCATGACCCGCCTTCGACAGCACGAAAAGGAGCTGCATCTACGCCGCTATGTCTGAAGTTGGTATCCTCGCAAAACTTTTACAGCAATGTAAGCTGACCTCAAGCCGCACGAAAAGCTCCGGTAGGATTGGAAAGGACCTCTCCAAGCCGTTCAATACCAAACCAGGTGTGAGACAAGGTGATGGATAGAGAAAATACAATCTTCTATAAGTGTACACCTGTCGGCGTAAGCCGATTTTATTGCCATTATTGGCCTCAACAATCGCACCGTGTGTTCTGCTTTCTCCAGGCTTGATAAAGAAACGAAGGATATGGGTCCGGTAGTGAACGAGGGCAAGAAGAAATATCTCCTGTCATCAAACTAACAGTTATCGTATTCGCGACTCAGCTCCAACGTCACTGTTGAAAGTCTTAACTTCGAGGTCATAGATAATTTCGTCTATCTAGGGACCAGCATTAACTGCTTGAAATTCAACGCAAAATCACTCTTGCCAACAGGTGCTACTTTGGACTGAGTAGGTAATTGAAAAGCAAAATCCCCTCTCTGCTAACGAAAATCAAACTCAGAACTCACTGGCGCAGAAGCAACTGATGAGTCCGCTCTAGGAGTCTTCGAGAGAAAAGTTTTTCGAACGATTTATGGTCCTTTGCACATTGTCAACGGCGAATACCGGAGACGATGGAACGATGAGCTGCACCAGCTATACGATGATATTAACATAGTTCAGCGAATGAAGAGACAGCGGCTACGCTGGCTAGGTCATGCCGTCCGCATAGATGAAAGCACTCCAGCTTTGAAAGCATTCGAAGCAGTACCCGTGGTGGAACAAGAGAAAGGGGAAAACCTCTACTATGTTGGAAGGATCAGGTGGAGAGCGACATTGTTTTACTTGGTATTTACAACTGGTGCTAGACAGCAAAAAGAAGAAATGAATCAAGTAAGCTGTGTCAAACACCAATAAAGAAGAAGAAGATATACTTACAATTAACAAAACTCATATTTTTCACAAGCACATCATCAGTTTTTATGCACTGCATTTGCACAGAATGTTATGTGGGAGACAGAAATCTCGCTAAGACTGTATGAGCGAATTTGGGTCTGGATAGGATTCTCTGGTCGTAATTATTTAGCGTAACTGTAACTATTTGACATTCAAGACTTCCTAAACGGCTCGTCCTATAAAAATGAAAATTTCGTGTGTATATATAAATGGTTTCCTATATAAAAGCGGAAAGACCATTGGAAAAAGCTCTCTGGTCATAATGGAATTGCTTGAAGCTAATGTCCATGTGGAAAGTGACAATTGGACAGTGGACATAGTATGTTGTAATAAAATTGTCAGAATAATCACAAAGAATTACACATGTACGTATGTACATATACACATATATTATGTACTTGTATAATAATCAAGTTTACTTGCCATTATTGTCAGTCGAGGGGTATTCGCACATGTAACTAAATTTGCAAGGAATTGTGGAAAATTTTCTGGTTCCTCATTTATTGCCTCATGAATAAGTACGCGTATGATAGCTCGAATCTGAAATTACGAAACATACATGCATACATACATATGTACATATCTAGATCTGTTCACAAATTGATTCTCGGCATACGAACTTCTGGATGGTTACATAGATAAGCCGAATTTCCTTGGCGTAACTGCTTTCTAATTTGCTCAACTGTCTTATAGTGACCTATAGATTTGGAATCCCAACTTTTTTTAAAACTCATAATGTTATATCAGACACATCAATATTTATTTTGTTCATAACTTCTGATATAAAAAGCAAAGTTTCTTTTTAAAGCAAATTGTTTTAATAATACATATGTACATATATATGTAAGTATTTTTTTGTGACATTTTACGAAGCTGGAAATGTGCCCATTCGTCTGGCTTGCGTTTTCGCCCTTTTCGAAGAAAAACTGTAAAATATAGCGTATTTTTTATTTGCTAATGTCCATCTTTGACGCATGTTCAAACAAAGCTGAATCAAACCAATCTCAAAAGTATCATAAAAGTTTTTTCAGTACGAAATGTCATCTTTCTAACGCCATCTAGGGGAACCCGATCGGACTTCTACAACGCGAGATACAGATAAGTAACGCCATCTATTGGGAAGACAATGGATTTCTTTTTTTGGTTTTTTGTTTAATACGCAAGTTTTACTGATGAAAAGTTGACTTTATATACAAATCTCAGTATGCACAAGCCGTAGTTTTGACTTGTTTCCTCTATGTATGGTTATTGAGTGTTCTGCGATAATTTTCTCAGTCGACTGTACAGGGGTGGTAGAATCGGATGACATTCGCTATATTATACCCCAGCTGAATTACCGAGGATTGAAGAGGACACCAAGACGCATGTGCAGACAAAAAAAGTTCGAGATACATGGGTATGAAGAGACCGAGAAGAGTTCTACGAAAAGATACGGTAACTTATAAAAGCTTCAAGACCCGAGAAAACTCCCGTAGGTCTCAGAGAGTTGATCTAGAGACTGATGCCCAGACTATGCTGAATTAATGAAAAGAGGGCAGTGAAAAGGGAACCCCACGAAGTGGTGAACCCTATGCGACAAAGAACTAGTGCATATCAGGGGCTTTACAAAATTTGGTATGATGAAAGCGCCCTACGATTCGAACCTAAATGTACTCTGCCAAACCACAAAAGAGAAGATCCCACAGTCTACGATAATTGCCGTGGAATGAGCCTCCTCAACAACGCCTATAAGGTTCCATTGAGCGTATTTTGTGAATGACTAAATCCTAACCCTGCGGGTTAGAGGCTCAAGAATTTACCCGCGGTAAGGCATGCCTGTCGTAAGAGGCGACTAAAATCCAATAGTTCCCGCGACAGTCGGGTCTTTATACCGGAACGACTCGGATTTTTATTAAGCCAAGGACTGTCACTCCCGCAACATTCCCTAAAAAGTACTTTGGGGAATAATTTTGCAACAACAACAATGACTAAATCCCGCTGCCTACTTATCAGTGTGGCTTTACCTGGTACCGATGATTTCTGAAATTTTCACAATTCGTCAAATCTTAGAAAAGGCCATTAAAGGAGATTCCATCACCTCTTCGTCAAGCCCTGAGTTCTGTTTTCTGCAGACTAGATAAGGAAGCAAGACTCAAGGGTCTGAGCGCAAAAGGAAATATCTCCTACCATCAAGCAAACAGTCATCGTATTTGCGTCTCGGCTCCCATGTCGCTGTTGACAAACATAACTTTATAGTCGTAGGTAACTTCGTCTGTTATGAGACCAGCATTAACACCAACAACAATTCCAGCCTTAAAATCCGACGCAGAATCACTCTCGCCAACAGGTCCAACTTTGGACTGAACAAAGACTCAACTCTACAATTCTCTCGACCTTCCCTTCCTGCTATATGGTACGGAAGCATGGATGATTACTTCGTCTGATGAATCGGCTTTGAGAATATTTGAGCAAAAGGTTTTTCGTAAAATATATGGTCCTCTACGCGTCGGCAATGGTGAATACCGCAGTCAATGGAGGAGTAGAGACAGCGGCTACGCTGGCTAGGTCATGCCGTCCGCATAGATGAAAGCACTTCTGCTTTGAAAGTATTCGAAGCAGTACCCGTTGGTGGAACAAGAGGAAGGGGAAGATCTCTACTATGTTAGAAGGATCAGGTGAAGAGCGACCTGGTTTTACTTGGTAGCGGAAAGTAGGAATGATTGACGCGCTCTTGTTAACTCGGCTATAATCGCGTAGAGGTGTCTGCCCTAGTAAAAAATTAAGAAGAAGAAGCAATACGAAAAATATTTTTTTTGGCTTTTTAATTTTTTAAGCTTTTATTTATATTATTCTGTTAGTTCAATGATCATGCATTGCATTAGAGAATTGGGGAAGGGTGACTAATTTCGCTTGCTGATTTCATATTTCACCAATGAAGCAGAGTTCAATACACCTATTACTATGGAACTGCCTTAGACGAAGGTCTCTAATATAATTAAAGATATTTTCACGTCACATTTAGTACTTGTAAGCTTTTACATTTACCATGTACATACATATGTTATATATACATAAACAAACAAACTAAAAATATGTGAACTAATAATAAATGTGATAGCCATGAAAACATATCAAACATGAACGCAAGTTTCGAACATATGTCACATATCGAAATATGCCTGGATTTATGTGTTTTCATATATATGTACAGAAATATGTATGTACATATGTTTTGATAAAGAACTAATCTGAATAAGTCTCATTAATGCGATCAAACGTTAATTTACAAAATAACATATATATGCCGAGATTATCTTGAGATTTCTCCACAAATATGTATATAAATTTCCCTAAAAAATTCAAAGTTATTAAAAATCTACGGATATGTTTAAAATTAGTCCTACTATTAAACATGTAAACATTTACTTTTGCGTTTTTGCATGCATTCATTTGTATTAGGGTGGAGTGAGCATATCCATTAAATCGCCTCCACTAAATATCAGGTGCTCGTATATCACAGTATAGTAGTCAAGTACGAATTTGAAAACATTTTGTTTTCCCTTTCGTGACTCAGCAGAGGCGAAAGGAGTTTATTCCGCTCACCAAAGTATCCCTGTAACCCCTGTTGGTGCTTGAAACCTAGAGATGCCCAACAAAAGCAACAATATCATTTCGGCGCCTTGTTATCAAAACGAAATGAAATCGTTAACTTTAAATTTTTTGATAGCTGCTTTGACCTTAATATTTCCAAATGTTTCAACCGAAACAATAGAAATTTGTTGATTCACATAAAATTTATCGTTACAATGGAGACTTGTTCAAAGCTTATATTGCGGATATTGCGATTCTAATAAATTTTGTAAACATTTTGTAAAATGCTATTTTCTTCTCAAAATAAATTCAACTTAAAATATAATAATAATAATTTATTTTAGTATGATTGTCAAAAAATTACAATAAATATAATATACAAAAATTTTTTGCAATATCTTAAAAACTTAAGGCCAATCAGGCATAAACTTTATAACATGTCTTCAAAAAATATGCAAAAGATTTTCTTTATTTTTTCGGTAAACTTACAAATTATTTTCATCCAATATAGTATGTTTAGATATTTTTATTAAAATATTATAGATATTACAATATTACACAATTTTGTTGTCAAATATATCCAGTGATAGGACTTTGTGAGTGAAGGAAACAATAGCAGATGCTGGCTGGTTCGCAGACAGATCGCAGAAAATGTGGCATTGATTATCTTTACTACCAGTGATAGGTCGTGCTACAAAAGCGAAAATAGTTTTCGAAACCCTTTCTGGATCTTGATTTGAGAGTTGCCACAACTTGTTGTCCGGCTCTAAGCCGAAATAAGAAATGTTTTGTGCAGGATAGTGACGTCGGAAAAAAAATAAGCGCTTATTATCCGTCAGCGTGATACCATATTTTGATACTTTGAAATGTACCTCAAAGGGTGTTAGATGTGATTGTTGTAGGGTCATTTCTTCTGAAGCTTTTCGAATGGCTTCATTTCCAGTAAGTGATTCTGTATTATATGTAAATAAATAAAGAACATTACATGCAGCTCCTTGAGATAGAAGTTGCTCTTGAGCAAAAATTAAATCTGCTTGACCAGATGTTAAGGATAAATCTTTTTTCGGAATAATTAATTTGCACGGTAAGGCCAATTCATCGACGGAGTGTTGATAAACAAAAGCAGAAAGGGACGTAAAAACCGGTTCATTTTGATAACCCTTTAAACGTACACCGCATTCTGTAGGTTCTAATAAATAATGTCGTACTAGTTCATTATTTGAATCATTTACAACAATTAAATTAGCTGGAGGTCGTGCAACTCGCAGCACCAAGCCGTAAGCATTTTTGAAAGTTGTAGAATTTCGTATGATGAAGGAGCCAGGCTTTGCATTACGTAGGAGTTGCAGTGCATCCTCTCGAGTAATATAGGGTTTATACCAAAGTTTCGAAGTATCTTTAGCGAATTTCACAAAATTTGGATCGATGGCAGGAGTTTCGATTTTGGCTTTCGCTGTGATTTTCAATCGTTTTTCATCTACAGTATTATCACTTCTTTGTTGACTCAGCATTGGATAAGGGCTAGTGCATCGATTTTTTAAATTGGAAATATCTTCATTAGGAAAACTAGGTGTTTCACTTCTTTTATTTAAATTGTTTTTCGAGTCAGTGTGACCTTTTGGTATGGCAATATTATCATCCAAGTTTTTATTACATCCATTTGTTAATTCGCCAACTTCGTTTACTTCATCACTTTCGATTTCCGACAGTTTTATTGGCGATTTGCGCGAAAAACTAGCGCATTGAACGTCGATTGGCTTATTATGCATTAAGTACGTATTATGTGTATCACGCTGAATTGATTTCTGGTCATATTTGCTAACAAAGTTTTTGTTGCTATACTCATCAAGAGTTTCCTTTAGATGCTGCTTTTGTGAACGATTGTCCTGCTTTTCTATTAGTTGCTCATTATTTTTAGATTCGCTTAAACATTCTTGAAGGACTCCAACATCGTGATTAATTCGATTCCTTGTAAATGCTTCTGGCCAACCTCCATAGGTAAATGGCTGAGCAGATTCTCTGGCATGATATGGTATATTTTCGGAATCATCGGCATCCAAATTGAATTTAGTTATTGCACGTGGATATTTGGACACTTTTCCATCATTTGAATATGTTTTCACTGGCAACTGTGAATTTTTAGTATATTTTCTCATTATCTTTACTTGGATACTAGCAAATTATTAAGAGAGAAATCACTAATGTGTATTCCACAAAGTTTTCGAAACACTAAACTATGTCAAGTTTTTACAAACATCTGTAGCTCTTGAATGAAACTAAAAAGCAGTGATTTCAATATTTTGCCTCTCATGAGAAAACCTAATCAAATTATCTATTCTCCAATATTTATTTTTAAATCTTTCGCCTGTACAAGATTCTACATATATATGTATGATGCTATTATGTAGAGTAGTATAAGAGATATGTACGTACAATATGCACATATGCAAACACACAAATTTTTATATTTTTATTTGGGCCGGTCTCATTATTACACGAGCAATAATGGGCCTTATTCCACTTGTCGGGGTCTTTTGCTTGCTTGGAAGCAAACTTATACCTAAATATTTCAGAAAATGATGACATTGTATTTGATTTCATTTGTTACCATCCGACCACTACAACATGCAACCGATGGCTTAGATGTCACCTAATGGATCTCATGTAATTGAAATTTTCGCATACATGATTTTTAATAAAACGGATATAATCGCGTACGCGGTGTCTACGCCAGTAAAGTAAGTAAGTAAGATTTTTAATAAATAAAAGTATTAATGCCCTTAAACAATTTATTAATTAGATATTAGATGAATAGATAAATTGAGTTAAAATTACCCATCGCAAATAAACGAAATTTAAATTGCATAATACCAAAAATAGAATTTTCGTTCAGAATTAAACCGAAATGTCAATCAACACGTAGTCTTCATTGTTCGCAGAGTCTCCGTTCAGTGCTATAAGATTACTTTTATCTGCCTCGGAACACTCGCGACAAACAGACGAAAAAATTTCTTAATTTTCCATTTGAAACGAGTACATAACATTCCTTAAGTATTGTATTCTTATTTATACAGCTTGCGGGTCTATAAATGTGTGCTTCGAACGAAGGTTTTAGGGGGAAGAGATCAAAAACATTGTAATAAAGGAAATAGTAATTATCAAGTCGCTTTCGACAGTTGATCCCGATGGTTTTCTTATGTGAGCCAAGCTTAAGCCTGAATTTAAAAATTTTAATTTGCCGCATGAGAAATCAAAGTCCGTAAAGGACACAAAAGTGTACATATCACATTTTTTTGCAAGATTATAAGACTGCTAAAAAATTAGCTGTTCCTGGTAACCAATGAGTATTTTAGAGAAATATTTTTTTTCTTAGTTACTTGATAATTGGCAACTCTATTACTTTCAAAGCAAATTGTGACACATAACTGGAAACCTTTAGATAGTAAAAAAAGAAAACGAGTCAAAAACGTTGAGTTTTTATTGAATTTGTTATGATTTTAATAAGAAAACGCTTTTGATATTTATGTTTTAGTAATTTATTTGATGTTGTTATCACTTAGCTCATTTTCTTTTATGAATATCTAAAGTTTTACAGTTGTAAGACATAATTCGCATCAACAGTAATATGTTAAGTATGCCTCGCCTTTCGAGGTGAAAAAATTAACCACGCCAGGTTAGGCAAATAACATATCTTCGGCACAACTGTCGGAAAACTCAGCCTCCACGACGAAACATCCGCAAATAGCCTGAGGCTTATCGGCTTCCCAAGCTACTTAGCTATCTCCAGATGGAAAGACTCAAAACCAGATCGATAACGTTGTGATCCGCGGACAACTTGTCGTCCAGTGTGCTTGACGTGCGTACGATTCGAGGACCAGCCACCAACTCGAAACATTATCTTAAAGCCTTCAAGAAACACAAGGAACAATTGACGACAAAAAGCTGCAATCACTCTTTGAGAGCACTCATCAGCAACTCGACATAAGGACACTGTGGGACTGGAGCAAACACTTGTAAGACGCAGAGAGGTAATATAGTAAGTGACGTTCAGAGTAGGCTGAATTTATAAAGCGAACACCTTTCCAGTATGCTGCTTGGAGGAAAATGGAACACCAAGGCATGGCGAGCTCGATTTCCCAATCGATGACGATGGAATTTACAGCTTGAAAACAATTAAGTTTCTTAAAATTGGACATTATTTTTATATGAAACACCTTTGCAATACATATACAATATATTTTGTATGTTTCATTGGGCAATGTAGCAACACAACATATGAAATAGTTTTGTAACCCTGTGTTATGACGTAATTAATTGGAATATTTTGTCGTGTCGGTTGGGGGGCCCAACGGTTACCGGGCTTATTATTATATATTGTTCAATAATTATCAAATGTTTAACAATTTCCAAATATCTCAGAAACTATAGGTCTTTTACTGGTGAGGAGTCGAAAAAATTGTAGTTTTTCTACTCATATGTGTGAATTTATTCAATTTTACGATCAATTACAATAAATTTAATCCAACTCAAAAAGAATTAATGACGGAACACCCTAATTTGGTAAGTAATATGCTACCTAGATATGCACGAGGAAAAGCTATTACAAATCATTTCCGAAATGAGCCGTCACCAACTGCTAAAAGGAAGATATAAGAAAAAATATTGTTTGGAATATATAGTTTTCAGAAAGAAGTTTTAAATATTTATATGTTTTTTTTTTGGGATATACAAATAGGCTTCACGCTGGCAAGAGATCATTAATAATGATGGCAATTATATTATTCATTAAAGTGAATTGGCGGTAAGGAAATTATTGTAGTTAGACCTAATATACCATATATTTCTGTATAATACAATTTCACCCCTAATGTAATCATGGTTCCATAGCATTGAATGTAATATATGGGACCATGTATAGAAGTACACACACATGGGAGTGGCCAGAAACGAATCTTTTGCATATGGCTCCAACAGATCATGACTTCCGGTCTTAGATCAAGTATCCCCTGAGTAGCCAACAAACATCCGTTTGGAGGCGAGCTAAGGTGAGAAGGTGTATCCCAGGAGGTTGTGCGTAGGTTTCGGGATCCACCATATGAAAAGTAATTTCCAATGAAAAATTGTATTATGCCTCCGATAAGAGAGACACTTTTTATCACGATGATGGTGGGTGAACGTCTCGTCACAATCCGTATCGAAATGAAATTTTTCAACACAACGCTTTTTGAGCGCCTCGAGCTAACTACTGTTGGAAAATTCAGATCTGAGTATGATACGAGGTCCTAACACCGCCTCGAATCACTATCTTATCGCAGCGGAGAGAAATCAGACTGTCTAACTCGCAACCTTGCGATCGCCCACCACACTGGCAGGTTGGAGTATATACCGTGAGCTGACTCGTCCGAAATGTGTGAGTATGAAGAGCTTGAGAAGCTGACCGATAAGGATAATGCTAAAAAATTCTACAAAATGATACGTCGCCGTACGGAAGGTTTGAATTGATGACGATGGAAAAGATGTTCCACTAGCCGTCTATAACGAGGTTCGAAAAACGACTGAATTCGACGGCTTACCGGCCGAACTATTCAAACATGGCGGTGAAGTGGTGACAAGGTGCATGCATCAGCTCCTTTGGTCGCATGAAAGCATGCCCGACGATTGGAACCTTGGTGTGCTCTGTCCAATCCACAAAAAGGGCTATTAAACAGTTTGTGCCAATTACCGTGGGATAAGTATTCTCAATATCAAATACAATATAAGGTTCTATCGAGCGTATTGTGTGAAAGAATAAAGCCCATCGTCAACAAACTGGTTGGACCTTATCAAGGTGGCTTTAGACCTGGTAAGTCAACCATTGACCAGATATTTACCATGCGCCGAACCTTTCAAAAGACACGTGAAAAGAGAATCGATACACACCAACTCTTCACCGATTTTAAAGTAGTTTTCGATAGCACGAAAAGGAGCTGCCTCAACGCTCGAAAATCTTATACGGCCATCTAAACTGACTTTAAGCAACACTAAAAGCTCCGTCAGGATCAGGAAGGGCCTCTCCGAGCAGTTCGAAACCAAACGAGAATTTAGACTGGGTGCGGATTGAGATATCTTAGCGTTTTTTGATTGGAATAGCTGTATTTTATGGATACTAAGGCTGTAGGCAGAGCTCCATAATTATTTTCCATTCAGCCATATTGACTTTATGAGAGAATTGTATAGAAGGAGTTTATGATCTAAGCATAAACCTGAATTTTTACAGTTTGAGGTGCTGTATTTTAGCAAAAGCATTGCGCTTCCAGGTCAGTCGTCTATTTAGGTGGATGCCGAGGTATTTAACTTTGCTTCCTTGAGGGATCATTTACTTTTACTCGTTCACTTTTATGCTTGACAGCCAACTTTCAACGAGTTTTAAATGATTTTCTAACGTTCGTGACGCTTTTATTGGGCTCCGACATAAAATAGCGATATCATCTGTGAATGTTGAGGTTTTTCGATTAGTACGAACAGCTTGAAACATGAAATGATAACAATCAGTTCGAGTGAATAATATGCGATTTACTGGTATATATCTATAACCCTTAAGAAGTTGATTAAACAATCTCAAAAAATGTGTAAAAATCCAGAATTTCGATTGATTTGAGTTCGGTTTGGCAAGCGATGCACAACACTCCAAGATCTCTCCAACATTGATAGCAATATCCTATTCGGCATTGGGGATTTTTGCATATAATAAAATCATTATCTGGAAGAAGAAGACATATTGACGTGTACATATGATGATTTGTAGCAGAGGCTTAAAAATATAGTGGGTTTTTAGTATTTATATATTTATGCAATTTTGTAAAAATGTAAAAGAAATTAACGGCAGAGCTTTTCTCCATTTTTAAGTTATGTTTCCTGATGTTTTACAAACATTTCTAAGTCATGAAATATTATCAAGGGTCTTCAAAAGCTTTGACCCATTCAAGGCAGCTGGTACAGATGAAATCTTCTTCGCCCTGTTGCAAAACGGATAAAACTTTCAACCACAGATCGCCAAAGGCCAGAGGAGAGGGTAATTTTTATCCCGTAGCCTGGTAAGGAGAATTACTCTGACTCCGTACCGAAATTATATACGGTAATATATAGTAATGAGTCTAGCAGGATGAGCGAAAGGCGAGAATCGGTAATACTTAAGAGATATCCACATCTATAATGATGGGTTCAAATGCGAGGCAGACAACGAACTGCTCGCGAAACCGTAAATGGGATAATCAGGAGCTGAGGTGCGACCACCCATGGTCAAGCAATAACCGCCCATGACCTTCCGCGCAGTTCATAATAATAAAACTGGGCAACACAAGACTTGTTTCTTATAATTTTTTTCTGTGATTGGCTATTTAAACGGCTCTGAATATTGAAAAAAAATACCAGGCAATTGCTAAAATCATATTTTATAAGATTTTCTTTGAAGAAACGACTATCTCAAGAATAAGCTGAAATTATTAGATTCATTTCTGCCTAGGAAGCTACTCATAGCCAATACAAATGACTTCAGTCATTGATTTCACAAAGTTAGTTTCTTTCATGAGCTCTCTAACCCGTGACTCATCAAAAAGTACCCGCTTTCAAGTTTTCTGCACTCAGAGTTTTCACTTGATGTATTTTGTTGGAGTTCACAGGGATTTGGCACTTTATTTTCACAACGTAGAAGTAGCAGCCACTATCATGGTTATTGCGGTTGCTGCCAAAATCATGAATTTTTCGGACATTGGTGCATCTATTTTCCCATGGGTCCACACATTTCTGGCTGAGGAACCCATGGCTTGTCCTCATTCCACAATTTTATTTGACAGTACTGATTATTCTCAATTTTTAGACAGTACAATATATAAAAATTACCGGTGTCTTGCAAATATTTCTCATGAATATAGCAAAAACAATCGGAATGAAGCACAGAGATCTTCATGGTGAAGTTATAAAAAGCAACGAAAATATATTTTACTGTTCAATAAAACCCCCAAGCCTAAGTAAAAATATTAAATAAGGGAAGTTGGCTAAATCTCAAAAAGAAGAGTTGATAGCGAAAAATTGTTGCCATATTTGTAAACTTCTGCAAAACAACTTTTCCTTTCTTTTAAATATATATAATTGGCGCTTTGTAACCGCTGAATCGGTTTTTCGGCCGAGCTCCTCCTCCAATTTGTGGTCTGTTTTGCGTCTTGATGTTTTTCCAACAAATGGAAGGACCTACAGTTTATACTAAGCCGCCTACGAACGGATGATGGTTTTTTACGAGGAGCCTTTATTTCATGCCCGAAATACACATGGAGGGGTTGACATTCCCTGCGAAGGGGCGAACACAATCAGAAAATTCAACTTAATTCTTTATTTGAATTAATTTTCCATAACCTTTTTTTGTGGCACCGGAATTTGAACTCGAGCCTTCCGAATGTCAGTACGCAATGCTAACCACTCGGCTACCGCGGCCGCATTTTCCTTTTGTTGGCCAGTGTAATAACTCGAACTAAACGTTCAATTATACGAAGTTCCTTCGAGCTTTGTATTTGGTGTTATCGTCCTAGTGGACACAAATGTGCAAATGCTATTAATATTTTACCTTCTAAATCATTACAAATTAAGCATTTAAAGCGGGACCCAGGAAGGCATCTCAACCACCTGCAACACTTAGGCCATTTTAATCGAAAACGCTGAAATAAAGAAGTTTTATAATTCAAATGATATAAAAGAGAGAGAGAGAGAGAGATTACCAAAATTAGGTTATAACGTTGTCGCATCTTTTGCTTAACCACATTAGATGTTGCTGTCTTCCGCATAGCTGAAAACAAGGTGCGTCTTCTTCGAAGAATATTATTATACAAATACAGTATACGTTTCTTCTCACGTTTATAATAGAAGTAACTGCATATCAATCTTCTCAATCGCATAAAGTACGAACTTTTATAAATAAGGATTATAATTACTAAATACGTCGCAACTAGTTTTAAATAGAAGCTATGAAATAATTAAGAAAATAAATGGCATACACATTACATAAATAATTAAAAATAAATTTGTAAAACCTTTTCGACAAAATATTGGGATTCGGTAAGCATGTCTCATTACTTAGATATGTTGACACCTTTGCATGTATATTAAAGTTATGAAGAGTTCTACGTAATAATCTCGCCATCAATCCACTACCTTCGACCTGCAAAAAATATATACATATGAATGTATGTACATATATTATTATAATTTACAATATTGCATTAAATATGTTTTGGCATTGTTTTTTTTAATGTATTAAAGCGGGCTTGTCTGTATATAAAACAAAGATGTTCACATGTTATCAAAACGAAATGAAACCGTTATCGTTTTATTTTTAAAATGCCTGCCCACTATGATTTAACAGCAATAGCTTTCCTCTTCAGTTGAAACGAAAAGAACTGCTTTGACGTTAATAAAGGGTGTTTGTTTAGCTATTATGTTTTTGGCAACACTGGTTTTATTATCAAAATGCGTACTCTGTTAAGAAAATTCATAGCGCACTTCTTTCGCGCGCGCTACGAAGCTCATTTTTGGCTTAATGGGTGCGTAAATAAGCCCTGCTGGTTAGGGGCTCAAGAATTTACCAGCGGTAAGGCATGCCTGTCGTAAGAGGCGACTTAAAACCAATAGTTCCCGCGACAGTCGAGTCTTTATACCGGAACGATCTGGATTTTTATCCGGCCAAGGACTGTCACTCCCGCAATTTTCCCCAATAAGTACTTTGGGGAATATTTTTGCGGTTACAACAAGAACAACATGGACTTATTGAGACGCGAGTTAGGTGAACATTTTATTTCACGTTCGGAACCGGTTAATTGGGCGCCCATATCGTGTGCTTTAACGCCTTTAGACTATTCTTTGTGTTTGCTTAATGTTTATACATACAAGCCCGCTTCAATTGACGCATTGGAGGACAACATTAAGGCATTTATCGTGAGATACCGGCCGAAATGTTGGAAAGAGTAAGCCAAAATTGGACTAAGCGGATGGACCATTTGAGGCGCAATCTTCAAACATTAAATTATATGGACCGTACTATCGAGTCAAATAAAAATTTAATGCGTTTTTTCTGAATTTTATATGTTATTTTTTAACTTTCTTATAGCTTTTTGAAAATCACCCTTTATTTTCAAATGTTTCAACCAAAACGGGGTAAATTTTTTGATTAACGTGATATTTATCGTTACGATGCAACCTTGATATAGAATATTATATTATAGTTTACAATGAAGAAACCGGAATTAACCATTTTTTTAAACATTTGTATTTATTTAATAAATCTGCTTCTTTATCAGGAGCTGCACAACAATTTGTCACATCTTAAAAACTAAATTAAAATATAATAGCCCATTAGCTAGGAATGGGCTGCTGACTTAATGTTGTTCCTCACAAGGGTAGTAAGTCCCTTCTCTTCAGGCGCGTTTGACTTATTAGGAAGGCCAAGGGGATAGCCAAAGGGTTCGGATGATGGTGCAGTTTTGCTTTGTACTTTTGTGTAACGATTTCAATCTATTTTTTGATTGTGCGTATATTTAGATCTCTATGGATATTTTCCTTACGCATGTACTATGGTGTGCCTGTTATTATTCGACTGAAATCTTATATGGATATCTAGATTTGTCGCGCGAGCTCTACCCCATAACTTTATTCCATACGTCCATATGGGTTTTATAGTCGCATTATAAAGGACTTTGTTTTCAAGGCTGAGCTTTCTTGCTTAAAAGCCAAACTAAAAATTTAAGCTTCAGCAGCATCTTTTTGGCAGAAATGTGTCGCTTCGCTCCCAAGTGAAAGTTTTTAATAATACATTTTTTAAGTTACATATCAAATGCTTGAATGTTTACATGTTAAAATGCTTGAATACTTAAAAAATATAACATAACTACTCCGACAGAGTGCCTGCCATTGACCGGAACAGATGACAGTCGGGCGGCGCAGTGTCTGATGAATCCGACGGTTGGATAGTACTTCCTAATCAAGAACTTATCAATATTTTTTCACTGGAGCCGATAGATGCTTGTATTATCATGAAGAAGAATAATTTTGTCGTTGCTGGGGTAATGTTGATGGCGTTTTTCCTTCAGAGATTGGCTCAATCTCAGAGGATTCCACTAGTTGTTTCGCTTGGATTAAGTAACTCGTAATACACCACCTTCAATCGTTTAAGTTTTTGGTCACCTTCTCCGATCTTTGTCTTCTGGGCCAAAATCGACGTTCTTAATTATTACAACACCAGAACATATTTGTTTCCAAGTTTGCTAATAGAAAAGAACCTGCGACATTCATGGCAATCCGTTCGAAAGGTACACCAGATGCACCGCTATAGATTGTTAACAAACTACACCGTAGAGCCTTTGTTTAATTTTCACTAAGGCCTTCCGTCTGTCTTCGTTTTCACAACATCCATATGTAGGTTTAAAGCTATCCCTTTGTGACCAGAAATGTTTTGCAATTGGACATTTCGCTGCTATTTGCTCTTCGATGTTTCGTGTGTTTATTGCCAATTCATTCATAAGGAGTCCAAAAACGTTCGTCTTGATAAGTCTTTTTTAGCTGTTATACTTACCACTCATTCGACTCCAGTAAGCAACTACCTCTTCATGTCCATTAGCTAACTCCGATTCCATAGTTGCTGACATCAGTATCCATCAATAAAAGTGTCGCATGGAACTGGGTACGTCAGCATGGGTGCAGAACATAGCCGCTCGAAGACTCGTCCTTAAAAACTCAAATTTTCTTCTCGAACTCATGGAGGCTGTTTGATTGAAGCAGTTAATAATTGGTCAGGACCTAACGATCTGCATAACCTTAGGAAACCTTTAAGTTTTTCTGCAGTGCGAATGCCCGTTTGTAACTTACCAATGTGTTCCTCATCAGTTATTGTTTTCAACCAGATTTCAGGTAATTTACTTACCTCATCGGCCACTAAATCAGTGGTGCAATTCAGTACCTTTTGTTGACACGATTTGTTGGATCGCAAACTTGCGAATTTGTCGCTTGCTCCTCTTCCAATGTTTTTCTTCTCTTCTTGATGTTTTTCCAACAAATGGAGGGACCTACAGTTTATACTTAGCCGCCTCCGAACTGCTGATGGTTTTTATGATTAGCTTTATTTCTTGTCAGAAATATACTCGGAGGGGGTGTCTTTCCCTGCCGAGGGGCGACCGCAATTAGAAAATTTAGTTTAATATTTTATTTAAATTGATTTTCTATAAATTTTTTGGATGTTATTACGATATTAGGACTTGAACCCGAGCCTTACGAATGACAGTACGCAATGCTAGCACTCGGCTACCGCGGCCGCCGACTGGATAGGACTGGATAATAGTATACACGAGATTTTCAGTGAAATTTCTGCTAATATCGTGTTATGTTCTTAAAAGGAGGTGAATTATTTACAAACTTTAATACTTTGTCCTTTCCATCAATTCATGCTCTAATATTCGTTTGATATTTTCCAACTCCTTCGGCTTCTTCTTCTCTATTGGCGTTTGTACCGCTTACGCGATTATAGCCGAATCGATATTAGCGCGCAATACATATTGGAAATACCAAGTGAAGCCAGGTCGCTCTGAATCTGATCCTTCCAAGTGGAGGTCTTCCTGTTCCTATGCTTCTACCAGCCGGTACTACATCGAATACTTTCAAATCTGGAGCGTTTTCATCCATTCGGACGAAATGACCTAGCCACCGTAGCCGCTGTCTCTACATTCGCTGGACTATGTCAATATCATCGTACAGCTCATCCTTCCATAGTCTGTGGTATTCGCCGTTGCCAATGCGCAAAGGACCCTAAATCGTTCGCAAAACCTCGAAGACTGCCAAAGCCGACTCATTGAGATATTGATATCGTCTACCCTTCTGCGCCTTATAGTAGGACGGGTATGATGAGCGACTTGTAAAGTTTGGTTTCGCCGAAAGAGGACTTTACTTTTTAATTACCTGCTCATTCCAAAGTAGCACCAGTGTGGCAAGAGTGATTCTGCGTTTGATTTTCAAGCTGACATTGTTGTCCTTCCTTAGGGTTAATTATTAAATAAAAGCAAAACATAATGAGTTATTTTGTAGAATAAATATATTTAGTCCAAAAAATAGCCCATATGTAACTGATTTTTGAAGTTTCACTGAAATTTTCTTTGGGTCGGGTCAGTGGTCACTTTTTTACTTGGTACACTATTTGTCAGGTCGGGTATTACATAAGCGAATTCAATTTAAGCCGGTTGAACAGCTCAAGTAGGATATTTTGTGTTGTTCTTTTAAATGTTACTCGGTAACCCACCTAACGTTCTTTTGCAGAGCAGACAATGTAGAAATTAAAGAGGCTAATGACAAGCGCTCAGTTTTAGATTCTTGAGGAAGAGTTGGAAAATAAATCACATTTAGCGAGGGATTTCCAAAAAAGGCGTTATACAACACAATTTAAAAAAGGAGTGGGAAAAATTAACAATGAAACAAGATATACATATTTAAAACTTGAAAAAAAAATTCAAATATTTCCCATTACATCACTTTAACTATTATTTTCAAATTTAAAGTGATGAAAAAAATGATCAACAACAAGAAAGAGTCAAGAGCAACCGGCGGAGGATTATACAAGCAGATGGTATTGACTCCTCTTGAAGAATCTATTGCAATTTTGAACGTTAAATGCAGCTCGTGCTGTATTAAGTGTGAATAACAATGAACTCCAGCGCGACATTAGCAGCAACAATACGCCAACAGATACAGAGAGAGTTCCTAAAGTGTCGAACGAGGAATCTTTTCGAGTAGATGTTCCATCAGCAGATGATGTACCAATTGACGGCACTACGCGTAGCACATATTCGGCAACGGTTTTATTGATTTAAGCAAACTTCACAGCTTTACCAGCGGTAAGGCATGGCCATCGTAAGAGGCAACTAAAATTCAATAATTCTCGCGACAGTCGGGTCTTTATACCAGAACGACCCGGATTTTTATCAGGCCAAGGACTGCCACTCCCGCAACATCCCCCAAAAAAGTACTTTGGGGAATATTTTTGCGGTTACAACAAAAACAACAACACGATATTCAGCATAAGACTTATTTTCAGTGTATTTCCGCACTCTTATATACCAACCGAGTACTCCCATGCATATCTAGGAAGTTTGTACGAATTTTTAACGAAACATCAGGCATACGATTCACACGCAACATTTCGATTCGATTTGAAAGTATTATAACCGTGTGATATTAGCATTTATAAAAAATTATACAAATATTTACCTGAAAATGAATTATATGTTCTCCTTTTTGTGTATACGAAACAAAAGATTTGATGCGTATTATCTCCAGCAATGTTACGATCAGATAGTCAAGTAATAAAAAAAGACTTGCGGCTAAAATTTCCATTGCGAATTGAAATAAATATAAATATATGGCTCTAGATTCCTGTTCAGTGTGTTGCCATGCGCTTTTCAAGTCCACTAAATTCTTTTTTTCAAACTGAAAGGACCGACAATTGAATGTAATATTCATGGCGATTTGTATCACAGATCCTTTACCTTTTTTAATGGCAACACAGTTGATTTCTTAGCTCTCTTTCGACGATCATCGACTCGGTGAAAGTATTCAGATATATAAACGTTATCAAAATTTATGTCTCCTAAATACTTTTTGTGATAATATAACGCGGCTGTAAGAAAATTTCCCTTAAATACATAAAATAAAATTTACTAATACACATTCTCCACGGTACCCTAATACTTTGTTCACTCTCTCAATGGTAATTCGGTAGAAAACATATCCTCGCCGTTCATAGAGAGCGAACTTCACCAAAAATGGATAATATGTTGTAATTACCTTTCAAATTAAAGTTACATCGTTCTCATTCTTAATTTTTATCTGAAATTCAGCGAAATTTGCTGACAAATAAAAACAATATAGGATTTTTGTTTATCAAACATTTTCGAGTTGATGGAATTACTAAAAGTGGTGAAATTTTGGGAATAGGAGTTTGCAAATTCTAAATGACTTAAATAAACTTGGGAACATATACAGCCTTGGCCAAAAGTATTAGGCACCCCACTAAAATACAAGTTTTCTCAAATGTGGCTTTCAAAGTTATCACTTCTTTTTGTAAATGTCTTACATGGGTGTTTAACTGTTTAATGAATGATTAAACGAATAAATTGTGTATTATTAAAAGTCATAGCACTCTAGGTAGGCTAAACCAAAAAATTGTCATTTTTAAGAAATTCTTAAAATATTTTAGTATTTCAAATTTGAAAGTGAAAGTGTAAATTACATTTAGTGAAAAGTTTGCATTAGTGAAAACAGTTCATATTTATCGAAATGCCTAAAAAAAGTGAAATTAGTTTCGATGATAGAGTTAAAATTCAAGTTCAAAGTGAAGAAGGTGAGTCTCAGGTTGAGATTGCCAATTTGGTGGGATGTTCGCGGTGCGCGGTCCACTGTGCTATCAGGCAATTAGTTGAGACGAAATCCCACAATTATAAATCAAAAAGTGGAAGAAAGCGTCTAACCAGTAAACGAGAAGACCGAATACTTCTACGCGAGTCTCTCAAGGATCGCAAAAATCTAGAAAAAGACTTCTGGAAGCAGGTTCAAAAAAATGTAAAGCCCGAAAGAAGCCGTGGCTCTCAGAACAGAGTAGGAAAAATCGTCGATACCAACATTTCACGGAAGAAGTTTGGTCGAATGTTCTGTGGTCTGATGAATCAAACTTCAAGGTAAGCTTAGTTATGATCGTCTTAAGGTATTAACAGCCATAGCTTCTTGCCCTAGAGAAATTTTGAAGACATATTATCATCTTATCAAAATATTATTTTTTATTTTCTAAAGATATTTCGAGCACCTGGTGTGATGTTCGTGAGGCTACGGGACGGGGAAGAATATCATTCAGAATACGTGGTACCCACTGTTAAGCATGGAAGAGGCAGTATTATGATCTGAGGCTACATGGCTACTGATGGTGTCGGCGAAATGTTCTTTTGCGAGAACTGCAGGACAGTCAAAAGTACATAAATGTACGAGAAATGTTCAAAAAATATTACGAATTTTTTGTTTCCTCAAAAGTTATTTATTTGTTCATGAATATCTATTTTGTCCGCTTCAAAGTAATCCCCATGAGATATTATACACTTGTGCCAACTTTTTTTCCAATCTTCGAAGCACTTCAAAAAATCATTTTTTTTTCTTGTTCAGCTCCTCCTTCGATGCCGTCTTTATCTCGTCAATCGTAGCGTAACGTCGTCCTTTCATGGGCCTCTTCAGTTTAGGGAACAAGAAAAAATCACAGGGGGCCAGATCTATGGAATACGGTGGCTGCGGTATCATTAGTGTGTTGTTTTTGACCAAAAAGTCGCGCACAAGCAAGATTGCTTCGCGCAAACTGCGCATAACTTGCAGCTAGTATTCCTTATTGACCGTTGTACCCTGTGGCAAGAACTCATGATGCACCACGCCCATGCCATTAATTTTTTCGTCTGTTGTTGAAGTGCTCGATCGTCCGGCACGCTCTTCGTCGTTCCCATCTTCTCGGCCTTCTGAGAACATTTTGTACCACCGATAAACGTTGCTTCGGTCCAAGATAGCTTCTCCGTATGCCACAGTCAACATTCGGAATGCATCCGCGCACTTAATTTCGTTTTTCACACAAAATTTGATACAGGTTCTTTGATCCAGCTTTTTGAACACACATCGTATTAGAAGCTGTTCTTCTACCTTCGTTAACGCGCATTTTTGGCGATACTAATTTAGACGGGGCTCAATTTCACCAAGACAATGAATGCTCCTTGTCACAAATCAGCGACTAAGATGCGTTGGTTTAGAGATAACAACATTGTTTTGTTAGATTGGCCTGCACAATCTCCAGATCTCAATCCCCTTGAGCACATGTGGGCTATTTTTAAACGCAAGATTAAGGAACACAGTATAACATCAAAAGCTGCCTTAAAGAATGCCATAATTAACGAGTGGTACGCTGAAAGTGTGGAAGGAAGCTTGTACGCAGCATGCCTAAGAGAATTGCTGCCGTTATTAAATCGAAGGGTGGACCTACTGAATCTTAATGTTATTATCACTAATTCATTGTATATTCACTGTTTTACTAATAAAACTTCATTACTTCACTTGTTAAAACAAAAAATTCAGTAATTAGTGGTGTGTCTAATACTTTTGGACAAGGCTGTACATACATATGTACATATATGAGTTGTTATGGAAAATATTAAAAATATTTAGGAAAATTTTAAATTTTATAATGAAATAAAAAGCAAAATGATGAATGAGAGAATTATCGAAACCGGGTGAAGTAAACGTGATAATTACAGATAGCAATTGAGAGAACAAACAATGTAATTCACAATGCCGTGGTAAGTAGTACAGTATTGAATTTACCAATTATAACTTTAATGAAGAGAATTGATAAGATCTTTTGCGTAATATTCATGACAACGTCAAACATTTTTCTTTTAGCATTAAATTCATTCATTAATAAATCTGCCGTGTGATCCGCATTCCTAAAAAAAAAAATTCAACTATATGAATATAATATAATATATAAGCATATACATATGTATTTGGACAATATTTATAAGTAAATAAAAAGAGCACAATTTTTCGGGTGTACTTATGAGTGTATGTGTGACATGAAATAAAGGCTCTTCATAGCAAAACATTTGCCTTTCGGAAGCGGCTTAATATGAAATGTAGGTCCCTCCATTTGAAGGTAAAACATCGAGACGCAGGAACCACAAATTGGAGGTGGAGTTCGGTCGAAAATCGCTCAGTAACTATAAAAAGTCAATATGTTGTGAATTTATTTTCAGAAATAAATAAAACTTGTGAACAAAAGATAAGGAAGGCGATTAATAAAAATTTCTTAAATGTTATAGTTTTCCGAAAGAAAAAACTGGCATTTTTTATTTTTTTTTTTCGAAAGTTAGTTTTTTAAATCTCAATAAATTAGCGGCTGATAAGATTTAAAAATGTTGGGAAATTTCATAGACTTAAGCGACTTATAGGGAAATTACGAAATTTTTATTTTCTTGAAATATTTCTAAACCAGCGTGACTACGTGATTTGCATTCAATCGTGGAATCATACAAAGCATATACTCGTACTCGTTAAATACAATATAATAAATGATTTCTTGACGTTTAAAAATTGAAAAAATATTTTAATGCTCCGCATATATTTTTATTTGAAAATGGTTAAATGTCAGATAGCTATGGAGGCGACAGCGAAGAGAGAACTGAACTACCCCCTGCGGTTTAGGGGCTCAAGAATTTACCCGCGGTAAGGCATGCCTGTCGTAAGAGGCGACTAAAATCCAATAGTTCTCGCGACAGTCGGGTCTTTATACCGGAACGACCCGGATTTTTATCCGGCCAAGGACTGTCACTCCCGCAACATTCCCCAAAAAGTATTTTGCGGTTACAACAACAACAACAACAACAGAGAACTGAACTCGACTTTACGACAGCCGGTACCTCGCACCGGAGTTGACTCGGATTTTATCCGACCAAGAGCTGTCACTCTTGTACACCCAAGTACATCAACGTAGCAGAGCTAGCGTCAGTACAAAACCTGGTCTGTCGGATAATTTCTGCTGTATAGGCTATAAAAAAATCCAACATTCTTTCATTTCGGTAAGTTGCAATCAGTGCAATGGCTGGAGTCATCGTCAGAAGGCATATGAGGATTCGACTACGCTTTACGTGGCTCAATGCTGTAGGTGGTCAACTACTGAGCTCCCCGCAGGAAGACTTCTAACCTTTCTCTTCAGCTACATCCACATCTAGCTCCAACTTCCGTCCAGGACTCCAAACAGCTCCTCTTGCCCTGCACTATCCCTTGTGTCTACAATCGCAACACTGCCGCTAACCACCACCAGCGGATACCCTGCAGCAGCACAGCTTTATCCCGTCTGGCCGAATTGCAGAAATCTGCTCTAATTTTCCTGCTGAAACGGCGAATTTAGCTTCTAGTTGAGACTACATACGTCTCACCGATTCCGAAAATCACCTCATTAGGGATCTCAATAAGGAGATTCGGCGAAAAGTTGACCAATACCCTTCGGTGAATAAAAAGAAGCACCGTCTGCGCAAACTACCAAATACCAACCCGGCGGTTGATTTCGTCAGGGAAGATATTCAGGGGGTTATCGGGAAACCGAAAGCCTCAAATCCAATACAGGAAAAATTTTTGTATACAGATGTTGTCCGACTACGGTTATATATTTTATGTGCGGCCGAAGACTGCAAGGAGGGAATGGTATTGTACGCAAAAGTACTGTGAAAGGCGAAAAAGTTTTTGATCCGACCAGGATTATTATTTTTATTTGATTCATTTTAATATTCAAAGTGAGGAGCTCCCGTGGCTTTAGCACCTACCACATAAAAAATCTGACCCAACGACAAAATTTCACAAAAAGGGAGCGTGATGTTCACACGGATGTTATAATAGTTCTACTAAAAAAGCAATGAACAACTATAATATTACTTGATAGATTGAAACGATGTACCATAACACTACACGTATTAAAAATTTCTGAGTGTTTGCTTTAGATATATATACATATTATAATGACTAAGAGTCTTTTTCTGGGATAGAAAGGGCGTATTATTGATTCATTACTTACTAAAGAGATCTACAATGAACGGCCAGTATTACAGTAATTTGTTTAGTCAGGCGCGTGAGACAGTAGTACAGAAGAGACGAGTTACCACGCGAAATGCTGTTTCTTCAAGACAACACAGCCGTTCACACCGCCCAGGTTGCGAGGGATGCCTTAAGAGCTACTGGATTGACAGGAATTGTCCAGTTTTTAAAACGGGGACGAAAATTTTCAGAAAAAAGTAGAAAATCATCTTGCAGAGAAATCTAAAGAATATTTTTTCAGTGATATAAAGGCATTGTATTCAAGATGTGGAAAATGTATTTCACTTGAAAGAGACTATAAAAAAAATCGAATATATAAAATTCTCGTGTCACAGTATTTGACACGATACTCTTCCGAAACGGCTTGACCGGTTTCAATGAACTTTTATGTGCATATTCAGTAGGAGAACCTAGAACTGACCTATTCAAAAGTAAGCGACCGATTGACTTGATTCGTCAAACTTTTTGTATGATACCTGGGTAGGGTTTCATGAAAAAACTTTACTGGAAGTAGATGAGGGACTGACATATTCGAAAAAATCTTACGTGTAGTTCGCTTCACTTAAAACTCGGTACATAGGTGGATTTTTGTTTAGATTAACGGAAAGCCTCTTCTTTTCTCCGGGAAGTGGACCAGGAACTGATATATTAAAAAAATTCATTTATAGTTCGATTTACTTGAAATTCGGCACATGGGCGTCTTTTTGCTCAGATTAACAGGAAGACTACACATCTCTCCGGGAAGTAGACCAGGGTCTGAAATATACATACAAGGTGTAATATTTTCCAAGAGTGACGCAAAGCAAAGAAGAAACAAATGGGGCGCTATTGTAGATTCGGCTATAATCGTATAACCACCGTTGTTAGGAAGTATTTCACGAAAAATAGTATTCTCTATCAAAAAATTTATTATTTTCCTTTAAATGACTTTTCTCAATTAGTTGTGGGATTTTGTTTGCCTTTCCAACAACACTAATATTTTAGAATCCAGTTCAGAATTTTTAAACATATAGTATTTACAAATTTTCGAAAATTCTACTCTCGCCCTTCAATAACTTCCAAAATATTATGTCAATTTGCGGCCAAAAATTGTATATAATTAAAATCAGGAAAACAGGCTGGACATGCCCACTTTTTCGTTTTCTTCTATCTTAAGAGGATGAATTTAGTGACTATGATGACAAAGACATCTTTTACATATTTATAAAGAAATAGTAGAATGAACAAAGAAAGAGGAAGATGATGAAGAACAGTATTTCATATTACGGGAAGAGGACAAAATGCTCAGTCTATGAAGTATCGATATTGTGTTTATACGAAATCTTATTACCTGAGTAGATCTTTTGGAGTTGGTGATTTTATTTTATATTTCACTTCCACATGGGAGTTGTTTCCATATAACAGCTTTTGAGAGTCGTCCAACTGGGCGTAGCTTTCACCGAAGTTTTTAGGCAATGCTTCATACGGGTCACAGATCTTATCTGGTTTTCCCAACAAATTAATATGACATATAAAATCTACTTGAAAGGGCCAGCATAACAAAGTTTTCACGACACGAGGAAACTTCTCGTTGCAATCTAAATAGGCATTTTCAAATGCGTCACGGCATCGTCGTTCTCCTCTTTTTAATTGCCTTTTACAACGCGTTTTGATTTTTTCTGAATAATTCTTTTGCACGCGCTCTGCTACACCTTCAACTTTACGTCGCTGTAGTTTCAAATTAGAATCATTATCTGTTCCAGAAACCTCGGTACGAATCGGCTGTAGTACTCCATTAAATTCATCAAAAGACTTTTCAACCAGTATAAAATCATCTTTTATGGTAGTTAACGTGTTGTGAAAGGGTTTTGTCATGAGATCTAATCGAGTTTTTGTTAAATTATACGTAAGCGTTGTTGCGCATGCGAATACACGAACAACTTCTCCACCATTTGAAGCCAAATTAAATATAGGCCCTAAATAGGTTTAAAGGGATGAAATTTTCAAAGTAATGAAGATGGTTTACCTGTAATTATATACGCAAAACATAGCGCTCGCAAATAACTTCTTCCAGATTTTCCGGCCATTCCAGCCAGTATTAGAAAGCTAATACATTTTATGTTCGTTGTAAAAACAAATCCTATTCCTATAGGTTTTACCGAATGCAAGGTGATTTAAGTGACTTCAATTTGTGACTCTAGCTTACCAACCAAGGCGGCAATAGACACTGATATAAGAACTTCGCTTTCCAGGGAAAAATTAAAGTTAAGCGATATTAATAACCAGAGAATCGCACCAACGCAGACTCCAACGAACCAGCTACAAATATATCTTGTCCAAATAAAAGACTCCACATTTGGACTAAGTAGAATACAATAAATTGGACGACATTTCTTAGAAAGTAATAAACAAACTTTTCTTTTAACAAAATATAACATTTTCGACATTGTTATCTGCGAAATTTTTATATTATTATTTTCCAACAGTGAATTTTAGACAGAGTTTTTATAAATACATATGTTTATGTATATAGTTATGTACCAGCGGATGTAAAAACTTAACATTAAGGTTGTCCGTATGACTACTATTGCGCTGAATCGATTGGGTAATCTTCGTTGAAGTCATATTTGTCATCCGTACCCGTCTCCAAACTAAACCCATCAAGTACATCAGTAATTTGGGAAATCTTTTTTTCACTGCGCGCATTCTGCTTTTTTCGCTTTTTTATTTGATCTTTTACATTTTTATTAAGTGTCTGATTACCTGAAAGAGAATACAAAAATGGTAGAATAAACAAAATTTCTTTCTTGTATTTTGGTGGACATATTCCGGCGTACGTATAGTAAAGTTAGAGAGTGTTCTAATTAACAAATCTTTTTCTTAATCACAAAGTTGACCTTCTGGCTTAGAAGCGACTCTATAGTTTGATTACTGAAATGCTGCAGTGACAGTCAAAATTTAATTAAAACTCTATTCTTATTTCTCACATTTTAAGTTGCATTTACGCAAGTATTATAAAATAGAGGGTTACGACAACAGCAAATTTATAAGTTTAATAACGAAGTCGGTATAACTGTACGAGTTGCCAAAGATTTGGAAATAAATTCTAAAGGCTTGCATTATAATTCTTTAAAATCGATAGCTATTTCAACGAACAAAGCAAATTTATGTCGAACAGAATACTTAAATTAGAAAAATTATTATAAAACAACTAACAACTCCAACATTTAATGTCATAGATTTGCATGAAGAAACTTTAAATGTCATCAACACTCCAACCGAATTCGCATTATTTATTCTAAATTTAATAGAGAAACCGATTTTCGTATATTTTTTCTTTATCCCCTAAAAGGCCTTTGTAAAATGGTTGATCTTTATCTTGTGAAGGAATTGCGATTTTAAGTTCGATGCAGGGAAAAAATAGTCAATGATTTTAAGAAAATTTGTATGAGTGATTTATATTAACATTTTCCGAAAAATTAAAACAAAAATGCAAATGTGGAGCCTCGTTAGCCGCGCTATTTTGTGAATTTGATGATATAAGTTTTTGAACTGAAAACTTGAAGTTTTGGTATTAAGAAAATTTAAATTTATCGAATAGTTATATAATGTAAATGTAAGAAGTAAGTATTATTGTATATTGGGTTGGCCCCAAGGTTTATATAATAAAAGGTTACGACAAGTGCAAAAACATATGTTTGATGACGAAAATGGTTCAATTTTGTGGGCTTACGAAGATTTTTAAATAAATTTTCATAATTTTATCTATAAAACAACTTAACATTTTGACAATAAAACTATAAATCCTTGCATTCAAATTTTTAAAAACTAATACTTAATAATAAGAAAACGTTCTGAATAGTTTTATGTCCCTCAAATGTATCTTAGTTTTCAAAAAAATTTAAATTTAAAAATTAATAATTTTTTTTTTTAAAAAAAGTGTCTATATCTAGAAATTCTAACATATAATGTCATGTAATACGAATGGCATAAGAAAATAATCTCAAAAACGTTAAAAATGATCAAAATTCAAAGCGAACGCGATTTTATAAAATATTTAATAAACCACCGGGTTTCGCATATTTTCTTTTCTTTTGAGAAATACATGAACCATATCTTGTGAAAAAATCGCGTTTAAAAATTCGAAACGGTGAAAAAGTGTACAGTAGGATAATGTAGACAAAAATTTGAAAAAAAAAAAAAAATTGTGTGAGTGATTTATATTAAAATTTTTTTTTTAATTGAAACAAACATGCGATATTGTGAAATATTTGTATATATTTGAAGTTTTGGCATTAAGAAAACTTGAATTCGTCGGATAATTAGCAATAATATATGTATATGAAAGAATGAAGTATTGTCTAAAAAAACTGATAAAGCTTATATTCACATTTGGTGGTCTTTGACCTGGGCCCTGGTTTAAACAGCTCACGCCTTGCACCGTAACTTGTTGTTTGTGAAATTTTGTGTGATTTTTTAGTAAGAAGGACTGCGACGTCTTCAGTACAAAAACAAAAATTGAATGATTTGTGTTTTCTTCTGTATGTACATATACATTTTTTTTAAAGAAAAATACATATTATTACTTTATTTTATAAATGTCAAGTCTTGTCCACTGTATATATGTGTGACGAAGTTAGTTTGGTGACGTCGACGGTTGTCGTAACCTTGTATTCTATATGCCTTTGTATATAATTTTTTTTTTTATATTTTTATATGAAAAATAATTTCAAATATTTTTTGATTGAAAAATACATAAAATAAATTCGAAATTAGTTTCGGAAAGTGATTGGAAAATAACAAATTTCATGAACTCACTGCAATTAAAATAAAATAAATTGCAGAAATTACTTTCGGGGTGATCACGCGACCACATTAAACTATTTCGACAGCACAAAAGCAAATAATTCAAATACAATGGAGTTTTAAAGTAGTCAATTGGAAAGATTTAAATTTCGAAAATAGTTTTTGATATGTTTGCAAAAAAATATATATATAATAATCACATACCTAAAATCTAAAAACTCTTTATTTTCATATTGGTCTTACCTTCCAAATTCATTACAGGATCCACTTTCGATTCTTCACTTGTTTCCTTTAGCTTACGTTTTTTACCTGCGGTGAGATTTTCATTTATTATGACTTTGCCAGTTTGCTTCAAATCAGTATCATTTATCGCCATTTCTACAGGCCCGCTTGAAATAATTTGCATGACTTCATCACTTTTAACATCAAATTTGTTGAGAATTTCCGTTTCCATCGCCTCGAAATTGTCCACATCAAATTCGCGAGCATCGGAATGTACAATAGCAGCACTAAGATGGATATCGTTTCTTTGCTCTTCTTCAGGCGGTTGAGTACAGTATTTAATTTTGCCGCTGTTCCAGTCATTAAGTACACTACGGGCTGCAGCGACAACATCTGGTACACCTTTTTTCAAAAACTTGCCTAAAAATTATAAATAAATACGTATATAGTATGTGTACACATAAGCAATAATTGCATATCTAAATAGAGAAATGATATCATCTTAGCACAAATATTAAGTTACATAGTTTTTCTTGCTTTTTACTCAGAGTTTTCTTCTTGACTTATAAAGTTTGTAAAAGCAAGTAAATTTCCTCCACTGAAAGTTGATTTTTGAATTATTGAATAGTTTCTGAGCTATATTCAAATAAGGTCACCGATTTGAAATTACGATGATTTCATTCCTCTTTAGACATTTTTTTTCAAGTGAAGCATTATAACACTACTTATACAGGTCCTCACCCATTCGAGCAGCCTTTTTAGCGAAAAATTCTTCAAAACTATCATATTCGGTAATATCGTAAAGTTTGCAAAAATAATCTTTACTAGCACGCTTTAGCACACTTTCGGCAACAGTAAAAGGATCTTTAACATCACCTACACGTTGGGCGTTCTTTAAAACAACTGCCTCTGTGTTTGCTTTCCCGAAATTCGTAAATACAATTCCAGGACAATCTATAAGTTTTATCTTCGAATCAAGTTCTACTTCCTGCATTACTCTGAAATTCAAATATTATGATTTAGCAAGTAAGCAATCTTATCTTAAAAATTTATACTCACTTTGTGATACCAGGAGTGCAACCAACGGAACAAGTTTTACCACGAGTCAAAGAATTTATTATAGAACTTTTACCAACATTTGGTATACCAACAACACCAACTCTAATTGACGTCTTAATGCCTTTATTACGGCAATAGTTTCCAAGCATTGACATTAACAACTCGGCTCCTACACATACTGATCCTTGCATAGCTTTTTCTGTTTTAGTCTGATTTAACTTTCGACGACCCAATTTTGAAGACTGATCTTGGGTTGAGGCTTTAAAAGCGGTTACTGGCCCAAAACGACGAAAATACCGAATCCAGCTGTTTAAATTTTCGCGTGGTACCAAATCAGCTTTGTTTAATATTAAAACCAGTCGCTTATTACCGGGCGATGACCTTACGGCTTGCTCAACTTCGCTGCATCGGGTTCCAAGGGGATCACGAGCGTCAACCACTTCCAAAATGACATCAGCATTCTGAATTACGTTTTTAAATTCTTTGAAGTACTGCTTAAGTGACTGTTCCTTATTACCGCCCGTGCTATATGCTTTCTACAAAGGATTAAGGTATACAATTTGTTTAATAAAATTTTTTGTTTCTAAAGTTTAATCAAATGTATTGTTAACACGAAAATAAATTGGTTTTTATCGCCAGGATTAAGACTTTGGAAAAGCTGAGACGTTAATATACCATATTAATAAGTGTACTCTATTCTGTATTAATTTAATTCTCCCACTTTGTCGTTTACTTAAGCACCGGTTGACCGGTATGATAAATACGAAGGAGAAATTTTAGAAATATTGTCGACTGCTGGATGAACGTTAGTTTATAAGTTTTTCAAATCTAGTCACTTTATTGTCTATACCAATATCATGAAGAGCAGCTTTGATTGTTTGTTCCCAATAGCAAATTCAGCAATCGAAGTTAACGATCAAAGTAATTTAAAAATATTCATTAATATTCACAGATTATTTAGTGAACATTTCAGCTTCAATTATCAGCAAATCGCTGCTCTTTCGCTCTTTTCTCGCACATTGTTGGCTTATTACAACTTTTTCTAGTAGTAATCCGCGCCAAGCTGAAATCGACAAACTTTTGTAATTTATATTTCTTGCAATGTATTATTGTTCAACGAAAAGACCCTCAACGAATTTGGAACTACTATCTCAGATGAAATTATCATTTTCACTGGCAAAATACAATAAATTGTACTCATATTATTAAGTTACGACTGATTTGAATCCATAATTTATATAAAACTTACCTCATCAACAATACTATCTAAATTAGTAGACGAATGCACCTCGCTGCGAACAGCCGCATCTTCAACCAAATCTTGAAGATTTTTTATTTTGTTGTCATTTCTTTGTTTCTTAAAAGCCTCGCGGCGACGATTGCGTTCCTCTTCTTGGCGTTTTTTAGCTTCCTCTACTTCTTTAAGTATATCTTCCTTGAAAGGACAAATATTTGGTATTTGTATAAGTTTTTGCTTCTTGCTTCCTTTCTTGGGATTCTTTTTGGTTTCCCTACGAACCTTCCTAGTGTGCTCACGTACTTTTTTTTCAATCTTATGCTTTAAACGCCCCGATAAGCGTTTGGACTTTTTAGCTGAAAAATTTAAAAGTATATTAATCGAATGCGTATTATCTTTAATAAATTTAACAAACTTTTTAATCTTTTCAGTGCCATTTTTAAACGCTTAAGCAAAACTTATATGTTTTTATAAAATTGTCATATTGTCAAAGACACTCACTTTAGTTTTCCACGTGAGGCTGAGCAGAGTTGCCAGAACTTTTATTTTCACAGCAATTGTAGACTAAACCTTCAAAGCATAAAATCTATTACAAATGCTGAACCGCCGTTTTGTGTGACGGGATTCGAGGCTGAGGTTTAAAAATATTGTTACGATTTTACTAAATCAACCTCGATTATTTTCTAAATCCTTCGGGTACGATCTCTGGATTGTTAAATAAAAACTCGCCAATTTAGTTTGCAGTATCTTTTGTTATAAAGAATTAATCTAATATCCTTTATTTACTCCGTAATTCACAATTCAATTACAATACACTTAATTATTTACAATCACTATCATCAACTTTCACAATTTACTCTACTTAAATGTAATCCCAACACGTTTACTTTACGATTTTACTGATGTTAACGCCAACGAGTTTACTTTATCACTAACTTGACTTGCAGCTGAGTGTCGCCTTTATATAGCAGTCGGCTGCTCGCAGACGAAAGCGTAGAAGCATCGAATTGTTCGCTATGGAAGGTTCTTGTTTTATCGTTTCTAGAACGTACTAGTTATCGGCTTCTCTCTTTCATCTGACATTCGCCTCGCATTTTCGCAACAATATTCACTCAAAACTTTTTTCAAAAGTATTAACGATATGAAAGATACATAAGATACGAATCAATTCAATATAAATAAATTAATAGCAGTAAATTTTCAATCAAATTATAATTATTTTCAGCATGCTTAGAATTTACTTAACAGAATCGTGTGTCCTTTTTCTTATAAAAAAACCTTTTTATGGAATTTTGCGGAAGTTAAAGTCCTTGGCCCGACTGTCGCGGGAACCGTTGGATTTTAGTCGCCTTACCGCGTGTAAATGAAAGGTGCGCATTGTGCTCTTTATTTCCTTCCTCTTTTTCGGTATTCTAATGAATGATTGGACAAGTGCGGCTACATCAATGGATACTATTTACCACCTGACGACTCTCCTTGCTGGTAAGTGGTTCAAGAATTTACCCGCGGTGAGACCTGCCTGTCATAAGAGGCGACTAAACTCCGATGGTTCCCGGGACAGTCGGGTCTTCATACCGGAACGACCCGGCTTTTTATCCGGCCAAGGACTGTCACTCCCGCAGTATTCCGCAAAAAAAATTAGGTGAATAATTTTGCGGTTACAACAACAAAAACTAAAATCCAATAGTCCCCGCGACAGTCGGGTCTTTATACCAGAACGACCGGGGCTTTTATCCTACCAAGGACTTTCACTCCCGAAGCATTCCCCAAAAAGTACTTTGGGGAATATTTTTGTGGTTACAACAACAACAACACCTGGCGACTTTTATTCTGCACAAACAAGAAACCCAAATTAAAAAACTTCCCAATGCATAAAAGTGTAAGGCTGCAACTACCCAACTCACTCTCCAGCCGTCCATAACTGACGACGTTAGTAGTGAAATACATACACGAGCTATCGACGCTGCTGAGAGCGGCGAAATGTTGCCAGCTGCCTGTGTGTTTGCACACTTTTGAACAAATTCATAATTTTCGTCAACGAATTTCATAATTTATTTGCTTTAACATAAACACAAGGCAAATATACATGATCTATATAGTAACAAATAATTAGTTACGCATTTATTTTTCATTTCTTTTGAACAAAACTACGCATTATTTTCGATTATTTAATGTTACTTTAAGAAAGGCCATACTGGCAACCTTGTATAGCAACGAAAAATGAGCCGAGCCGGTTTTACGGAAAAATCAAAACTTCGTTGGTTTCTGCGACACAAACGTCAGCAGCGCTATGGTAAATCGGTGACAACTTTGTGTTTACATGGCGCTCTCATAAGATAGGTTACTATGGACGGCTGGTACGCTCGTTGGGTAGTTGCAGCCTAATGTTAAAAGCAAAACTTTCGTTGCTTTTTACCCCCAAAATCAAATAAATTATAAACAGAATTTACATACATGTATATTTAAAGCACATTATTTCTACAAACCTTTCAGTGCAGCTTCTAATTTTACTTTCTATTTTTTTCCAAAGGTATTTTGCTTTAATCTCGAATAGACGAAATTTACGAATAAAATCTTCTACGTCATATTTCTCAAAATAAAATAATAATAAAAATGAATCATAGCAGCCAGATAGTCAGTGCTTTCCTAATTTCCCTTAATTAAATTCATTTTAAAGTTAACATCGGAATACAAAAGTATTTATTATTTTACTATTTGCAGCTGTCAAATTGTCTTCTGGTAAAGAGCTAATCGCCACTCATTGTAAGTTAATCGCAACTTAATTGATGGTGAAAGCGGCCCTTAGAAACAAAAGTATTTATTTGAGACTAGACCCTCGCTAAATTTCGGCACTGAACAATTTTTTGGCCGAAATATTTTGAAATAGTTAGAGAAGTTATTTGATATATTATTGTGAAATAAACTGTTTTAAAAGAGATCTTTTTGCTCTTGATTTTAAATTACCAACTTTTTCATATCGACATGCTATTTGAAGTAATTCATTCAATGCCTTTCAGTACTTTTATAGTGCAATTTTAATGCTTTGTTGTGGAAATGGACTTCCAAAGGACTTACATTGAAATAAGTGATGATTATGACCACATTGATCCAAATATAGAGTATATTTTGGAAAATGTTCCCGGTACAGTAGTTGATAAAAACGAAGAATACCGGCAACTGCAAATAGAATTTAACTCGATATTGTTATATGGCTGCGAAGGAGATTCCTGCAATCATAATTGCAGTAATTGTTTACATGGTGGTAATTATAAATGGGATGTTAAGAATCAAGAGTTGATTCTAGATACAAAAAAAGCCGGAGAAATATTTAATGAGTGCAGTTTTATTTGCAAATGTGATCCATCTGTCTGTTTAAATAGACTTATACAAAAGGGGCCGAGAAAGAAACTAAAAATATTTGATTCTGATTTGTTTCTTTCTAAGGGGCTTCTTACAACAGGAAACATTCCAAAAGGGGGTTTTATTTGTGAATATGCTGGAGAAATTTTAACAAGGAATGAAGCATCGCGACGTATAAATTTAAACGAACAAAATTTAGGTATGAATTATATATTGGTTATGAATGAGCAAAGAGAGGAGGGGAATTCGACCAACATAACAATAATTGATCCAAGCAAGAAAGGTAATATCGGCCGATATTTAAATCATAGTTGTGATCCAAATTGCGAGATACGATCTGTGCGTGTGGATTGTCCAATTCCTAAAATAGGTACAACAAGTTTTGATGTTTTAACTCATTATTATATTTCTATTATAATTTTCATTATTCAGCCATATTTGCAAAACGAGATATTAGTGCTGGAGAAGAACTTTGTTTCCATTATAATGGCGGCCAGATAGAAAAACAACCAAAATTCGAAGGAAAAACATGTCTCTGTGGTGCCGTTAATTGTGCGGGATTTATGCCATTTAATAATTTGTTATTTTGATAATTAAAGGGCCTCATCTCACTTCTGCTAACTATTTATTGCAATTACATTTTTTTTTATGGGTTACAGACGAATTTAAAATAAAATTTAACAATTTTGTCCATAACATAGCTTAAAATTTTGTCTGTAATATTTTAAAGACCTGCATTATATTTATTTAAAATCACTAACAGCCTGAAATGAATATAATATCATTAGCGCTTTGCGTCCACTGAAGCTATTTTTGGCAGATTTCTTCCTCCAATTCGTGGTTCATGTTGACGGTTTTTTATGAGTTGCTATTTCATGTCATAAATACGCCCGAAGGGTTTGGCATTCCCTGGATAACCGTAAAAGTTTAATTTTTTTATTTAAATTAATTTTCTACTTTCTAACTCTGGCCTTCTGAATTGCATCGACGATTTCGAAGATGTTATGTAGAGTAATTACTGAAGAAAACTATTCTGAATGAAGTTGATTCACACAATAAGCCGCAAAGATGGAATGAATTCAGATGCGTTCACCATTTGAGCCGCTGAATGAAAACCTACCACGTCGCAAACCACAATAACCGCTTAATTGATATCCACTATTAGCAATGAATCGAAAGCAAAGCTACAATCACAGGGCAGAGATCAAAGAAATTTTGTCGGGCTAACACATCACGAAGGAAATCGTCACACATGTTAATCAACATGAATACCAACAGGTTCCCTCACTATAATAGCTCTATCCGTTTCGCCAATACTCATGAAAGATCTCTGCCCTTTATGAATCCCCGCACGACTCTAACCCTTTATTTGCATGCCCACCAAATCCAACTCTCTAACACCCTTTTTACTCCTGTCGGAATCCTAGGAAACAGCTCGTATCCTAGACCTTTTGAAGGCATTACCAAGGCAGCAGGCTGCTAAAACAACAACACAGAGTAATTGATATACTTGTCTTAAGCTAATTTATTATTAAAATTATGAACCATTAGTTGCTAATAAGAATATTAACTTAGTTAATGAAATGCTTGCTATAGTACACAGCTCGTTTTTATTTGCTTTGAGCCCGCAACTGTAATGCGAAGGAAGAGCTCTAATTCCCTGGCAAATTTTTGCATATTTTGCTTTTCCTGGACTAAGCGAATATCCCACATATTTTCTTTTTGGTTTATTTTAAAAAAAAGTATAAGCGATTTGTAGTTCCATTATAAGCTTCTTTGCTTTCTTGCACGAGGAGGATTCCAAGATACGGGTGTTGTGTCGGTTATAGAAACTATTTGTAGTCCTCCCATTTGTAAACCCTTAATAGCAGACTATAAAAAAATGTTAATATTAATATATACATGACCGAACGTACATAAGAGATAATCACCATTCTACCCGGGCCTAATCCACGTACTTTCACTCGAACTGTCTTCCAACCCAATTCGATAGCTTTCTGTAATTAAAATAAGTTAATGGAAAAGCATTTAAAACTTTCAATCATCTTACTTCGCTAATTGATATTGCTGTGGCTTGTGCTGCAATATTTGTACCCTTTCGAGTATTTTTAAAACCTTCAACACCACAGGATCGAATTAGTCTAGGAACGCCTTTGCTATCCGTTACATTTATAATGGTATTATTAGGAGATACTCGGATGTTACATATGGGCAAGTCAACGAAGGGTATTCCATTAAATAACTGATGAGAAGTTTCACTATCTGGGAAAAATTTATCTTTCCTGTAAAATGCATATATGTAGTCATAAAGTAACATTTAATAACAATATTTATTCATTATTTATATGATCATTTGACAGGGATAACAACCCTTCCAAGCGTAGTTCTAATATGAAAAGTGAAAACTGAACCATTTGCTAAATATCCTCAATCAGGCCTTAGCGTCAAATGTAATAACTCATGAGCACGTTGAACAATTTCTTGGGCTTCATTGTTTTCACCATCCATATCATTTTTAATTAAGGTAATTAAACAAATTAAGAGCATATTTCAGTCAAACTTACTTTTGAATGAGCGTATCAATATCAATAGATTTTTCTCCAGTGGTTCCTTCGTCTTTCGCAGGTAAAGAAGCCATCATCCCCTTACGATCTTCCACTTTTTTCAGAAATGTTGTAGTGTGGAAGCCACTTGATTTCATGAAATTTATGCATTGTGATGGATACCGACCGAAAAGAGCACATATTGGAGTTCTGAACATTATGAACTTTAATTACGTGAGCATTAAAAAACTACAAATGTATGGTTTGAAGTTATCGTTACATTCTTAATCGATATACAGCACATGATACAAAAAATTTATTAGGTAGTTTCACTTCAAAATTTTTGACATTTAGAAATGCTTGTTCTTGCCACTTAAAAAATTTTTAACTGGGAGATTTTTTAATTACTTTGCTGTTATTTTCTATGGAGATACTATGAATTCAAATATTTGTTTTAAGCCCTTTTTCAAAGGCGGCAAAAGTAAGAAAAGAATTGCCATCCTTCATTTTTTTCGGATCTTAAGCTTTTAGATTTTTTTAACTATATGCCAAAAGTTCGTGGTTTGGGGCTCTGTTTATAGGGACACCCAGGAAACTGCAGGATCGATGAGCTGATCGGATAGGGATAGTCATAACACCAGTAAACTTTGTACTTTCCATATCCACACGATTTTTCATTAATATCCCAGTTTTTTTGCTGAAGCCGTGTTTTTCCTAAAAAAGGATTGTAACGTTAAATAACGGTGTTTTTACTTTGGGAGCTATTTGAATGGTTGCACGATTGAAATGAAAATCTCGAAATCAACATTCGTATACTTTAATCTTAATTAACTCCTTTATTTTATCTTGATATACTTCTTCTTTATTCTGTCTCTTTTTGAATTGCGATGACATTTCAGATGGATCCTGCGGATTAGGGGCTCACAAATTCACCCGCGGTAATAAGAAATCCAATAGCTCCCACCACAGTCGGGCCTTTACACGGGATCGACCCGGAGTTTTATGTCTAGGAACTTTTAATCCCGAAATATTACCCGAAATCTAATTAGGGAAATATTTTTTCGGTTACTCCAACACGTTACGAATGTTTGAATCAAAACAGTCTATGCAGAAGTCTGTAATTGGGTCATCTGGTTGTGGGGCATTTCTTCGGTTCATATTCGGGGCTTCCTTGAAGTTCAAAGTTGTCTATCTAAAATAAAAAGTGGGAAAACAACAATCAAACATTAAATAGTAAATTTACCGAAAATATAATATTACCAGAATTTGGATGTAACCAAGGTCCTTATCCATATTTCAAACTTCTATATATTTTACGTAAATCCTATATGTCATTACCGATGGGAGTTTTAAATTTAAAACGTAATCTTTGTTTTATAGTTCCTCAAAGATCACTTAAATAAAAGATAATAGCGGCGATAAATTCTTTGCTATGAGCGACTCGTTTTCTTTTTTCGTAATATATTTTATGATCACTTTTTTCACTGCTAACTGAGATTAATAAATATTACCGATCTATTATCCAGGCATCAATTCAGTATATGAATGTGAACTAGAAACAAATGTCGTTTTATCACTACGGCAGTAAATCGGCGAATTGCCTATTTGCTGCTATATTGGTGTTTGTTTCCTACTTCTCATGTTTTGTATTGTTGCGAAAATGCGAGGCGAATGTCAGATGAAAGAAAGAAGCCGATAACTAGTACGTTCTAGAAACGATAAAACAAGAACCTTCCATAGCGAACAATTCGATGCTTCTACGCTTTCGTCTGCGAGGAGCCGACTGCTATATAAAGGCGGCACTCAGCTGCAAGTCAAGTTAGTGACAAAGCGAGCTGGTTGGCGTTAACATCAGTGAAATTGTAAAGTGAACGCGTTGGGAATTACATTTAAGTAGAGTAAATTGTGAAAGTTGATGTTAGTGATTATAAATAGTAAAGTGCAGTATAATTGAATTGTGAATTGCTGAGAAAATAAAGGACATTAGATAGAATCTTTATTTCGGAAGAAACTGCAAATTAAGTTGGCGAGTTTTTATTTAACAATCCAGAGATCGTACCCGAAGGATCTAGAAAATAATCGAGGTTGATTTAGTAAAATCGTAACAATATGATGGGTATCCCCATGTAAGCCCAGACTTAGGTTGGTCAAAATCGTGTGCGTGAAATGATAAAGTCATCAGCCCGTTCTTACAGGGCAGCAAGTACGAAAACCAGCTGATTTATGATCTATGTTTGCACATTCGACAACAAAACAAAATTGATTTAAAATGAAAATAATGCTAATACTTTAATATGGATGATATACCAAATAAGTGCTCAAATGCAATTTTATTAAATTAAATTGAATGATGTCATTATTCAGGTAATAGTGAAAGCACTCGTATGCAGCGTACATTGAGGAATCGGAAGTTAGGAATGTCCAAGGCTTAGAATTAAAATACGTATATTATTAATCATGGTTCAACCCGAATTGATTTTGGATTTTTTGAATTTACAAGAAAGTATTGTGGACCAAAAGATCCGCATTGCAATGAAAGATTATTGGGACGCCCACCATGACGATAATATATTCCTAAGTTTCCGGAAGCGGCGTTGATGCACAAAATGAAATGAAAGTAAAACATACTGCTATTTTTATGGTTTGTCGGCTATGTGGGAACAAAAATAAGTTTGTTTGCTCAGCCAATCATAAAATATTCCAGTCAGAGATCTTTTAATTATTTTTTGGGATAGTTTTCTGGTAGATGGACGTTTGTAGTTATAAAACAATGCTAATTACTGCCCTCAGTTTGGACTAAAGACGGCAGCTGATGTAAGAAAAGAAATCTAGGAGATTAAAAATGCCACGATTACAGCTAAATTAAAAATTGCTTAAATTTTTTATAATTACATACATATTTAATTTTTCTCTTAATTTCAAAAACTCATCCCATATAGTTAGTGGCTGCATTTATTTCTCATCGCCATCTATGGATTCTGTTTTTACTAATATGCTAAAAAACACGAATCTGTTTCAATATAGTTTATTAAACACCAATTGTTTGTGCCTGTTTGTTTTTTATGCTTCGTCAGTTACATATTCACATGCCAGCCGATGTCGTAAATGTATACTCCCATTCTGCCCAGGGCTGAAGGCATGAACGTAACCGCAATGCAGAATAAACATAATTTTTCTCTAAATACCATTGTGCCCCTAACTATGAGTAGAACGTCTGCTCGGCTTGTTCGCAACCTCAGCATTTTCTTTTCAGTAACAATAATTAAACAGCATATGCAACATTGCATTCATTAAAGTTTATTTGGTAATTCTTCCGGCAATGCAGGCAATTTCTTCAAAATCCAATCGTGAATATCTACAATTTCACGTTTCTTAAGCTCATGCAAAGTGTTGTCAAGTGGTATAAATTTTCCTTTTACACCAAGCCGAGTCAAATTGTCAAAAGTTTCTTTACCCCAGTCTAGGGGAACCAGAGTGTCCTTAACACCATGATACATTCGCAGTTCGGGTAAATCAGATCCCGTTTCTAATGTTTGACTAAGCGATTCGTATACTATGGAATCTCGATTAAGAAAAGATGAGCAAGCAAAAATTCCTGCTAAATTCTTATTAAGGTGAAAACCAGTATGCAATGCCAATGCACCACCCATGGAGAACCCACCAACGACTATGCGGTTGGATGTTATACCAAGCTCCGCCTCGTTATTTATGATATCGTTAATCTTATCATAGATTTGAGATATACTTTTTCTATTCTCTAAAACATCAATAGATATAGCACGACGATCAAACCAGACATTTGATTGTTCTCCGGATAATGGTGTATATGGCTGCAACGGAGCTGTAGGGTAAATGACTTTTATATGTCCAAAGTCCTTGTCTCGACCCAATAGAAATCTTATCCATTGTACTAAATTTGAACCAGTGTCCCCTATAGAAATACACACATATATATGCATGTAAATTTAAGAAAATAATTAAATTATTGAATAAAAACAATTTCTTTAATTAACTGATTATACCTGAACCGTGCAAAAACATCAAAGTAGCACTATGAGCACGACTAGTTGGATGGATGTTTCTCAACATTAAACTCATTTTTAGTGATGTCCAGTTACTAGTACTTAATAAGAAATACTCGATCTCTTTCAGCAAAACCGAGTATTTTTTATACTCCCATATTCATACACATATGTATGTACAAGGGCTGTATAGGTATTGCATAAGATTTTGCTAGTAGCTGTACAGTGAAATTACTATAACGAATTAATCTCCATTTTTTCAAATCGTTTAGTTCCAACACCGGATTATTAAATAGTAGCAAGTCGTTCAGGCTTTTTATTGATAATACACAGTTTACTAACTCTTGTATAAACAAACAGTTTGCTTTTTGAATTTACAACAGTGTTGACACTAAAAAGTTCTCTACGCAACATAGCATCCCTGCAATAAGATTTCCGATCATTTGAGCCAACATATGTCAGGAACGATTCCCATCATTTTCTTAATGCCGAAATGACAAACGTCTAGGAATTTTCGTCATTTTTGTCGAACAAACAGAACACAGCTGAGCGACAGCATTGAAACAAAAAAAAAAAATAAAAATTTCGATGTAAAAAACAACGCAGCAGTGCCGAACACAGATGAGCAACAGCATTGATGCCGAAGGAAATCAGCTTTGACAAAATTTTTCCCTAAATATTGTACATACATACAAACATTATAAAAATTCAGTTTTTATTCCAAAATTTTACATATATCATATCACAATACAATAGTTTATAAAAGAAATAACAATACCACAATAAATTCGTTGACAAAAATCATCAGAATATTGCAAGCAAAACCATGCCATGTGTTGGTAATTCAGCCCTTCCGTAATAATCGTTCCTACTTTGCAGTTTAAAGACGTCTAAGTAAAATAAAAAAATAATATTCGAAACAGAACGTTATTAATATCTAAATGCAGTTGTAAATATCTTCCACAGTTTTATTGAATATTTTTAAATCTGCTCTTGCTGCGTGAGAAGCGTCCATTCCAGTCAATCTGCTCCATTAGCCAAATTTTCCGGATTCCAAAGGAGGAGAACCCATCGGTTGACTATATTTCACTTTTAAGCGCTGTGTGGCATGAATAGTCTGACAATCGTTTTAAGAAACCGACAAGAACAAGAAAGCTTTTGCTTTGCTATTTGTTTTATTTTATGGCCTCTACAGTGGTATTGACAATATCTGAGTAAAGCAAAGTGGAGTAAACTGTTTATCTTCAGGGAAATAGTACAGTGTTAGGGCTCGTCTTAACCTAACCTTTAACAGGAGGATAACTCACCCCAGATACATAGGTTGTAATTACACTTTCGTTTTCACCAAGTTCTCGTTGCCTTACTTTTGGTTAGTATTATAATTGTGAATATTTCTAGATAGGGCGAGGTCCAAACAGTCAAAATACTTTGTAATGACCCATATAGTGAACCCTGCATTCCATAAATTTGCCTTACAACAATACTTTGCAAACTTTGACATTTTGGAACGCTTTTCGTGCAAATAATTTGCTTTTCGGTGAAATGGCCAAAATATTAAACAGATCAAAAAAATAAGTAATATAATGTTAAAAAAAAACTTGCCCTCCGTCGTCGACCGTTGGCTAAGAATTTATGATAATTAGCGGTGCGCAGTTTGCTTTTTTTTGTGCATCAATAACTTTACCGATGCATATTGGAACATGATATATCGTCAAAGTTTGCACAGTTGCATTTAGGAATGTGAGACATTGTATGGTTGTTTTGCGTCTATGGGGGAGTAATCTTTACGTGTTGTTGTTGTTGTTGTTGTAACCGCAAAATTATTCCCCAAAGTACTTTTTGGGAAATGTTGCGGGAGTGGCAGTCCTTGGCCGGATAAAAATCCGGGTCGTTTCGGTATAAAGACCCGACTGTCGCGGGAACTATTGGATTTTAGTCGCCTGCATCTCACTTTGCCCGGCTACTAGTTGATGGAGAAAACTGGAGTGATTCACGGGGGTGGAGTGTTAGGTCATCCTGTGACATTTCAATATGCTAATCTTATTTCTCTTATTTATTATTTTCTGATTGTCATATTCTAAATACATATGTAAATATGTATATGGAACGGGGCTGTTACATAGCTTGCGGCCACCGGATAGTGAAGTTCTCCAAAATACGGTAGGACAGTTTTTTTTGATTTGTTTTATTTTTTGAAGGGACAAAAAGTGGACCCATGATAATCGTTGCATAATATCAGAGCTTGAAAATTATTGTTGCAAGAAAAATTTACAGTATGCAGGGTTGCATTGTAATGATGCGGTTACTGTTGCGATTAACTTATTTCCGATAAGTAGTTGTGGCGAGGAATACAAAATATTGCCGAACATTCAACTTTTTACGCTTCCTTAGTTCTCTAATTCAATACATAATATTTAAGCTTCTCGGAAGAGTGAAAATACCAATTGATTTACGAAGTTAGTCGGCAACACAAATAAGAAATAACGATAATTTTTAGGCTTTCATTGGGGCATACCATCGGTTTGCTTCGCTCTGAATGCATAGTTTAATCAGTAATGCAAAGTGTAATAGATTCTATGTGAGTCATCTGTGATTTATCTTGCTAAAATATCTTGCGAAAAAAATATGTGTAGAGTGTACTCTACTTGTAAAAGATAGATGTGGAACATGTCCATGTAAGAAACGTACACATTCTAAAATATGTTTCAGTTTGTCCTAAATATTTAATCAGTACTCAAACAACAAAAGTTTTTTGGCTGAGTAATTGTTGCTCGGCTATTTTTTGTGTTTATTATATTGATTGGTATGTAATGCAGCTCCTTATATTTTAATATATAATTTTAATTTTCATGTTTTTCATATACATATGTATGTACATACGTATGTTCCAAAGACATTAATTACCGATAACGTTCAGAAGTGAGCCAGTTTTTCTTATGACCATTTTTTTTTTTTTTAATGTAACTACATACTTTTGTGGTAAACTATCCCACGATTTAAAAAATTATCAACTTTGAAATACCAATTTACATGTTTCTACTTTGGCTGTGTATGTACATAAATACATCTAAGGGCGTTTTATTATAGTAACATAGATAGTAGGTATTTTTTTTTTTAGTTATATTTTCTGATGTTATTGTTGTAAGTCAGAAGTCCATTCGACCAATACTCAGAAAATTAGGACTTCAAACCACTACGTATGTATGTATGTACATATATGTAAGTGATTTGTAGATCCTTTCATCAAAGATAAAGTTTTGTTTGCTATTTAAACTATATTCGTTGATTGTCTCAATGTCGTAAATATACTTACATATACCCTGTTTGGATGTTGCGCTGGTTAAAATTCTAAGTTTCGAACGATAATCAGCTGCGGCGGCCGCCAAATGAAAAAATTTTATGGAAAGTAACTTGGGATTTGAAGAGTTTACGGTGTTACTAACCTTGGAAAAAAGCGAAAGCTGATTATAAAAGAGATATTTTTTTTGTAAAAGTCGAGGCATTTCATATAATTACGTTCGTTTTCACAATTACTTTTAAAATGAAGTAAAACAAATTTTGAACTGGTAAATGAACTATTTCGCCGTTTTTGTCCAAATTTCAATTTACTCTTTACTTTGAAATTTTATTCCACTATCTTTGGATATTGTATCTAAAATTGTATTTTCTGTTGTTTTTTGAGCAGAGAAAATTGTTGGATATTCCACAATTAGAAAGAAGAAAAACAGCAGAAGTTGATATTTTTACACTTAAAAGTAAATTATTCGCTGGAGTTTCATTTAAAATTACACAAATACTGTCTGGACACTGGTGGCCTACATATAATCCTTAGTTCGATAATTCTACCAAATTAAAAAAAAACACTCCCTTTGGTCCGAGCCCGTTTAAACAACTCTTTTCCTAGACCCCAGTAGATCAAAATTGCGAAATTTAGCCTGCAACGAATCGGTGTTAGATAGTCGCTACAACAACAAGAACAACTGATTACTTTACTTTTGATTGACCTCTTCTTTGATAGACAATTACAACTTATAAGTTGTCAAACGGTTTCCCCACTATGATGCGGGAACCATATATCCTTCTTTATAGGAAAAGGCTTTCAATTTTTTTTTTGTAACCCGCCGGGTGGTTTCCAGAAACTTCCTATATTTGGGACGTTTCCTCAGGTTCCACAAGAGTGGATTACCACAAATAGCAGAATGTTAGCAAACATTAGTACGTAGCCTGACTTGACGTCGCTAAGCGCTGAAACTTGCGACTGTTCTTAAAACCCGAAAAGAGAGCTTATAAATATTCAAATTATACTTACTCGTGAAGAAAATGAAACAGAAAATATTTTCATTTCAGAAGCCGAGATGAGCAGCTGTAATTCTGCGAACCGTTGCCAAAATGCTGATTTTATATTTGGTGACCGTTGTTCGTATGGTCCTCCATCAAATGCATCGGAGGACGTTGATGATCGCGATGATGATATGACCTTTTGCATGTCAAATTATGCTAAAGAAGTTTTAAAAATGATGTTTATGATGCGGTCGCACAATATGCTTACAGATGTTGTATTAGAAGTGAAGCAAGAACTATTTCCGGCACACAAAGTAGTTTTATCAGCGGCTTCGCCTTATTTCAAAGCTATGTTTACGGGTGGCTTAAAGGAATCGGAAATGTCAAGGGTTCAGTTGCAAGGGGTAAATATTCGGATTTTATATTTTAAGAAAAAATATATTTATAAATTAAAAGTATTTTCTGAATGTTAGGTTTGTCCCACGGCAATGGGTCGAATTATATATTTCATGTATACAGGACACATTCGCGTTACGGAAGTCACAGTTTGTCAGTTACTACCTGCTGCAACAATGTTTCAAGTTCCCACCGTTATAAATGCATGTTGTGCCTTTTTGGAGAGGCAACTAGATCCAACAAATGCTATTGGTATAGCGAGCTTTGCTGAACAACATGGATGTTCTGATCTTCAAAAGAAGGCCAACCATTTCATAGAGAGAAATTTTACTCAGGTAAAGTAATGTACTTTTAAAATAAATATATAGAAATGTTTTGAGATTTTTAGCATCGGTTTTTAAAAAACAGAAGCAAACACAAACTCTCAAGCAAAAGTTAAAATTATAAAGTAAAAAACTCTTCGCGATATTCAAAATTTCCCTGTAATAAAATATACATAAGTCAAGGCACACACGGTAGTAATAATGATCCAAAGACAAAAGGCCTATGTATAAGCCAGATTAACACACGCAAGAATACAAAAACAAAAGGACTATACATTAAGATGTGTATCATAAATTCGAAATTCGTTTATTTTGGCGGTTAAATTTTAATCAGTTCATTTAAGGGGGAAGCTGGTCTAGAACGCAAAAAAATGGGCATATTTTATGAATTTATTTTGACTCAACAAAGGAATCAATCCACAATTTGTGGTTTCATGGTACAAATACAAAATTGTTCGTGTGAATTAATTTCAAAATGGCCGCTGCCCAGCATTTCTAAAAATACGCATTTTTTTTCTAATGGGTCCATGGCCGAAGATGTAAACTCCTTAATTTTTGTCCTGGCTCAAAAAATAATTTATTTTTAATTTCTATATAACAACAGTAAGAGACGTACGTAGGATTTTTAAACAAAAGTTAAAATTTTCACTATAAAAAACGATATAAAATTGTTGATTAAAAAAAACTATGTTATATAAAAAAAATCTTACGTACGTTTTCGGAGAACGGTATTTCGAATGTACTGTCAAAATTTCGTAAGAATTGGTGAAGATTTGTTCGAGTTATGTCTTCGGCCAGTTTAAAAAAGGTGATTTCGTGATTGATTGATTGAATGATTTTGCCGGCATCCATATTTTGATATGTTATTTCGAAGACCCTAAATCACCTTTTAAGACAAAAAATTTTTTTTAAATTCTTTCAAAATTCTAGACTGGCAAGCTGGTCCTTAAGTATACAGTTTATCTTTTCTGCTTTTAAGTATATTCCTAAGTGTTTTAATAAAATTGGTAATTATTTAGCATATTTAATTTATTAATTGTATTCAAAATTTATTGCACTTCAAAAATGATAAAACTCTACATGCTTTATAGCCGTCAAACGATAAAGATACTAACACGTTTTTTCTAAAAGTTGTCTAAAAAGACGAAATGTTTATGAAAAATTTGTTTTGCAAGAATTTGTAGCTTAGATTTTCAGTGCGGATGACTGAAATAGGAAAATGGGTTAGAAATTCTTTTTCCGTGTAAGCCGGTCATATTAACTGAACATTATTATAGAGTTAATTCCATTCTGTTTAAATAAAAACCAAGCACTAGCACTAAATTTGATTTTGTGCATCGTCGTCGCATCCGGAAGCTTAATAAAGCATTATCGTCACTGTGACCATTGCAAAAACTTTGCTTCTCAATGTTTTGCGGCTCATTTGGTCGACACTGCTTTTTACTAAATTTAAGAAATCTAAAATCAATTTCAATATTCCTGACTTCTAATTAATCAACGTGAGCTCAGTGGTATGCGGGCAATGATTCCACTTCACTGTCACCATATCCTCATTTAATGAGGAAAACTCATCTAGCCAATTCCCTTACTCGAAATGATATTTGGGTAAAATTAAAAGACTTTACATATCTATGACACCGCCGTGTAAATTGAATAATAAATTCCAGCACCAACAACATAGGCTGCTTTCGTAAACGTAATATGCAAAGCAATTTTTTATACCCATGCCCACACCATGCAAAGTATGTATGCGCTCCGTCCCTGCTTAGCCAAAATATGCAACGTATATATTTGGCGTTTATGAATGCCCCTGGGCATTGTTCTGAAATCTGTTAAAGAGTTAAACTTTGTGGCGACCCATCCATTTCGACTCTTTTCGTTTGTTTTTACTGTAATACGTGTAAAACAAAACTCATTCGCATGAAATTTGGCTTACATTCCTTTATGAATTTAGGACTTTGTCTAAATTAATACAGTGACCCCCTCGGATTAGGTGTTCAAGAATTTACCCGCGTTAAGGCATGCCTGTCGTGAGAGCCGACTAAAATCCAATCGTTCCCGCGACAGTCGGGTATTTATACCGGAACGACCCGAATTTTTATCCGGTCAAGCTGTTTATTTATATTGTCAAAAAGGAACTACCTCTACGCCGCTATGTTTCTATTTTGTATATCTTCAAAATTTAGACGGCTGGGTAAAATGACGTTGGAAAATGCCAGAAGCTTCGTTGGAACGAGTTTTCAGCTCAGCATGCTCATTAATTTGTTTAATGTTTTTCCAACTAAATTTTTTAATTAATTTTCTATAATTTTGGATCTTGGTTTGACCAGAAAAACTCGTGACCCTCCAAATGGTTGTATGTACTACTAACCACTTTAGCTAACCCTTAACTTTTATAGTAAATTTTGTTTTACATAGTTATTTTGGTAGAATATTTGATGATTCCACCTAAAAATTAAACGTAAAGCTTCAAAAGAAACTCAAAGTGTTTAGAATGTAAGAAAAACTGAGATTATAAGATTTTGCCTTCTTGCCTCGGCTTTGTTGACTCAGATTAACGCCTGAGATGTAAAAAAATCCCTTTTATCATTTAATTAAAAAAGTGTGTGGAAGGGACTACAAACACTAACCTGTCGTTGCAGTCAATGCAGAAGATTTTGTGAATCGAGTGACCTTTGCAGATAGTTTGAGAACAACTTTGGCATTTATTTGTTTATTCCTTATCCCATTTTTGGGACAAATGTAGCATCGGTGACGTATTTGCGTCCATGGTACCTCTAAATCCATGTGTTTGTCTGATAACATATAATTTGTGAGTCGATTTTCTCTTAGTTATTTTATCAGAGTTTCTTCAAGGTTTCTAACAATAACTGAACGAGAATTCGGTAGAGTTGGTAATAAAATTTGAAAGTTTATGCTTTTCAATTGAGCCACTATATATGGGTGATTAATAACGGAAATTTATTTATATATGTTATAGGATGATGGAGAAATATAATAAATAACATTGTATTCTCATTTGTAGGTTTGTCAAGAAGAGGAATTTCTTCAATTGTCTGCATTCCAATTGATTTCATTAATACGTCGCGACGAACTTAATGTTCAAGAAGAGCGAGAGGTGTATAATGCTGTACTTAAATGGGTGAAGTATGACGAAGAGGATCGTTATCCAAGAATGGAACATATACTTTATGCTGTTCGATGTCAGTTTCTCACTCCGAATTTTCTGAAAGAGCAAATGAGAAATTGTGACGTATTACGAAAAGTTCCCGCATGCCGAGAATACCTAGCAAAGATATTTAAAGATTTAACTTTACACAAACGCCCTGTGGTTAAAGAGCGAACGCCAAATACAACCCGAATGATTTTTGTAGCAGGAGGATTTTTTCGGCAATCTTTAGATATACTAGAAGCTTATAATGTTGATGACAAAACATGGACAACGTTGCCAAATTTGCGTATACCTCGATCGGGACTAGGCGCCGCATTTCTAAAAGGTACTTTTTACGCTGTGGGCGGACGGAATAATTCGATCGGCTCATCGTATGACTCGGACTGGGTGGACCGCTATAATACTTTTACAGAGCTGTGGCGTCCTTGTGCCCCAATGACAGTTCCACGGCATCGTGTAGGGGTTGCCGTAATGGACGAATTGATGTATGCTGTTGGTGGATCTGCAGGCTCAGAATATCACAATTCAGTTGAATAGTATGTTGCGAAAGTATACAAAATACTTTTCTTTAGAAACGTTTTAATTTTATTAATTTTAGTTATGATCCGGATCAGGATCGATGGACGCTGGTACAACCAATGCACGAAAAACGACTGGGTGTAGGTGTGGTTGTTGTTAATCGCTTATTATATGCAATTGGAGGTTTCAATGGAATTGACCGCCTCACAACTGTGGAATGTTATCACCCGGAGAACAATGAATGGACGTTTGTGAAACCAATGCAGTATGAGAGAAGTGGAGCCGGTAAGTACCATATTACACACTACTATAAAATACTATACTATTGGATAAGTGCATAAGTTCGTGCCCGATTCCGCTGGCTGCCGTTCGAATCGTTGAGAGTGGCGCTCGTGAAAGAAATATATACATATTATATATCGTTGGAAAGGTGACAGTCCGAACTGTAAATCAAGCACAAAATAACTTCATTTTGATTTGAGTTGCTTAGTGAAAAGACGCATGGAAGATGGACAACGAAAAAGATCATATGCGTCATATTATGTTATACGAATTCCGCAAAGGAAAAACAGTAGGAGCTGCAACTGAAGATATTCGCGAAGTTTATTCGGACCGTGCTCCAGCACTCCGCACAGTAAACAAATGGTTCGCGAAATTTCGTTCTGGAGATTTTAACCTCGAAGATCAACCTCGCAGTGGACGGCCTTCTGAGCTTGAAGACGATGTTCTAAGGACTTTAGTTGCGAATAACTCACGTATTTCGACGGAAGAGGTTGCCAGTGAATTGAACGTCAACAAATCAACTGCGTTTCGTCGTTTAAAAAAGGTTTGGTACACTTTGAAGCTCGATACATGGGTGCCACATCAGTTGAGTGAAAAAAATAAAGTGGACCGTATGTCAACAGCAATTTCTTTGCTTCGACGGATCAAAAACGAACCTTTTTTGGATCGGCTCGTGACTGGTAATGAAAAATGGGTCCTGTACTGCAATGTTCAACGCAAAAGAACATGGAAACAGGCACACGAAGGGGCGGAACCGATGTCGAAAGGTGGATTGCATCTGATGAAGGTACTGCTGTGCATTTGGTAGAATATCCGAGGCGTGATCTATTTTGAGCTCTTGCCAGCTGGAGAAACGATCACTGCCAACAAGTATTGTCAGCAATTGGTCGAATTGAAGAAAGCAATTGATGAAAAACGTCCGATTTTGGCCAATCGCAAAGGAGTTATTTTCCATAATGACAACGCCAGGCCACATATTGCAAAACCGACCCTGGCCAAACTGAAGGAGATGAATTGGGAAATCATGCCGCATCCCTCATATTCACCCGACATTGCACCTTCTGATTATCATTTGTTTCGATCGCTGCAGAACAATTTGAATGGAAAAAATTTAAAAATGTGTAAGCGTCAAAAACCACCTTGACACCTTTTTCAATTAGAAACCGCGGAATTTCTATGAATCAGGCATCCGTAAATTGGTTGAACGTTAGGAGTGGATTGCCGAACATAATGGCGAATACATAATTGATTAATAAAAGCGCTTTCTTCAAAAAATTTCAATTTTAGTTTGCACTTGAAATCGGGCACGAACTTATGCACTCATCCAATATAATACCTTATAATTTTAAAACTGATTCATTGAATCCAACTAAATTTTCATAGTACATAAATCTCATTAATCATGTAATTTATGTTTAGTTTATCCAAATTCTGATAATGCGAAGTGGCATGAAAAATCCCTTATTTGTAGAGAGATATGGGCGGTATTGGCAAGAGGGTGTTTTCTCCTCAAGTCTTAAATATAAAAATAACTAACTTAACTATTAAATTCCAATTTAATTTATATAGCTTATTACAAAAAATTAAGTAGCTTCGTTAACCAAAATTAGTGAAACAAAGTGAAGTTAATATGGCAGCGAATTCAAGTTTTTCCATTCATTGAATGTTGAACTAATTTTTCAGTTTTTTTTGCTTGCATTTCGTTTGAGTAGTGGGATTTTTTATATTGTAGCTTCCGCTAAAAACGAGTAGAAGAGAAAGTTTGTTCTTTTTTTTGGCAAATCACAATACAAAACTGAATTTTTTTCTCCTGTTCTCACATTTATGAATTTGCCTTGTTTATTTATTAACTTTCGTTGTTCTTGCTCAACGTTTAACACTAAATACAAATATACACTGACTTGAAAAATTGTTGTGCAAACTAAATCATTTCTAACAAGAGGACTATGGGGTAATTTTTTCGTATAACTCTGAAATTATAACTGTAGTCAGAATGATATAGAAACGATTGAAAACGGTTATCTAATTAATTTAATTATATTTCTTAACAAAAAAATATTTTTTAAGATGTAGTTTTTGTTATTATGAATACAAATGTGTCGGATTAAGGATTAAAATAAAAAATTGAAATTTTTAGAATAAATCAAATAATTCAAAGTTTCACGTACTCGTATAGAATCATATACAATTGTCTTTTTTTTTGATTTAAGAGGTAAAGGTAATCAATCCCAGTAGTAAAAATTAATTTTTTTGAACAAAAACCAAATACTAATTCAGTTACACGTTTTAACCGCAAAATACAAAGTGGGAGAGTCTTGACATTTGTAAAAATATATGTGGCTTATGTGTTAGTGTTGTTCGAAATCGTAACAGCGTATTGGTGAACCCCTTAGCCCGATGTTGCAGGTTAGTCTTTCTTAAGTTGTATTTCCGTTTTTAAAAATTGGCCTCGATTCGACGTTCTAGGAAAACAATTAACAGGTTGGTATCCTGCCGACTCTCCTTTTCATACATGCAATCGCGAATAAGAAAGAAAACAAGAAAGAAGATGCTTCCGGGTATCTATAATTTGGAATCAACGGTCAAATGAAAATGGCGATAAGACAGAAATATGTTCAATTCAAATTCATTCATATGGGTCTAAACTTGAAAAATTGTCTAATCTCGAACAAAGTTGTTTTGTCAAATATCCACAGTTATGTAGTTATATATAGATATATATAATATATTTTATTTATTTTTTACTCAATCCTAAGATCCTAAAATTAATAAAATACAGCTTCCACAATTTAATAATAATTAATAATTTTACAGGTGTTGCTGCTATCAATCAATATATTTATGTTGTAGGAGGATTCGATGGAACTCGCCAACTTTCAACTGTAGAACGGTATGATACCGAGAACCATATTTGGGAACTAATCGCTCCGGTGGGCATAGCTCGTAGTGCTTTATCTCTTACATCTTTAGATGGAAAGCTATATGCTATTGGTGGCTTCGATGGAACAAATTTTCTCTCTATTGTTGAGGTATATGATCCTAAGACTAATACATGGGAGCAAGGTACTCCTTTAAATTCTGGCCGTTCTGGTCATGCGTCAGCGGTAATATATCAACCGGCATGTGCTACAAATTTTATGGACTGTATGGACGCGGAAACAACTAAACGTAGTGGCAGTGATCCTTGCCCTGATCAAACATCGAAAAGGGAGTATAATAATCAAATGGGCCACAACTTTCCAAGCAAAGAAAATGGCGGTGACTGCATGCGTTTTCACACGTCTTTTGGTGGAAACAGCTGCAGAAATTGTGATTTTGAGATGCAACAAAGGAAGTACTGTATATTCCAATGTTTAAATCCAAAAAGCAACTGGATTTTCAAATATTTTGAATACATTCTGCATTTGTACCTGAAGAAAGGAATCTTAGCTTCACAATCAATTTTTCTTTTTCCTGAAATTTTCTCTAAAGAAATATTAAATCGTTGCGAGTATGAAAAATTATATGTTCTTACTCGGGTTTTCAAAAAAATAGATGTCGGCCATAAATTTTATAAATATTTTCATAAGCTGAGGGAAAGGCATTGCAAGAAATATGATTTAATGTGACAATCGTTTATTTTGAACTAGGTAGATTTATAAACCTTAATGTAAGAAAATCGTTTACGTGCTTAATACAATTGTTAATTTAGTATGTAAGTATAACATATTTGATTGTGATATTCCCTTATCAAAAACAAATGGTACTTTTTGTAATATTTAATAAAAAAAAATTAGAAATACACGCCTATGCCTTAAGAATAAATATATCTAAATATATTTTACGTTCGATCTATTTATGTTCTCTGAAAAGGTGAAATGAAAAGTTATTCTTATTTTGTCTGCTTTCGTCACCATCAAGGTAAAAACGTTGACGGGAATATTAATTATGTATATATATATATTATATATATATATAATTGGCTCTTTGTAACCGCTGAAACGATTTTCGGCCGAGTTCCTCCTCCAATTTGTGGTTTTACGTTTTGATGGTTTTCCAACAAATTGAGGGACCTTCAGTTGATACTAAGCCCTCTCCGAACGGCTGATAGTTTTTTATGAGGAGCTTTAGTTCATGTCCGGAATACGGTGGAGTTAACATTCTCTGACGAGGGGCGACCGCAATTAGAAAATTTAGCTTAATTTCTTATTTAAACTAATTTTCTAGAAATTTTTGGATGTTAGCATGACACCAGAATTTTAACCCGAGCCTTCCGAATGGCTGTACGCAATGCTAACCACTTGGCTAGTGCGGCCGCCAATAATAATTTCGGTTAGTAGATAATAGCTAATAAAGATACAAAAAATAGCACCTCAAATACAGTAAAGTATAGGGGTGTAGGGGCATTTAAAACAATTTTTTTTATGAAACTTCTTTTAATTATAAAAATTGAAACATTGCATAATATGTGATATACTACAACATCTTTGCGAATTTTTAAAAACTTTGTTCCGTTCGAGATAATTTTCGACTACTTTTTGTAGCAAGTTTAAGTAATTTTAAAGGGCTGTGCGGCCGTTAGGCAATTCATTTAAACAGCTGTAGGAACTGGCACTTTGTGCTGAGTAGGGATTTGAAAAATAAAGCCCTCTCTCATTGAACAAAAACCACAATCCACAAATCGTGCATCATTCCTGCACTGTGGCTATGCTGGTTAGGTCATGACGCTTGAATGGATACAACCAATCCAGCAGGCAGAGGAATAGGGAGACTTCCACTTCGTGTAAAGCGACATAATTTCGCTTGGTACTTCCAACTGGGAAAAAGAGAACGAATAATAGCGTAAGCTTTGTTTAAGCCAATGCACTTTCCTCCAAACATTCAGGAGTGTTATAAAAGCCGACACAGAATCGCTTATTTATCGGAAATGCAAATCAACATCCGTTTGAAATGGTGTTATGAAACGGACTTGATTTTGCTTTTCTTCGTAGATAAACAAAACCGATATTCGAATCAGCTGTCAACAGACTTGTGCAAAAATTCCCAGTTTTTTTTTTTGCAATTTCAATTTAATTTATTGTACTAATTTTAACAAATTGTGAGTATTAACTAATGATAAAATGGCTTCGACAGTCAACTTTTGATGATAGAAGGATTTGGAGAAGCCATCTAGAAAATAAAGCGCAAAATGGTAAGGGATAAGAGCAATCCGCTGGAGCTGCTAGAGTCGATGCAAGTGCAATTTGTATGCTACTTTTACATTTGCTGATACAAAATTTGTTTGAATGTAGATTCACAGAGCAGTTGCGTCCTAAAAAAGAAGCCTTTGCAAAAGTGCTGGATGTCATTGAAGACAAGTTAGAGAGGCTGTCTATCTCACCTGTGCTCCAACTTGCAGCCACACTGTGGTTTTTGGCAGAGAGTTCCTATTAACGGTCTGTGGGACTCAAATATCTTCTTAGTGCGACCTACAGTTTCGGCGGTTATAACAGATATACTAAAGATTTTTGAACGTTTGAATTGCCCACGTTGGATAATTTTGGGAATGAACGGCAACGAAAAGGAGAGTTCGTGACCATTTCTACATCAAGTACCGTATTCCAGGCATTGCTGGTTGTAGAATCCAATGTTCATGACTTTCGGTTTCTGTAACACCTAAAATCGACACGATGCCGTCACCCCTTCAAAAAAATTTTGTCGGTTTCAATTCTGATTTCAACAACAATATGAACCTGTAACACCCTTGATTAATATAGCATAAACATCTTTACCATTTAAAAGCTTTACGTTTTATTCGACAAATTGCATACATATATAAAATAATTAATTTTTACTGTTAAAATGTTGTTAATAATCAATCGTATGAAAATTGGGGAAGTACCATAGTTTTAAAAGGAACATTGAAAATATATAAATGCATATTATTTTCATATACTATATATGTAGATTTTACATAGATTCAGCATTACATACATACGCTCTAAATGCTTTGTTATTCACAATTTGTATTATGGCGACTTAACATTTAAATGGATCATAATAACACACTAGTCTAAGGCGGTGAATGCATGAAGCAACGTTTAAAAGAAATTTAATTCACTCTTCTCTGTTATGCTCTCTTTAAAAAAAACCGAATATCCAATTAATTAAAATACAATAAACATGCTGTATATCAGTACACAGTTGTAATAAATATTATAATAATGAATTTATAAAAAGGGATGAAAACACACATATTTATAAGTATATTGTGGAGTGTTAACTTTTCTATTACAATAAAGTCTATTAATTTTAGTTTATTTTCACTCTGATAAAAATGATAAATTCAATACAATTAGTCATTGGGCCAGCTATTTCCAAAAGTTTCCTACATTTCCATCCCCTTTGAAGATTTTTCTTATTTGTCTTGTAGTTTCCAAAAAAAAATCTGTTTATATGAAGTCCAGAATTTTTATGTTGTTTTTTTGTTTGCCAAAATTAAAAAAAAAAAATTTTGTTTGTAGTGATACGATTTTCTATTATTAAAAGTGAAAATTCGGAGAATTTGCGATTTTCGTGCAAATATAGTGAAACAGATAGCTTGTGTATTTTTAAAAGCCAAATTATTTGCTATGATTCTGACCATTCTTACGCAAAAGCAAAAATAAATACAAGGTAAATATCGTAATTCTCCTGCTCTCACTTTTGTGAACTGAACATGGAAAGAAACATAAATATATTTTGAAGCCAGTTTTCTAGTCAAATAAAAGTACTACCACACACTTTATTATAAATACATCTCGTATTTTATGAACTACAAATGTCATTCCCAACGTTTTTTAAAAACGAATAATAGCAATAATAATGAATTAGCAATGTGAATTAGATATATGTGTGCATTACTTTTTTCGAGACGATTGCCGTTGCTGCTAAATAAATAAATGCAGTAATAATGTTGATGAGAGTATACTACAGATAAACCTTTTCAGTAAAAATTGAATGAAAGTATTTTAATACTAAAATATCGTCTTATGTAGAAAATAATATTATTTTAACACACATGTGTACTATTAAAGATAAAAGTATTGTTTCAAAATATATCTTAAATACATATATATATAAATATGAATTGCTATTAAGCAATGTAATTTAACATTTTCCAAGAGTTTCCATAAGTATATGTTGAAGATAAGTAAATATTGTGTTCAAAGAAGTTAGTGTGATGGTAATTTAGAATTAATATTCAAGTATGTGATCTTCTCCTCTATAACTTATATTAAATGTGAGACTGAGCTTATCCTTAATCGTTGCCTAGTTTCCCATGTAAGTTATAGGTGAAATAATCCTTTTGTTGTTGGTAATTTGGAATACATTGTGAAAGATGTAATTTCAATTCTGAAAAGAAAACAATGATATTAATATGATGTAACAAAAAGTTTCAATTTCTTCATAAGCTTATGTAGTATTAGTATAAAAATACTCTCTCAAAATATGCAGTCGATAGCAGAATTTACAATTTTCTAAAGTTGTAACGCAACAATCATGGAAGATATAAGCTCGACGACGTTAATTATGAGGGGTTGCAAAATGAAAAAAGGACGTGATTTTCTCCACATATTTTTTACTTAAAAATCCTAATTTTTTTTAAGAGAATACGGTAGCACGAAAAAGACGTTTAGTGTCAGATAACTATGAAGCAAGACGATACACATAACACAAAACATTGTTTTGATTTACTTTCAGTTACTTTTTGCTGTTGTTTTTTTTCCAAAGTTCAAAATCCCAATTAGTCCACATATTAGTAGTTTTATATTTGTATTTAATACACTTTTATTAATAATATAAAAAGGATGGCTATCTCCATTTCTGCATACACACATACACCGAGCTCTGCTTTTAATTTTTAGCGTATTCTTGATGTTTTCCCAAAAGGTGGAGGGGCCGCCTATTACCTAGAATAATCCAAGTTTCCTAACCGATTGATGAACTTTTATCAAGAGCTTTTTTTCATGTCAGAAATACACTTGGAATGAGATTGAAATTTCTTGCCGAGAAGCGAACGTTATCAAGAAACTAATTGTTTAGTATATAATTTTTATAATGGGGACAATAATATATAATATTTAAAAACTGCTCTATAGCCATTTCGCAAATTAACTTAATATTTCGTTAGACTGTAGTACGCAGATTAACTACACTTACCTATTTTGTAGACAAAGCGTCCTTAATTTTGTCGAGGCCACTTTCAAATCCTCCTTTCAGCTCTTCCTTAATTTTATTAGCTGTATCATCTTCATGTTCATGGTAATAAACAAAATATACTACAACACCAACTATTAGGAAGACGACAAAAAATGCACTTATTATTGATATAAGTACACTCAGAGCGCAACTGAAGCAGCTGAAACGTAAAAGCATTCAGAATTAGATAAGAATGAAAAATATACAAATTTTCAATACATGCAATTATGACAAAAGTTTAGATTGAGTTTTACCAATAAAATGGCCAGGAGTTTTTTTTCGAGGAGCCTTATTTCATGTCGGAAATACACTCGGAGGGGTTGACATTCCCTGCCAAGGGGCGACCGCAATTATAAAATTTACCTTAATTTTTTATTTAAATGAATTTTTTATAATTTTTTGGATGTTATTTCGACAACAGGATTTGAGCCCGAACCTTCCGAATGGCAGTACGCAATGCTAACCACTCGGCTACCGCGGCCGTTGGTCAAAAAATGGGCTGGGTTGTTTCAACAAGGAAGAAAGACCTGTGTACCGAAGAAAATCTTCAGAAATTAATAAGTCTAAAATTTTCGAATTACGTAATCCGGACACTAAACTAAATTAAAGACAAGTTTATCCATATTTCAATCTGATAATTAAGTTTTACACTAACCCAGCAATGCTAGAATCGAATGCAGAATCAGTGTTGTAAGAAGGAGCGTAATTTGTGTGTAGTAAATAAACTTCGTTTTTTACTTCGACTATTTATCTATCGGCAAACGAATAAAATTGAAAAGAAAATGAACGCCGGGGCAACCGGCCACGAGCTCTTCAAGTTCAAACGCGTATGTTCCCACGAATGAACGAACGAAAGGCGACTACACGGCCGCCCAATTTGACAGGCTACAATGAGATCTCTTCATATATAACATAATATTTTCTTAAATTTATTTATGTAGTGAGGTAGATTGTAGTTTTCCTTTATTCAAATCCATCAATGTTATGTAATGGAACTCGACCAACAGAGAAAAAGATTACAATTTTATCTGGTTTGAATGTACTATTTAAACTGGTTGTAGTACTGGGAGGACGACATGACTACCTGGAGTACAAGCGATTTTCTATTTAAAATTAAAGGGCTTCTGTTTCCTATAAAGGTTTCTTATGGAATGACTACAAGCAAAGCACAGGGACAAGGTTTTTCACACGGACAACCAGAAGTAGCCCAGTCGTATCTTAGAAAGAATGGAGTGTTACACAAAAGCTTGGCGGGTGCAGTTCGAAAATTTCATACAAAATATGGTCAGAATTTGAAGAGATTAATTGAAAAATTCATGTTTGACCATTAAGAAGTTCGAATAGCAAACGCCCGCTTAAAAACAACGAGAGCTGCTGGCCTACAATCAGAACTATTCGAACATGGTGGTGAAGAGCAGAAAAGGTGCATGCATCAACTACTTTGCAGAATATGGTCGGACGAGAGCATGCCCGACGGTTGGAATTTAAGTATGATGTGCCCAATCCATAAAAAAGGGGACCCCAGAGTCTGCGCCAATTATCGAGGGATAAGTCTCCTTAACATCGACTATAAGGTCCTATCAAGCGTATTGTGTGAGAGACTAAAGCCGACCGTCAACAAACTGATCGGACGTTATCAGTGTGGTTTTAGACTTGGTAAGTCAACCATTTACCACATATTCAACATGCATCAAATCTTGGAAATGACCCTTGAAAAGAGGTTCGACACGCACCACCTCTTCGTCGATTTTAAAGCCGCTTTCGACAGCACGAATAGGAGCTGTCTTTACGTCGCTATGTCTGAATTTGGTTTCCTCGCAAAACTTACACGGTTGTGTAAACCGACGTTAAGGAATACTAAAAGCTATGTCAGGATCTGGAAGGACCTCTCTGAGCTGTTCGAAACCAAACGAGGTTTCAGACAGAGTGATTCCTTATCGTGCGACTTTTTAAACTTACTGCTGGAGAAAATAATACGAGCTGAAGAGCTGAATAGAGAAGGTACAATCTTCTACAAGAGTATACAGCTGCTGGCTTACGCTGATGATATTGACATTATTGGCTTCAACAACTGCGCCGTGAGTTCTGCTTTCTCCAGTTTGGATAAGAAAGCGAATGAGATGGGTCTGGTAGTGAACATAGCAGCGGCTAAGTCATGTGGTCTGGATGGATGCGAATACTCCAGCTCTGAAAGTTTACGATGCAGTACCCGTCGGTGGAAGCAGAGGAAGGCGAAGACCTCCACTCCGTTGGAAAGATCAAGTAGAGAAGGACCTGGCTGTATTTGGTATTTCCAATTGGCGCCAAACACCAAAAAGAAGAAACGAATGGCGAAATGTTGTTAAATCGGCCAAAATGGCATAAACTGTGCCTACGCCAGTAAAGTAAGTAAATAATTTAAAAATTTCGGGAGACAGCATCCGTTAGGGACGTTAAAACTCAAACAAAGCAAGAGGACTTTCGATTAAAGCTCATTTTATCATATAACAAAAATTGTATTTTTTGTAATTTGTACAAATTGTAATTCCGTGATAATTTTGCACGCTCTGAAATGGGTACAGTACAGCGAAAAGTAGGTACAGTATAGCGAAGGGAACAAATATTTATAAATTTTTCTTTACATTTTTGGTATATTTGAAAATTTATCCTTAGCATCGCAACATGGAAGACGACAGTAACCCAATTGCATACATTAATCTGGCGCCAACAGAACGAAATAGTTCAGACAATTTTATGATGACGCCATATTCTCTGTCATGGAATGAGAACTTTTATGTTCAACGAACACACACAAATCTATTTATGTACACGGTATGTGTAATGTTGCTTATGCGTATAAAATTAACGGTAGATAGTACCCCAGTTGAAATAGTCGTGTGCGTACTATACGCATGAATGTAGGTGTGCAGAAACTTTGAAAAATTAAGTACATATACATATGAGTATATGTACATATATCAGCAAAGGAAAAAAAAAAGAAAAAAATTTCCGGAATTTCAAACAGAACATATATTTTCTTCTCGCTGAAGTACTTCTATACCCAGTAGTTCCGATGGTGTCAAGCAACCCCCGCACACTAACGATTCTGTGCATTACCAATCGTTAGACTAATCGCTAAGTAGTGGTAAACCAGTATTATTCGGTCAAACCCAACCAAGTTTTTGTTTTTTAATTTTGTTATTTAATCATCAAGGATGCTTATTGTTTTCTCTTTTATTTATTTATTTTTTTAATAAATTAATATTATAAATAACAAATATAATTAGACAAGAATATCTACTTTAATAAATAACGATATCGCTAACTCAGTGGCACTAACGAAATAATAAACCACTTTGCACTAGACCAATCGCTAGGTCAACGTAATGCAAATTCGTTAGGAAAGCGAATGGATGTTTATTAAGTTGTGACCAGTACTCACTCCTGAGAGCTAGTTGAATCGTTAGCGGTGAACTGAGGTAGTTGAACTATAGGGTATGTACATATACTCGTACATATGTATGCATACATAAAAATATTATTACACTTATATACAATGGAAATTGCGATACTAGTGTAGTAAAGGGTATTTCTAACGCTTTGAGGGACTTGTGTATTGTAATTTTTGTATATATCTAATTATTACTTGGTAAACATTTAATTAATTAAATAATCTAAGTATATAGCAACGTTTTCAACGACAAACGCATTCCTTGGTGTCGAATGTATCTAATTCATTATTGTGTAATAAAATATCTGCTCATACGAATATATGTATGTTTAGAGAAAGCTGAATTTAGTTAATTCAAAATATTAATTAATATTGAGAGTTTTATAAACATTTGACCAGAAAGAATTACTAAGCTGTACCATTTTAAGAAGTAAGAATTAATATTAGTATTGCTTATTAAAAATTTTATTTGCGTCGAATCAACCTACAACCGCGTACGGCTAATGGTTTTTCATGAGGAGCCTTTATTTCATGTTAGAAATACACTCTGAGGGGTTGAAATTCCCTGTCGAGGGGCGACCGCAGTGAGAAAATTTTATTTAATTTTTTATTTAAATTCATTTTCTATAACTTTTAGATGTTGGTCTTTCCAGGATTTAAAGAATCAGGGCGGGCAGTTTAAATGACAATTTCTGGAAACTTTATGATCTTAATAAATACAATGTTCTCCCACGATCTACAGTTTTTACGATGAATATTTATGGATCATGAACACGCACAATGTAATATGTATAATCGAGCATACTTCATTTTATATATGTACATCTGTATTAACAAAAAACTATAATAATACAATTATGTTCCCTGGAATCCAAAACTGGTTAATTGATTAGTAAATTCCCCCGGGAACTTCATGTAAGCTTTTTTTTTAAGTCATTGAGTGGTTTTCGTCCATTTCTATCCATATATTTAATACGCCTAGTTGTACTAGTCAATGGACCCTTTCATATTAGAATGATAGAGGAATCACACGTATAGGGTTTATTTCAGTGTATTTGTTATTTTCGGGCATAGTCGAGACTCGCCGAATTTCCGTAATTGGATGCACATTTGTATATTAGTGCACTGCAGCAGAACTGCTACATTATTGAGAGGTTGAAACTGGAACAACTTTTTTGAGAAACTTTACCACACCCCATCACGTCTTTTGCCCATACACATTGATTCTGTTGTCAAATATTTATTAATTCTCGAATATGGATTATATGAAAGGAGGAAATCCTGCACTTAGCATACTTTAGATCAAGAAGAATTGCGAGAATACTATTGTATGTGTACATATTTATATGCAGTTGTCAGATAGTATGTTCAGATTGCATGATATGTGACAATAACGGAAAAGATATTTACATATAGATTGTATACCCTGCAAGCAAAAAACGCACTTTGGACTAAAGGTAATGTACCAGTAATCTGAGGTCTATAGTTTCCGGTCCTTGAACAAGAGTTTCTTTTTAAATAAAAAAAGTTTTTTACATAAATAAAAATCACTATTGGTATTTTTTCACACTATATTATTTGGAAAGCAATTTTAAAAGGCTTGTAATCAATCAATACTTACAATTCTCTTTAGAATTTTGTTTTTAAATTTTATTTAAAAAGTTGCTTGGACTTTTGTATTCCACTTTGGGACACATAAGTTACTATGAAGCATATTAACGAGTAGTAAGTAGTTTAAAGGGAATTAATATAAATCTCTGCTAAAAGCACTTCGATGGAATGGTTTCGAAAGTACCTTCAGAATGAAGTGAGCCTACAGTCATTATATACAATCATTTATTCTAGTTTAAGCTGAAATACTACTAATGCGTAATAGAAAAAGTGGATCTATATTTAATCCTCATATAAATTAAAATTAGGGATGAAGAAACTGGTTTATGGGTTCGCTTTATAACAAGTTTCATCAATTTGAAGTACCATTGTACAAAATATATTGAGGTACATACATATGTATGTATGTACAAACATAAAAGCTCACGTAAATACTTAACATCGCAAGGAATACGATAGTGACCTAATTTAACAACTTATTCTGGATCCTTTGAAACGGAATTGTTTATAAAAGCTTCGAAGACGACATACTTTATGCCAAACATAAATTATATGTCATTTACCTTGTCACTTTTGTCCCGCGAGATTTCATGTTTTTAATGAATTTACCGTTATTTACGCCACTTTGAATATTTTTTTGGATTGCATTTTTTGGGTGAGTAGTTTTCGAGACATTTTGACAATCAATTTGAAAACACAGTATCGAGATGTAGAACTTACTATGATATCAAACAAATGTTTTTTGAAACTTTTGAAACCCACGCTACCCCTTATCAAATATATTTCAAGCAGTTTTGACTTTTTTTAATTTTTCAAAATTTTTAATTTTAAACCTTAAAAGTGATATATGTATATATTAATAAATATTTTCAGCACTTAAAAGTGATATATATAATAATAATTATATTTAACAGTTTCACAAATGTCCATCTACAGCCTAAAAATTTATATTTGTTTTCCAAGAGAAAAGTGTGGGATAGAAGTACCACGCCCTTCGTTTTGGTAATACATTCCTTCAAATTGATGTAAAATAAAAAACACGAAGAAATTTTCTTGATTTTAAATTCTGCACTGTGCCGTAAAAGTTCCTTTTGTATTAGTACAAAAAATGTTAACACCACCATAAATAATTCACCTCGTTTAATTGATAACTATTTCGAATTATGTCAATTATTATATTGCCTTAAATAAATTAATAATAATAAATAAAGCATTATCTATGTAATGATGATCAAGTGTTCGTTTAAACATGCAGATTCTCTGCGCGAGTAAATTTTAAACTAAACTAAAGAAAGCGAATATTATATATTTGCAAACTGCGGATCTCCTTCTACCAACCCTGAAAATTTTATCCATATCGAAGACTTCATGAATTTTCCTCAAATAACTTGAGCCCATTCTTGCTTTTAATAACTCACCAACATGCCACATTTCCCGCTAAGCACTTGCACATTTTAATATGAGTGAATTATGAACCAATTAAATCTAGTGCACAAATAGCAAACAAAATCACCACACCAAAGCTTTATTCAAACTAAACAAGTAAATATTCCGATAAACAAACATTACACATAAGCGTATTTCTAGTATTTCTACATCGCATCAGCTGATAACTTGGTATTCTACTGTAACGAACGTTCTTAGTATTCATAAAGTCTTTTTCATTATAACATGGTCACACAACAACATGTTGTGTCAAAAACTTTGAACTCGAATGTTCGATGAGAAAAAGTCGTAACAACCGTATCCTAATCTGGAGAATATAAATAAAATGATCCCTATTCAAACTATCTCGAGATGTGGGCAATAATCAGCCGGGAATTCCTTATAAAACATATACTCGATTAGCAAAAACTGTATCGAACGTATCACATAAATAGATTTGTAAGGAGGACATGAACTACTGGTATATTATACTCTCGGATTTCTTCACATTGCTTCAAGCAGCACTAGTGCTCTTATAAAACCTAGCAGGCTAGAGGTGTTTAATTGATATGATTTTGCTCCGGCTGAATGACTCCTAGATGTATCAGTCTTCTACTAACGATAGCTTCGCATTAAAATATTTTCAAGTTGCTTACACAGTCTGTAATGCCCAGTAAGAAATCCCGTTGATATTCTCAAGTCATTCTTACTGATTAATATTATGTTTCTTTTATTAATATCTTCCCTTTTTATCTACTCTTTAATTGGGTGAGGAATTGGACCGTAGGCGAGATTGAGGCGATTTCCCTTGCAAGTCTATCTGCTACTTCATTTTCTTCAATACCATGATTGCTAAGAGCTCTAGCAGTTCATCAACTACTAAGCTCCTTGACATTACTTTTTCCCGACATTACTTTTTCATTTATGTTAGTCAGCCCGCTTTGTTCACCTTCAACCGATGTATTGAGTGCTTCCAAGGTAGCTCTCCCGAGGCAACTTAGAGAGAGGAGCACTATCAGCTTTCCGACTTCCAGAAGCACGGGATTATTATGCAAATAAAGCCGCAACCTCTGGTGAGGGGTCCCTGCATTTGTCCAGCTTGGCTACTTCTTTACTGCTGCACTTGTTGTTGTTATTGTGTTTGTTGTATTTGCAACCCATTTTGTTCTTACGACCACTTGCAAGCCGAAAAACCACGTCGTGGTTAAATTAGTGGCAGGGAACACTATACGTCCGCTACGGCAGCGCCCCAGGCAGCAGGTTCGCGTAACACCCTGGTTTAAAGAGGGTGGTAGTGCTTCGTTACTGCACGCTCCGCAATCCATTCCACTCAGATTTAAAGTTGGGCAGTCGTAGTTGATCCTTCGGATAGGGATGACGAGCAGGGCGTTCAAGCTCCCTCATTAGCAACGGCAAGGTGTCTACCATCGTGTGTACCACGAATAGTTTTGTAACAAAATCTTAATATTGTTGCCATATTGTCTAATGTTAACCATTTTCACTAAATTGTCCACAGAAAATTCTTAAATCCTTCAAGTTCGTTCACTGCAATACTAAATATAATTCCACCTCGAGATATTGTTACAACATAGTTCCATTTAATTCTCAAATTGGGATGCACCTATTCCAATTCATAAATATATAAAAAACTGTTAACTACTTCGTTGTAATCTCATGACACGAAAACGGCTTTATCAAATTCAAACAAAATTTAAGTTTTCCTGAATACGGAATATACAAATGATACTAAACTCCTCCTAAGCGGTTGAACCTAACCGATCTTTTCAAGGGGAACTTTTTAAATATATAAATAAATTTATAGCAGGCGACAGTTGATTTGAGTTTGATTTTAATATTGTTTATATATTTATTTTGTTTATATATAAAAATCTATAATTTAACTCCTGATTAATGTTTCAATCCACCACTTCTATTGAAATTTAAATTGAAAAAATGTGGTAAAATAAATGAAACTTTACAGTAAGAGAATTATCAACGTGGATATTTTTGTGCAGAGTTGCCACCTGTTTAAAATTTTTAATTAAAAGAATTGACAAGATGCTGTAACGGTTTTTCTTAAATATCGTCCCAATCAGACGCATTAATTAATTTATTAAACTATTAAACGCTGCGAGTCTCTCTTAGTGGACTACTTTTATCATGTTTTTTGGTCTACCAATGGGCAAGACTCCATGCACTGTCTTCCGGCTGGACCACTACAATTGCACTGCAATCTCAGAGATAGCCCCTTGTTGCTTATTGGATAAAGGTAGCCAGCCATACGCGACATACAAGTGTTTTTGATCGGTATGTGTGCAAGTGAGATTTACTCGTATATACGCGCATACGTATCCTTTAGGCTCCAGAACATGGTTCAGTTTTCGGTATCTTCTTTTCAGCTGTAATTCGTTTTTAGCATTTTCGCCATAATATATATTCATTTTTCTTTCCATGAAAAATTTATTTTACGACGAAAGGCCTGCAAATATTGATATGCAATTACCAAAAAGAAGATCCCAAATAATTACATATGTACGAGTATTACAATAATTTCTTGAGGTGAATGGAAATGGAAATGTGAGCAACCCTTGGAGCCTTGGGTCACGGCTAAAAGAGAGAAAGCATCAGTTAAGCCACTCCGACTTATTCGGTTTAAGCGTTCGCTGAAGTCTAAATGCAGCGTCTGTTCACCAGAGGTGCGGCTGCTAGCGGCAGCGGCTCTCTATATAAAAGTGTAAAAAAAATTTAAACTTAGCGAGGTTGTGCGCTGGGTTTGCGATCCGCCACGTAGAAACCAATAGCAATGAAAAGGAAAACAATGAGTCGAATGATAAATCCATTTTTTAATGACGATCCCCACAAACGAGCTCAGGATCGCCATCTGAGGATATACATCCGGAATGACTGGTCCCTTAATTCGGAAGCTGTTGATGTCGTAATAAAATTACAGACTGTCCTCATCGCCGTCCAAAAAAGTTCGACGGATGGGGCAAAAACGGAAGAATTTCGTGTCGGATTTTTGATGAGAGATGTGAAAATTGTGCTTGGTGACTTTAACGCCAGGTCGGCAAAGAGTGTCTCTTCGGCGAAACTGTAAGAAAATTCAGAGTCAGATCGACTTCGCCGTCGCCCGAGATATTGTTGTATGTAGTACTAGTTTCCTGCGCAAGCTACCGGCTGTCCCTTGATCGGAAAACAACAAAACGGCTAAAGATGACGGCCTATTGGCATAACTATTCAAGCATGACGGTGAACAGCTGACAAGGTGCATGCATTAGCTGCTTTGCATAATATGGTCGGATAAGCATGCCCGACGGTTGGAACTTAGTGTACTCTGCTTAATCCACAAAAAAGGCGATCCCACAGTCTGTGCCAACTACCGTGGCATAAACCTCCTTAACCGCTGCTGGCGTACGCCGATGATATTCACATTATTGACCTCAACAACCGCACCGTGAGTTCTCCTTTTTTATATTGGATAAGGAAGCGAAGGATATGGGTCGTTTATCTTGGAGCCAGTGTTAACACCAACAACAATATCAGCGCGGAAATTCAACGCAGCGCTGAGTAGGCAATTTAGTCCTCTCTTGGCGAACGAAAACCAAACTCTCTAAGTCGTTTATCGTTGCCGTCCAGCTATATGGTGCGGAGTTTTCGAGAGAAAGCGTTTGCGTAAGATTTATTGACCTTTACGAGTTGAGAACGGCGAATGTTGAGCTCGGTTGGATAAAAATACTTCAGTTTGGAAAATTTTCGATGCAGTACCCGCCGGTGGAAGAGGTAGACCTCAACTTCGTGGACCGTGAAAGACCAGGTTGAGAAGGACGTGACTGCACTGCAAAAAAGAAGAAATGCATGACGCAATGTTGTAAATCGGATATAACCGCGTAAGCGTTGTCTACGCCAGTAAAGAAGAGGAGGAAGTATGCACAATGATTTTAGACAGACTGATCCTAAATCTAAATGAATTTTATGAAATAAAACAAATGATTGCAATGTTAATATAAAAAATTCGAGGATTTTATGCTTTTTTCATTAAATGTTTTGGTGTAGCGAAACACACCTGGGTACCGCTGGTAATTTTATGTAAACAAGATGTATTTGAATTTACGCGCTATGAATTTTACTTACAAACATTGATTGGTGGTTTCCTCTACAATTTGGAAATAACTAATAGAGGGATTGTAAATACTGATTATATGAAATGCAACTAATAAATGCATTTACAAAAACTTTGTGGGATTGTTTATTATCTTAAGTATAATATAAATGTATTTTATAATATCTTACAGAATACGTGTATGTATGTATGTATTATAATATATAATATAATAATATATGCGCATAACAGAGTGCGTTAAACTTAAAGCGAAGTCCCTATAAAAATCATTGACATTTGTACATCTGTATATGTATATATACATATATGAGTATATAGTATATACACTAATGTATGTGTATACTCGTACATATAATTGCACATATCTAATAATAATATTTCCGCTAGTTAGTAAATATATAACTGAAGTAAATTACAGAAGATTTACTTTCCATTTCATTTAAGTAAGTATCTGTATCTATTCTACCTCTAATTCAAATAAGTAAATTTATTGCGCAATATTTACAAACACTTTTTGCCTTGAAAATTCTAGATATGGGTGTGCCATATTATACATCTATTGTGTACACTGGGGCGAGCCGGTTTTTGGACCCATTGAGTCTAACACATTCCTACTCAATATACAAGTTTTTTTTTTTTTTTAAATTATTAAAACAGAGATCTTTCATAAAAATATTTACCGAAGCTTGGTGCATTTCAAACTGCTTTTATTTACGCTAGGATTGCCAAGTATACTCTTCGAGCCTGGGTGTGGCCTACATTTCGTGATGGAATTAATGAAAAAAAAATGGTAACGATAACTTTTGAACTTACATAAAAAATTGCGATTTGAGTGGATATGTTTGCATTACTTACATGTCACAAGATCTAACAGTGTACTCGTATATTTAAAAGACGAAATTTGTTAAAAACAGTGTCACAAAAAATCGGTACCCCGATACATGTAGGAATAATAATAATAATAGATAGTAGAAAATATAGATATAACAAACTCCGATGATAGAAAGATAAGAAGTTGATGTAATGAATATTTTTTGTTTGTTTTTGTATGTTAAAGAAAATCTATGTACATCAAGGTGTGGATGAGGTTAACAAAAACTTTTTAGTTATACATTTTAATATTAAAGTATAAATTTAACATAAGGGAGCCTTAAAAAGTATCACATACATCATAGTAATGAAATTATTAAAATATTAGGACGTTTATTTAATGTACCGTTGTGTGTAGAGCAAATAATGTCTTATGAGTATTGTGGTGATTCTCCACCCGATGTTATTTTCTTTACCCGACTAACATCGTCGTATGCAATCGAAAACACACTTTTCTTATCTGCAATCGGGTTCCGTCGACCCATACTATTGAGTAAGGAGTTCATTGCTATGCCTGAATCGAGGTCGTCCTCTAAAGTAGATGCGTTTAGTTGCTTTTGGGCGTGTGGCTGTGTATTAGTTTTATTAATACCGGAGTTGGAGCTCACTGAGTTCGCCTTTTCTATATTTAAACTTATTTTCGAGGTTGTAACTTTTACTTCATTCTCTTTAATCGGTGACGGTTTGGCAATAACTTTTGCATTGCTATTTGTTTGTTCCTTAGATGCTACGAATGGAGGTGTCTCTGGATACATGTAATGCGGCAGTTTCGATGGTGGTAACGGTACCTTGTGAGCGTTCTCACGCTCAAATCTGTGCTCTGAGTGTTGCAATAGTGGATGGCTAGTGTCAGTCTCAATCACAGGTTTGTGCTGTTTATTCATTACGATATCTTCTTTAAGAAGCCTATTTTTAGGTGGTGATATTCTTGGTGCAGGCTCCGGTATATTTCTCAAATCGTTAGTATTAGTGTTATCAGGCTTAGCGTTTAAGCGTGTCTTCGTTGAACGTTTTTCTGATACTTTATTCTTTTTGGTTGCACCTGTTATTGACTTCAGGTCGGATGACGTTTTGTTATTTGTACGTTTTTGTTTGCTATAGTACCATTCCATGTATTTTGGCACACCCTTTCCTGTCACATCGGTTTTGTCTTGATCATTTAATTCAGTCTCGCTTTGATACACACGTTCTTTCACTGAATGGCTTATGTCGTTTGCTTCAATGTGCGCTCGGCTCAAAACATTCAACGAGCTCGATTTATGTTTTTCATTACCTAAACGACTATTTGATTCATGATAACGATTTTGTCGTTGTGAAGTTTCCATTCGGGACATTCGAGGCCAGGCTTCCGGTAAATTGTCTCTTTCAGAGGAAGATCTCGAGAAACTTCCATTAACTGATTTCTCTGTCGAAGTGCCATTCTTTGAAGGAAGTTCACCAAATTTCGAGCCACTACCATCCATCACGCGAGATTTTTGCTTGGATGGTTTCGGCGTAAATGCATTACTTTTTATGACTATTTCATCAACATCGGATTCGTTGGAATATTCTATCTCATCACCATCGTCACCATCATCGCTAACATTGTTTTCTACCTTGAAATTATCTATTTCGTCAAGTCTTATTGTATGATACTGCTCTGGACTTATTGATCTATTGTTTAACGCATCAGATATTTCTAATAAAATTTCCCGGTTTGCTCCATGCTCTCGGCGATGTAAATTACTTTCTGTTCTTTTCATTTCTTCATTTTTCTTACGCCTTAAAACACTAGTTTTTGTTTCGGCATGTTTCCGAAGTGGTTTTTGAGGTGGCGATCGCCTCTTATATTCAACTATTTCATCATCCTCTTCCTTGATAGGTGTACGTATTTTTCTTTTAATATTTTCTACCATAACAATTCGTTTTTTCGGTTGTGCATGATTCCGATATTTACTGCGTGTTTTATGTTTCCTACGCTTAATCAAGTACACCCCATCGGGGCTGTCAGGAGGACTATAACGCACATACTCAAATTCTCCTTCTGACATAGTATCATCGTTTTCGCTTTTAGCCTTGCGTCGTAAGGATTTTCCTCGCATATTTACAGATGTTTCATCAAGAGATTTTACATTACTATCTGTCTGAGTAGCAACCTCACAATCTGTCTGTGTTGCGATTGCTACGGAGTGACCCGGAAGGCTTTGTGTTTCTAGTACCAATTCTGGCTGAGTATATTGGTTTTGGAATTTCTCTTTCTCCATCAAGATTTGCCGTAATAATAAATTTTGATGCTTCAAAGAGTTCTCAAGTTCATGAGTCAACGACTGATTTGATATTGAATGTTGAGCTTGACTTAAGAGGCCTTCTGTCTGTAGTGTCATTGCTCCTTGAGCAGGCTGTGTATGTATGACTTTTACTTCAGGTTCTGTTTGTGAATATACCACACTATTGGGGCCCGATTTACCGATAGCAAATGTATCACCCTTTACGCTGTAATGTTGTTCAATTTCATTAGGCATAGATTGTATATAAGTAGCACCTGGAACGATTTGATAATGTTCACGTATGATTTGTTTGCCATCTGGTTGTTCCTCAATAAAACGACGCATTAGAATTTCTTTTCCGCTATTATCAACCATAAGCAATTGTGGCTGAGAGAGGTGCGCTGATTTAACAGGCAAATTCACATATATATTGTTGTCATCGTCCACTGCCGCAACGCCGTCTCGAGTTTTACCTCTAGTCATAAGTTGCAATATTTCAATATTTCCATCTTTTATAAAAAATTCTCGCTTATTCTTCAAACTGCTCCTCCCTGTGTTTTCGTCGACATCACTACCTCGGTCCATTTCATGGCGACGCATTGAATCTTCATCAATTTCTTTTCTGTTTTCTTTTCCATGGCCTTCTTGGTATTTTTGTGACTTTCGTATTTCTGTGCTATGTTCAAATGGGTCTTCATCATCTGCCACATCCTCAACGAATACATCTCTATCATTTATTAAGTTAGTTCTGGAATTATGAAATGTATCATCTTTGGTTGTGCGGATATTTCTAAAAAGTGAAGAGACGAAAAGTCATAAGTGATATATGTACATATGAATGTAAGTATGTTAGCATAATTTCAATATTACTATCATTTTTGGAAACCTTAACATAAAGAACCACAATATAATTAATTTCTCGATATATCCAATTTTCGAAAAAAACATATTTAATGATTTTTTCAAAAAATAACTGTTTATGCGTGCAACCCTGCTGCGTCGCAAACAGTCTCGCCCATAGATGTCGCTGATACACTGGAAGATAACATGATAAACCATTTTGGTAGTTTTGAATCCCGTTAGCGATTCCATGAAGATTTCCCCTTCTGTGAAGTCAATAAAAGGCCAATGTTGCCTAACAAACCTTCTTTTTTTATCCAACTCGGCGTATCAGCGACATAAAGGTGAGTCTTTCCTATTTTTTCTAGTTATATTTCACATATATATGTAAATAATAATTTATATCACATAAAATATTCAAATAAAATATTTAATAACTTCTAACAAAAAAGCTAGCTTGTTTTTGGTGCACTCTCTTGGAGAGGAAGCAGGTTTTTTCTAATTTTTGTTACAGATCGGATTACTTGTGGAAGTACGGTGGCTCCCCCGATCCCCGTTTTCCAGAATTCAGGACGAATTCTGGACCCTGTCAACTCCGCAACGAACAATAACATTTGCATATGCTATGGAGTCTCTTAACGGGATTAATTGCACAATAAAATAATATTAATGTTCCGTATTCCGAGTTTGTAGGGCGCGTCTAGAAGTGTTTTCAAGAAAATGTAAGAACTACAGTTTATTCCCCACCCCTGAACGGCTGATGATTTTTCATTTTGGTTCCAGATATGCACAAGCCATCGTAATGCTAAGAGTTATGAATTACTTGAACTAAGGCATACTTGAAAGTTTAGTATACTTTGCCCAATCATTAAAAATGTGAACCTTATAGTAGCGCATTAGCTTGGGAAGAGATGGGTGCTATTTAGCCTATCATACACATAACTCACCGATAAACTGATCAGATCTTGTCAGATCTTAAGTTTGGAAAGATTTTGCATATTTGGCAGCTGCCCCAACAATTAAGTCCGTCTTGAAATCCAATGCAAATTCACACTACACCCTGGACCATCAATCCGCTGAAGATCAAGTGGGCAAGATTCGTAGCTTGTGCTTTTCATTTTGTTGTAGATTAAGAAATTTCACGCTACTGTGCTATTACTCGAGCATTACGCAATATGCGCCAATTTTTAAGAATGAGGATATGTAGTAATTATCTTCTACTAACCTAATTTTCACACGCTTTTGTTGTTCTTCTGCTGAATGGATGGATCGCCTCATATCATCATTGGTGGAAGCTTGATGAACTCCTACGCTTTCGCTAAATTGCTCACGTCCATTGTGGAATTCCCATCGTGTTGGCTTCGTTCGCGAATCTGTTGGTTTCTCGGCGGACCAGGCCTCTCGTCTTCCCATCCACTCGGCGACCTGTAGTTTTATATCAATGATTTCGTATTCAAATATATGTATATGTATGTATAAATTCAAAATTTATATAACTATGATAAATAAAGTGGTCTATAATTAAGCATACTATATTTAAATTATTTAATATAACATTTTTTTATGTTTCATACATATATACATGGGTAATTTATGTTAAAACGATACACTTGGCGCATCACGCATATGTACAGGGTCCGCCATCTAACATTTTTTTTTTTTGAACTAGTGGTTATTTTGAGTGTGGTAACACTGATGTTACATCTGTTTTGACAGAAAGTTAGTTTTATCCTTCCGCTGAACGAATTGTGGTTGTGTATACGATTGAAGAACGCGTTAAAATAGTGCAGTTTTACTTTGAAAATGTGTGCGAAAATTACGCTCGGAAATGAGCCGTAACAAAGCACCGTCCGCTCCGTATGTGCGCTTTCTTTTGAAAAAATTGAGAGAAACCGGCACAATTATTGATAAACCAACGCGTGAGAAACCAAAAAAAGTGCGTACGGCCGGTAATATCGCTGTTGTAGCCGAGAGTGTGCGTGAGGCGCCCGGAACATGAAGCATCGCTCTCAACAATTGGACATTTCCGAGACGTCCCTTAGGCGAATTTTGAAAACAGACCTTGGTATGACACCATACAAAGTTCAATTGGTTCAAGAATTGAAGACACGAGACCATCCGATGCGGTTTGCCTTTGCCGAATGGGCATTTGTTTTATTGCATTTTAAAAAAAAAAAGTTACGTGGCAGACCCTGTATTTATATACCATAATTTATTAATCGGCGTTGTAAATGCTAGAAGATATGATTGCTCTACTCAACAAAATTTTCAAAGCCAGCTAAAGCTTATACGAGTATAACTTTTCCGTGAGGTTTGCCAAGTAGCCAAAACTAAATTTTTTTTCCAGAAAATGTCAGCCACACCGCGCGTATTTCTGACTTAAAATGAAAGTTCCTCATAAAAATTTGTTTTACCTACAGCCGACGGTACGCTGTTGTCGTGTCGACAGTGTCATTCTGCATCGGGAGCCCAGTCACCTAGACGGGTTAAAATTATCACCTGATGTTGTAAATTTCACTAAGCTTTGTTTTTTTGCTCATAGTTTTGTTGTTGTAATCCACTAAGCTGTCCGGTGGCGGGAATTCGATTTCGTTATACACCCACCAACAACCACTACTATAGGAATTATTGTAATTCAACAATTGTACCAATATATTTGTTCTGATGGGAAGAGGATTTCATTTGTCTATGAAAAAGAAAATTACTTTGGATGCTTTATCCGTATTAACTGTAAACAGTGATTACTGCACTTTATAGAATTTGATTCATTTTGCATAAAACCCAAACAAATTCCGAACGTGATTCTGAAACAATTGCTAATGCCCAGCAGTTCGCCGAACCCAATAATAATTTAATAGAGACTTGTGGTTCTATTAGACTAGTAGTTTGTATCAGACACTCAAGCAGTTTGTGATGAAAAAACAGAATTTTTTAATGCAACTAATTTGAGGATTATGCAATTCCTTAATTCCTTTTTATGAATGCAGTAATTCGGGACCGTGGTGCTAGGTGTGCGTTAACTAGGAAATTAAGTAAGAAGAGACACTTCCTTCAAGGGACTAACTTTTGCCCTATGAGATATAGATATCGCTGTATTGTAGAAGCGATTTTCTGCCAAGCTCCTCCCCCATTATGTGGTAAGCGTCTTGGTGGTTTTCCAACAAATGGAGCGATCTACAGTTTATTCTAAGCCGCCTCAAAATGGCAGACGGATTTTTATGAAGAGCTTTGAACCATGACTCGAACCTGGTCTTAAGAATTGCAGTACACAATGCTAACCGTTCGGCTATTGCGGACGTCGAGACAATCGTAACGATCGAAAGTTTTATATACATATATGTATGTAGAAATAAATAGTTTGTTATTAGAAATCAGATGACATATTTTGAGGGGGGCAGCAAGTCAACAATAATTTACGGATTAGAAAAAGCATGAAAACTCGAAGTTTAAGACGCGTTTGAGAATTTATCTAGCTATAAAAAGCAACAGCACGTGGTGTAAAACTTTTGCATGCCCCATGTTCGTAGATCGGTTCAAAAATGTTTAAGCTTAATTTCGTAGTTCTGAAGATTTATTGCTCATTATGTAACAATAGTAAAGCAGTGCAGCTCAGACATTAGTACGAGCATATACAAAAGAGTAGTGACAACCAAGATTTTTAGTCGATACAATATATTTATGAACCGCAAAATAAAGCTAATGGAAGAAAGATATCATTCTTACGAAATTATAGTGCTATTGTGGAAGAAATTAAGAAAGAGGAATGAAGATGGGAAAAAAGTACTGGCAAAGATCTCCCGGTGGGCATTATTCTTACGAAATATTAAATCGCAACTGACGGTCCTTAGATGTAGAGAATTTGCATGATATTGATGACTTAGAAGCCTTGAAGCAGCTTCAGTTTGGAACAGGACTTATAAGGTGACGGAAAGTACGTGGTCGGCGTGGGTAGCCGAATTTGTAAGATATGAGATAATTAGCTACATCTATCAGTCTGGATTGAATGTTTGAAAAAGTAGCAACGTTGTATATATGTCATCAGTCTCCTAAAGTGAACGGACGTACGAGTTAAAAACATTCAACACGCGCGAGTGTATAATAGTTTTAAATTCGTTATTTTTAATTAAAGTCTTAATTCTAGTTTTAAGCAAACCATACTTTTTTAATTAATAAACTAAAGAACCATTCAATGAGCTGTATTAAGTTAAGTACAAGTTTTTATTAAGGGAGGGTAAAACATCGGACGAAGACGACACGTAAGAGATCGACGACGCCGTATAATTACTAAGGAAAGCACACTTCACCGGGGATAAGCCATACATTTAGATATATGCAAATTAACAATTAAAAGTCTTAGTGATAATTTGACAACCCCCTTACTAAGAAGCATCGAAATCAGTCGCATCCAGAAGCTATGCATTAATGACAAAGAATACAGGAGGTACTGAAAGGAACTGAATGTAGGTCGACGTCGGCGACGCTCATCACCTTCAGGCTATCAGGCTTTGTACTGAATGACTGACAGATCAACCCACCACCTAAGTCACCCGTTCTAGAGACATAAAGCTTGAAGAGTGTATTCTGCGTATGACACAATAAGAAAGAATTTTCGCTGAAGTGGGCATGGCACCAATCTAATTCGAAAATATCGAATTTTCTTTCAAATCCTTTTATTTTCTTGAAATTTTTTACATATATATTCTAATTAAATTTGTATTTATCAATTGATTGACATAATAATGGAGTTTTGGGTCGAAATTATCATTTTAAACACTTTTTCTTCCGGGATCAGTTCGATGGTTCGGCTTTGCCTAATATGTGGTATATATGTAATATATAACTGCTTTTATGTTAGATACAATACAATTTTATTAGAACCATTTCTAGTAAGGGATAAAGGACTTAATCAGCGATAACCCAAAGGAAGATATTTTTAGAGGCTGTAAGGCCTTATGTTTTAACTTAAACTAATGTTAAGAGTCCCCACCAAGTATCTGTGAGTAATTTCAGACAGCAAACTGTTATGGAAGGTCAATGTGGAAGTATTGCCTTGTATTATGCCAAGGAATGGCAGGAGTCTGTTTTCGGTACTACTGGTGTGTACTCTCTTTTCATGCGATGTGTGTACTATCTACTAACACCACAAGAGTGATGTGGTGGAGCGATTAACCTAGGCAAGAGAAAAATTAAATGAGAAAGGGAGCGAATTATGGCGGTGTATTTCTGTAATACCGCGGAAGCCGAATGGTTAGCATTGCGTGCTGCCATTAGGGAGACTCGGGCTCAAATCCTGGTGTCGTGCTAACATCCAAAAAGCTCTAGAAAATTAATTAAATTGCGGTCGCCCCTCGGCAGGGAATGCCAACCGCTCCGAATGTATTTCTGACGTGAAATAAAGGAATGTAGGAAAAACATCAACACGCAAAACCACAAATTGGAGGAGGAGTTCGGCCGAAAATCGATTCAGATTACAAAGCGGCAATTATTTATATATATATATATTACTGTAATATTTTAAAAGCAAAGGTCACACGCGAGCACAATGGGTATTACAGTCAGTAACTTTCTTCTACTTTATCTAGAACTCGTCTTAATATCAGACTCTTTTAAACCTCGCAGAAAGCATTCAAATCCTGAATGACTACTCTTTAGCTGGCACTACAAAGAACTAAAGGGTCTATGTAAGGCGTAGCAACCAGCCGGTAAAATCTAACCTAAGGAGAAAACGAGCCCTATTAAAAGAACATATTACAAGTTTTTATCGGCTGAGAGTAAGAGTGATTTAATTCTTACAAGTTGAATGAGCTCATTCCAACCGGTATGAGAGAAAAATAAAAATAAAGCAACTCAAATGTGCATATTTGAAGGCGTGGACTGTGATTTTGTGCTACGTTACTATGTACTACTTTCAATGATATATAAAAATTTTACGAATTTCAAAATCTACCTGAACAGACTTTGCATGTTTTCCGTTTGCCATTTCCCTATGTACTAGGTGAACATCGTCTTCAGTTTTACTGACATTAACTATTCTTTTGCTATAATAGAAGAAGAAAGAATTATGGATAGGTGACTTACAGTTATATGTAAATTAATTTATAGTGAATACATCTGTGGGAATATTAATGTAACAATTTGGCTGATACAAATGAAAGCGAATTGTTTTATATCTAAATCGAAATATTAATTCCAAAGTATTTGTATAAAATTAACATATTAGCTTAGCTTATAAAGTCGGGTTTCATATACTCTTAAATATTAAGAGTTTACTCAATGATTACTTATTTTTACTTTTTAAATAAAAAGTTTCGCCACAAAAAATTTAGCCTTAGCCTTAAACCTATTAATGCTGGAAAGCCTGTTAACACCCGTGCACAATGAAGATACTTTTTTTGCTGGTAGCCGGGTGGTTACCTCGTGCGACCAACATCCAAAAGTTATAGAAAATTAATTTAAATAAAAAATTAAGCTAAATTTTATAATTGCGCTCGCCCCAGTCGGCAGGGAATTTCAACCCCTTCGAGTGTATTTCTGACAAGAAATAAAGCTCCTCATAAAAAACCGTCAGCCGTCAACCGTCAGGCTTCTTGGTATAAACTGTAGGATCTTCCATTTGTTGGAAAAACATCAAGACGCAAAATCACTAATTGGAGGAGGACCTCGGCGGAAAATCGCTTCAGCGATTACAAAGTGCTCATATTTCCATAAACAATAATATTACTCGATTGAGCCCGTCTAACACTCACATAGAGTGAGTAAACTGATTTAATACAGTTGTAGCTCTTCTCCGCGCTGATTTTCTTGCCGGTTGAAAAAGTACAACATTTCTTCTTTATAGATTTCAGAGTTTTCGGGAACTCCTTTATCACATCTAGATTTTTTACGGTTTCAACTTTCAAAGCAACCGCTCAATCTTCGATATAAACTCCTGCTGGGTGCCGTTGATCTTTCGTTGCGGTACTCCAGTTCAAATTGGAAAATTTGTATCCTATAATCGCGGCAAGGCAGCAGCTTTATACTTCAAACGCAATGGTGCGATTGCATTTGCTCACTCTGTTCAACCAAATTGGGGTCTAAGGAGGTGTAGCCAATCTTCTGAGTATATAGTTACAATCACAAGGCAATACTCAATTCCTTGCGTCCACCTCGCGCTCCCTGGAAACGTGAGCAATCCTTGTGCAAGATGCGATAGCCAACCCGTGTGGTGCCTTGGGTCACGGCTAAAATATAGAAGTTCTCATCAAGCCACTCCGAATTATTCGGTTAAAGGGTTTTCTGAAGTCTAACTGCAGCGTCTGTTCCCCAGATCTTCAAGCAAGTGGTTTGCTATACAAATGTGTAGATACTTTAAACTAACTTGCCTAGCGAGGTTATGAGTTAGGTTTGGGACCCGCCACTTAGAAACCAACTCCTATTAAAAATCATACTACGCCTCGGATGAGATACCCCCCTTGTGAGGCCGACCCCCTTAAGGATCGGGATTTGAGAGCATGCACCTGGAAAGCCCGGTTCCTTATTTGGGAAAGTGCCGCTGCCCAGCTATTTGAAGAGAAATACGATTTGACCGAAAATGCCTTTTATGACCGGGTGGAACATACTCATGAGCGTTGCTCCGATTGGCGATTTTAACGCCAGGGTGGGCAAAGAGGGTAAGTATCTTTGGCCCAACTGTCGGAAAATTCAGCTTTCACAAAGAAACATCTTTAAATGGTTTGGTTCGACTTCACCAAGACCTGAAATCTGGTTCTCTGTAGTACTAGATACCCGCATAAGAAAATACATCTAGTTACCCTGATCGAAAATATCCAAACAAGATCAAATATGCTGTGATATACGGAAGACATATCGCCAGCGTACTCTCCGAGGACCCAACATCTTTTCGAGTCACTATTCTATTGCAGCTAAGATACACACCGGCATCTGTGTATCAAAGAATGCCCGTCAACAAACACAAGGAAGGTTCAACGTCGAAAAGATGCAATTACAGCAGACAACTGAAGAGTTTTCTACTCGGCTTGCACTCCTTCTTTCTAAGAGCATTTATCAGACACTTGGTATAAGGGAACTAACGAACGGCATTTCAAGCTCCATACGTACAGTTGAAAACGAAACTATTGGATTTCGGAAAAGTCGCCAAACGATGAGGATTGCCGTGTGCAGTGAAGGCAGGCTGCCAACCTCGCAAGGTTGCGATCGACCACAACACGTGCGAGATGGAATAGATACCGAGAACAGAAAAGGGAAGCAAGGCGCATGTGCAGATAAAAAAGAAGGCGTGTGTATGTCTATGTAGAGATACGGCGTCTTACAGAAAGCTTTAACACCGGTCACATAGAGGTGATCCAATGACCTATGTCCAGGGTATACTGAATTTATGAAGGGAAACCAACAGCGAAAAGAAGAAATGAATTGCGCAATGTTGTTATCTACGCTATAATCGCGTAAGCGGTGTCTACATCAGCAAAGAAGAAAAAGTTCAACCATATTTGCTGCGAAAATCTATAAAATGCGATTAAGTACCATTACAAAAGGTTATTATCTACAAACTTCATTGCTTCATCCTTCGTTCCAACAGCTGCTTCCTCGTTCCCACATCCACTAAGAACGTATGCTCGGTTTTAATCTGAAATTCCTCTTGGTCTGGGTCGATGACTTTTTCTTTATCTTAGGCTCTCACAACCAAGCTACTGGTACTATTTTCCTTCCGACGGGTGACCAAGTTACATTTCTCCAATAGATTTTCCGAATTCTAGCTCTTGAAGTCCTGAACTTTTCATTATTTTCAATTTCTGTCCCTCGGATATTTAGCAATCCCATTTGGACAACAACTCTATCGATTTTGTAAATAAACCACGATTATTTCCTAAACCGTTCGGGCTGCATCACTGGATTGCTAAATAAAACCCACAAAATTTATCGCATCGTTTCTTTAATGTAAAGATTCGCCCATTGTTTACTTATTGCTCATTAGCTAATCCTGAACTTTCGTATACACAGCTTTCTGATTTCACTTTCCACCAGTGTTAGCAGTGCAACAAGTACTGTCTTTCATATATACAGTGGTACCACGACATACGAGGTTGAGATACGAGCCGACGAGCAAGTGATTTTTTGCTTTTAGTTACGAGCGAAATTCGAGATACGAGTTCGGTTCGGTTCGGTAGTAACACGTAGTCGCGCCATCACGATCAGTTATGCTGCAACTACTTATTTCACTTACCAGCCGTCCATAAGTGGCGACGAAAAGGCGGGATAAATACACAAGTTATCGATGCTGCTGAGAACGGCGAAATGTTGCCAGCTCCCTGTGTGTTTGCACACTTTTGAACGAATTCAAAATTTTCGTCAACGAATTTCATAATTTTTTTGCTTGAACATAAACACAAGGCAAATATACATGATCTATATGGTAACAAATAATTAGTTACGCATTTACATTTCTTTTGAACAAAATACGCATTTTCTTCGATTATTTAGTGTTACTTTAAGAAAGACTATACTGGCAACCTTGTATAGCAACGAGAAATGAGCCGAGCCGGTTTTACGGAAAAAATCATATCGCTGTTGGTTTCTGCGGAACAACCGTCACTAACGGCATGGGCAAGCGGTGACAACTTTGTGTTTATATGGCGCTCTCATAAGATAGGTTACTATGGACGGCTGGTACGCGCGTTGGGTAGTTGCAGCATTAGCAGCGTGCTTCCGCTGTAATAAGTTGTGTAGTTGTGTTCGCGTTTTGTGTTGCGTTTACATTTACAGTAGTAGTTCATTTATTATAATAACCATGGATCGAAAGAAAGCTTGTGTTCCTAGAAGTGAGATAAAGGAGATCTTAGGAATGTGGGAAAGAGTTTCGTTCGTGGTAAAAACACCTAGAAAAAGTTGCAACAGGTCGTGCATCTGACCTTTTTAATGACACTTGCCTAACTCATTTTCGGAACATTCTGAGAGGGAAGAAGAAAAAAACATCCTTGGACATGTTTTTTTTCTGAACGGCCTACAGGTGAAAGCGAGAATAATGTAAAAACCAGTGAGGATATCTAATTTATTTCTTTACATTTTCTTTTTTGGTTTTGTGCAATAAATATTTGATATTTATAAATACGTTTTTATTATTAAAAACCACGTAACAAAAATAACTGAGGTGACATTTCGCAGGTTGGAACGGATTAATGGTAGGTTAATTGGTTTGTATGGGGATATTTGCTTCGAGATACGAGTAATTCCAGATACGAACAAGGTTGCGGAACGAATTAAACTCGTATGTCGAGGTTCCACTGTATAACTATATATGTGTATCTCATACAATATACCTGCAGATTGCTCGCGCTTATCTTTGAAAGCTGTTGTAATGTTGCATATTCATAGATGCTTCATAAATAGAAATGTTTGCTAAGAAAATTTAGCCTTAGTCGACACCTATAATTGCCGTTCGTGCTCATTAATTTCATTTAAATTGTTGAAAATAGTTTGTTTTTTGGCAAAAGAGTTGGAAATATTTGTGGTCGAATAAACAAGGACTCTCATAAAGTCATAACATATATTAGAAATTGGAGGGAAAGATTCAAAAGATTTATTACTAATTGAGTAAATACATATGGTATTTATATATACATATATTTTTACCTCGCAGCTCCATATAACGGACACCAAGAACAAATGCAGCATAATAGTAATATCAATATTGTTAGAGCAACCAAAGTAGCCAGCAGTATTAGAAGCCAGAAGAGAAGCTTATTTTCCGCTTTGTAGAGCGTCTGTAAAGGAGTTAAATTCTATCTGAATTCATTAGCATATAACGTTTAGGAAATAATTACTACTTACGTCAGTTTTTTCTGTATCATGGTTATTCATTATCGCATAAGAGCTATTGTGCAGCGACAAACGATGCTGTATCTGTGAGATATCTACAACCGATGTACTATCATATAGGACTGTGGCTGTTACAACACTTCTTTCCATTGAGTCCGCATTGCCACCCGTAATTGTTTTGGCGCCTGGCTCGTCAGGCTGTAGCGGTCTAATATCATGAATGATCACTTTTCCTCCAGTTATTGTTGAAAGTATTTCTTCTGTTTTTGTTTTTTCAGGATTTTCCCCTGGCACCACAAAAGTTACAGTGCGTGTTAAGCTTTCCGGTGGATATATACGAATAGAGGTCGTGCTGAACCGCACCGGTACGCCTAAATCGTATGCACGCGCCGTTAGCAAAAATATATCGCCATAAGTATGGTACAGTGTTTGACGTCGTTTTCTAACTTTTGATCGTAGTGTAATTTTTTCTCGCACCTTCAATTCTCCACTTATTTTGTCTAAAATAAATTTATTTTCGTAGTTACCGTTAATTATTTCATAGCGAACTTCATTATTAGGCGCGGTTGCGTCTTTATCTATGGCATGTATAATGGCTGGGGATGTAAAGCTTTTCAAATCTGGAGCTAATATAAATTCATACAGGTCCTTTTCAAAAATCGGACTTTCGTCATTCACGTCTATTAGTTTTATAACTAATGGCACCTGAGCACGATTGCCAGTACCATCGTTGTCGCGAGCTTCTACATATAAATGATATTCAGGCATGACTTCCCGATCAAACCCATGGTTACTGGTGGATACTGTAATTAGGCCAGTCTCGGCGTCTAAGTTTAATGATGTATTTAAATAACCCAATATAGCTGTATACCGTACATGACCGTCTAGATCCATCGAATCTACATCAGTTGCTTTAACTTGGACCACTTTTGTTCCAATAGTCATATTTTCTGGCAGCTCAACAGTATATATCGCCTGTTCAAATATGGGCGGATTGTCATTTACATCGCTTATATATACAGTGACGTTAACAGTCGTTGAAAGATTTGTGGCAGGTCCTAACTCTTGTGCTAATATTTGGAATTCTACAGAATGACGTTCTTCATAATCCAAAAGAATGTTGTCTCGTACGCGTATTAAAAATGTTGTACTACGTTCGGCAACATTGGGTGAAATTTCAAAAGTGCCATTATTATTAAGTAACGTTAAAGAGAAAACACCATTTTTTCCGGTATCATCATCATAAACTCGTGGCACGTAAGGATCGACGAATGTGAGCGCTGTACCCTGAGGTGCATTTTCATCCACTCTCGATACATAACTAAAATATACGTAAAATAAATTGGGAAGATTTTTGTAATCGAAATACAATATATTCTATTAAAAAATAGTTAATACAATAGAAATTTTCAACAGAAATTATGTTTCATTTCAACTCAACTTACTGATCATTTTCGAAATAAGGAGCCGAGTTAGTTCGTTCAGGTAAAAAGAAAGCCAATTGTACTGTTGAAGCCATAGCAGGAGGTTCGTTGCGGCCAACTTTAACTTCCTCTGCAATTACTGTGAGCAAGACTGGGTCTCCAACATGAGTAATTGCTGCAATATCCTCGAGGGGGCGCATCAAAAATATTTCTCCTGAAAATTACAAACAAATTCCAATTAAAAAATTTACATTTATATATGCAATAATAGTAGAACTTTTGACCAAAAAATTATTCTATAATATATTGGCACCAGCTATGCCTTGCCTTTTTTGAAAAGTAACTTTTTATTAAAAACCACCCGCGTCATTCTTTATTGTACATACATTTGTTTTATGGCAGACTAATGATAAAACGCAAGAGGTTTAGAAAAATTACGAAGATAACTGGGATATGTGGTGTTTATTAGATTTTTATTATTTACAAGCGATAATATCTGGAGGACACGGTAGCCGAATGGTTATCATTGCGTACTGCCATTTGGTAGGCTCGGGTTAAAATCCTCGTGTCGTACAAACATCCAAAAGAAGTTAAAGAAAATTAATTGAAATAAAAAATTAAGTTACATATTCTAGTTACGTTCGCGCCTCGGCAGGGTATGTCAACCGCTCCGAGTTTATTTCTGACATGAAATAAAGCTCCTCATAAAAAACCATCAGCCCTACAAAGGCGGCTTGGTATAAACTGTAGGTCCCTCCATTTGTTGGAAAAACATCAAGACGCAAAACCACAAATTTGAGGAGGAGCAAAAATCGCTTCAGCGGTTACAAAGCACCAATTATATACATATATATGATATCTACTTCTAAGTTTCGTAAAAATGTTCTATTTGCACTTCAAGACGATCCACTCCTTAATCGCTCGACTGACATTTTTTAGGTGAAATTAAATGTCAGCAATATTATTGACGCTTTATAAATCCACTTTATAGCTCCTCCACCTACAGTTTTTCTACTAAGCCGACACCAAACGGTTGATGGATGTGGGTCTGGACAAAATTCAATTACACGACTCTCCCTTTGTCAAACACAAGTTCTTACTTATTACTCTATCACTGTTTTACCTCGCTGCCAAATACAAATTAATATATACATTTGATTATATATATGGTCTTACCGCTAGTATCATTAATATCAAAAAAGGAAGTAAATGGATTCCCTTCCGAAACAAGACCGTATCGAACTTCCCGAGGACTCCCCTTATCGCCATCTTCGGCATGGACTTTAAGTATCTGTAATGAAGTGAATATCAATTATTTTATTCATGCTTATACAATAGGAGTGTGTTATTTCATTTACTTTTACATTTATCATTTAAATAATGAAAGAATAATAGAATATTCATAAATAAAATAACATTTTGTAAGTCAGGAATTTAAAATTTTACTATTTTGAACTATGAATAATTAAAAAGCCCACCAATGATGACTATGGCAGATTTAACGAATATTTTTAAAAAATAAAATAGCACAGAAAAATTATATAATAATACTTAAATATAATAATAAATTCATTTCTTTGTGAATATTATGAAGTAAGAGTCATAGTTAAATTATATTGTAAGCTTATTATTGATAAAAAATATTACACAAATATTTAATAAATTAAAACATTTTTTACATATAGTGTAAATTAAACCGTAATGTTTATTGTTTCTGAAAAATATACTGGTAGTCATTCGCAAAAGCATATAATTTCGAAAAACAGATTTTGATATGTCAATTACTGTAATATTACGTTGTACACCAATGACTGCCGACAGTTAGTCGGCATTCAACGGTACTTGTTTGAGCAGGCAAATCAAAACAAAAGAAACATTGTAGAAGTTTACAAGTATGGAAAGTGCTAATTTATTTGTTTAAATTGAAAAACAGCTGAGATCAACTGATTTCTAAATTATTTCCATTATTTCCTTTTCTTCGACATTTCATATTTAAATTTCCCTTATTCCATTACGATTTGCTAACAGATTCTTTACTCTTCTTTTTGGTACGACATTTTCTTTTTTGTTGATTATTTATATTATTTGTATTTATCCTGAAAATCTTTTATTTTAACGATGTCTGCATCATCAAAGAGGTCAGACATCATAACTCGTAATTTTGTTTAAAAAAACCCAATAATTATGGAATAAAGACGATGGCCAAAGGTAACCATAAATATACACTCCATAAAAAAGGGCAAGAACGCGATGAAGCAACATAAAATAAACGGCAGAAAGTTATTTTTTAGAAAAAGGACATATTCAATTTAGGCGGGCCAGATTGCTACAGTTGCTATTAGCACTTCATCAAACAAAATGTGGTGCAATCGAAGTGAAATTTCGGAAGTGGGACTGTTATGGTTTGGAGAGAATTTTGCTGCGATTCCAATTTTAATCTGTCACCCATAACTTGCTGCATGAGCTCTACTGCATACGCAGACGTACTCCAACAAAACCTGAATCCATTGTAGGGCAAGTGACTGAAATCGAATACGTATTCCAACTGGACAATGCCTCGATACAAGTGTCTTGGCCAACAAAGACATGGTTGGTGTGCCATGGAGTGCCGGCATTTAGTCCATATTGTAACACCATAGAAAATCTGTGGGGAGTAATAGCAGGGAAAGTTTACAGTAATGAGCGTCAGTACAGAAGCGTCAATGAGCTAAAAACCTCCATTCAACAATGTTGGCTTGATTTGAGCAGAGATTTGCTCAAAAAACTTATTGAGTCTATGCCAAGTCGCGTTTTTGCTGTTATTGAAAACCGGAGTGGCCATACCAAGTACTAAGATTTAGTTAAAGCTTGGAGTTTTTCTTGAAAATGCCGAATTTTTCGGAATAATGTTGAGTTTTTACTAATCACTTTTGAGTTGATAAAACTTTAAGTTGAAACAATATTGTGTGCCCTTATACGAATGTCTACAATTGTATAAAAATTATACAACATATTAAAAATAATTTTTTCAAGATTTTTGATGTTTCAGAAACTAATAATGAGAAACTAAAATATGTATATATGAATGTATGTTTAAGCATCATTATAGCATTATATTTTATTATATGTACCAAAATACAAAAAACAAAGGTAGTTTCGCTCAATATAAGATTGACACTTAACGATTTTTGACATTATATTTTAATTTCGTTTTAACTTCAAACAAGACTAAATCATTAAGGTGAGAGCATGAGAACAAAAATAATAATTGCAGGGTATTATTAGTTTCATTTAGCGTAACGACTGCCAAAATCATTAAAAACTAACTGGTTTTCAAAAATGCACAAATTCCTTGTTGCATTTTTTTCCTATAATTCTCAAGATGTGCACATATATAAAATCAAATGAAATTGATGCAAAGGAAACATAAATGAAAAAAAAAATGACAATCACCACGTGAGAATGGACAATCTGGCTTAGATGCCATAATAACTCCAGCTTATTAAATATACCTTTTCAAAAATCTTTCTTATACTCTGGCTGTGTGCCAATCGGTATCTTTTTTTTCATACGATTTCTCAAATGAAATTGTAAATTTTGCCGTAAAAATAATAAAAGCTTGTGAGGAAGTTGAATATATTTTTTGCGCACTGGTAAAAAATTAATGAATTACAAAGAAAATACATTTATTTTTACAATGTTTCTACCAATGCAACAAAAGCATTGAATTCAATTAAAGATTCGTTGTTAATTCCGAAATTCCGGCAGCGGGCCAGTCGCCGGGTAATACTTGTGACAATTACTCGTATGTCCGGTGATGAAAGGACAATTCGGGCACATTTAAGAATTTCTTGCAGCACGTTCACAAAAATTGTCCAATTGTATATATTTCCCTCAAAACATCACGAATATGAAGTTATTGCCTTTTTATATTTGATGTCAAGTGGCAGCAATCATTTATTGTTATTATTTATGTGTTATTAATCTCTTCATAGACCCCGGGGGCTAGGTAAAATTCTGACATTTATACTTACCACGAAAAATGTTAGAATTTCAATGTTGGCTGTCAAAATTTACAATATTCACCCGATTTGAGCATGGTCTCTTTCGTAAAAAGAATGCCTCCTGAGAATAGTTTTATTTGAATTTACGTGAGTGCATTTTATTTTTCTTCATTTTATGTTTACAATCAAATGTTTTGCAGCTTTTATAACATAATTTTTTAATTTTGGAAAGTTAAAAATTTTTATTTTACTAAATCAAATTTTTAGCACAAAAGTAAAGCAAATGTTCGTAGTTAATATTTATGAAAAAATATTTGACGAAACTTAGGAAGTTTTATCATGTATGCACATTTGTTCAAAAATAAAATTCTGTTCAATCAATCTTTTGAAAAAAAAAAAATCTATTGAAAATCAATAAACAAACAGAATAACATTAATTCAAATAAAAGAATATAATAGAATAAAGGATAAATATAAATGTATATTCCCTCAAAACTCATTTAACAACTCTACTTAGATGTATGTATGTATAAGTGAGTAATGTATAATACTCGATGCCTTACCTTATCGCCCGGAAGAATACCGGGTGGCAATTTTGTTACAGGTGCAGCTGACGTAAATACAGGTGGCTGATCCTGAACGTCTTGCACAATGACTACTACTTCGAGGCCTGCTATATTTCGACTATCTTGTCCAGGTTCAGCGTATGCATCCTATTAATTACAAAATAAAATGTATGAATTTTTTGATAAAATTTTATCTATGCATCCAAAAAATAATAATAAACGACATCCGAGGAAAACTGAGACTTAAAATTTTCGCTGTCTAAGTTATATTTATTAAAAAATTTACCTCCATTTGTGGTTCAATTAAAGTCTTAAGTAATCCATGTTATATTAATCGAGAGGCTAAGTATTGACAATATAATAGGAATTATGTAAACAAATGTTGTAAAATTTGGTCAACTTTCTTTGAGATATTGTTTTATGCCATTGGGATAAAAAAGTTAATTGGTCAAGGAATTATGTTAATTTCGAAATCAGTCAAAGGTATTCGTCCAATTTCAAGCATAATCAAATATTGCTTTTATATAGTCAAACACTAGTATTGATGAAATCTTTTGTATCTGGGGTGATTCAATTCGAAAAATATTCTAATACATTTTCTGTTCCTCTCACTTTAGTCATCGCTCCTCTAACGTCGTTGAGCCACTCGGATACCAAGGAGAGAGAGATTAAGAGAAAATATCGCACAATGCGGAGAAGTTTAGTCCAACTCTTCGAATTTTTTTGCGGGAGAACTATATATACATAAATACATATTACTATATATTCCCAGAAATGTGCTAAACTTTTTGTAAGATCAGTCTAAGGTGTTATCAAAGCAAGAGTATCTCCAATAAAGTCGGTTCGAGACTATCGTGCTATCCCTAAATAAGAACGCTAACGTTTTGGCGTTTTATGTTTTTCTTCAAGTTCGCATCATTTTATTGAGCATTCATTTATTTGAGCATTTAGTAAATTAGTTGCATTTAATTCGATGAAGATACTACGAACTTAAACGGTCAGCAAAAGTGTGTCTCCACCAATTGAATTAATTTTTCAGAGAATATTTATAATCTCATTTTATTTGTCAAATTTTTCTCCCATCTGCCTATTCCTCTTCGTTAGTTTTTTCTCGTTTCTTTCACACTGTTATGCTTCACATCTAACATCATCATAACATATAACACGATGTGAAAATTTAAAATTCTATTTGCTCAACTTTGATGCCGCGTTATTGTATGGCCAGGAGGATTTTTGACAGTTGTTTAGCGCTCAACGCTCCAATTTAGGCATAGCAGTAAATGTGTAAAATTTTACTCGATTGAAATAAGCTTCAGAATGCTTTCTCTATAAAGATTACGCGGTATTTTAAATACGATTCAAATTTTCTATTTCTCAAATATGTATGTATGGCAACGAGTGAATACCACTACCATAGTGTCGAAATTTATTTGTACTTACATTAGCTAATATAGTCAAATGATACATTGCTTGCTTTTCAAAGTCAAGTGGCCCCAGCAAAAACACGGTACCTTCTGTGGTCTCTGCGGATACAATTTTTTGCCTTATGGCAAAAAGAGGACTGCCCTGAAATGAAAGATATGTCAATCTATTAGTATAACATCAACCGTAGAGGATAATAACAACCATGATGAAATAAGTTCTTGTGCTTGCTTAGAAAACCCTAGGAAATTCAGCTAGCATGCCATAATACTCTCTCTAAGGAAGTTTCTAGCCAACAGTTAAGCCGTTGAAATCAACAGCGTTTAATGAGATTCGCAAGTAATTAAGTTATTAAAATGCGTTTTGATAAAAAACCAGCGGAAATTTTTTTGTAATTAATAACAGCTTCAAATGTGCTGCGCAGGATAAATCCTCGATGATTTTGCAGTTTCGACAGGTATTTGTTACTTCTGTATTAACTTCAAGGCCTTTATATTCATATGTTTTTTCTTGCGCATATTTCAATTCGGTTAGGCTGGCGGTTTTAAATTTCAGCTTCTGTATTATAATAGATGGCTCTACAGGCCAATTGCCCATCTAGGTCTAAACAAAGATATTTAACTTCATTGGATTAAGGAAATATTTTGTTGTTTAGCTCCAGTGTTGGACATGTTTACGTCTTTAACGTGAATGTGACAAGCTTACACTCTGTTTCTTTCAACTTGATGCACCAGTTTGAGTGGTTATCTAGTGCATTTGAAGTTAGAGCTTTTGTGCCCGGTGGAATGTGTAACAGTATTGGTAACAAAACGCTGCCACTTTTACTAAACCGACTGTTAGTAGGATAAGATAAAAAGATCTGATTGCAATTTGTCAGCAAGGTCATTTTAATTTTGTGGATGAGTCCTTCACATCATTCCTTATAGCCACATTAAGAAATATTGCTGAACAAAACTACTAATATGCAATTGACTGGCACTTTTAAAAAAGTTTATCAACAAACTAAGTAGCGTATATGATAACGGCAGTGTTGAGTCATTTCCGGGTTTGGTTATTTGTGATTTGCAAAGCCTGTTGCTTCCTTTTCCTAAGAAGGAGACCAGATCTTTCAATTTCTACTGGTCGCTATCGGCTTTTCAGATTTTATTTCTTTGCCAAGAATTCGACGTCGAGTTGCGCCACTTCTACAATTTTTGAAACCTTTTTCAGCAGCTTTTACCTTAGCTCTAACGAAATGGGTCGATAACCCTGACATTTATGACGCAATCGGCGTCGTTCCACCACATGGCGCTTTGACTAATGTTGGTGCTTTGGAGATTCTTCCCAGATTTTGGTGTTGCTACAGTAGCCGCTACCTATTAAGATCAAACAGTTTAATAAGTTTATATACACTTCAGCTTCCATTTGCACGTGATTGTTCAAGTATTTCTTGTACTTAAACCAATTTGCCCTCGGCGTTTTCAGGCGCTATCATTTCTCAACTATATTTTGTCCCTCTAATAACTTGATCCTAACTGGCAACTGCTCGGAGAACAATTCGACCGGCTTCAGTATTTATATTTCTATCAATATTTTTTCTTACTAAAAACATAGTAAGATCAGGTATTTCACTTTGATCACTTGAGCAATATATCGGTTACCTCGGAGAAATAAAATCAAGATGTTTTTGAATTCACGATATCTAGATGGGAACCCCACTGTGTTGGTTATGGATAACCGTGGTGGGTCTTTCATAAGATTTTAAGAAGTGATCTTTTAGTTTATTTTGAATGAGAATAGCTGTATTGCCATGTGCTTCGCCATAGTTTGTGCTGTAGAACTTATTGCCAACAATGTGAAGTTCCACTCGTTTCTTAGATGCGTTGACCCTTTCGCGTTACATTTACAGATCTCTTTAGCTCACTCATTTTCGATTTGCGAAAGCAAATAACATCGGCCTTTTTTTAGTTCTTAAATCATTTTATTTTGCACGATATTCATAAATTAGGTTTTCTCCAGATAAGTTTCATTGCTTCGCTCTATACTATTCGCAATGGAGACAGTTTCATGGAATTTATTTATTTGTTATTAATGTTGAACAGATTGTGTTGCAGTTTCTTGTATTAAAGGTTATGGTTGCGTCGGTTATTATAAGCTGCATTATTTTGCTCAAATCATAGAAGATAATGTATTTGGAGGTCAAATTTAATAAAAAACATCAATGAAAGAGACCTATATGCGAGAAAACGCTAGAACCACTACCCAAATTGAAAACATTTCGGTGAGCTCAGATTATTAGGCGATTATAGGCGATTAAATTATAGCGCGCTCTTCATCCATTTTGTGCGCTGTTTGACGTCAGAAATACTAAGGTATTCCAAGTTACTCTCCACCTGATCCTCCCAACAGAGTCGACGTATTTCTCTTCCGGCGAGTACTGCAACGAGTACTTTCAAAGCTGGAGTGCTTTCATGCATTCGGACGACATGACCTAGCCAGCGTAGCCGCTGTCTCTTCATTGGCTGAACTATGTCAATATGACCATATAGCTCGTACAGCTTATCGTTCTATCGTCTGCTCTATTCGCCGTTGCCAATGCGCAAAGCACCATAATCGTTCGCAAAATCTTTCTCTCGAAGACTCCCGAAACCGACTCATCAGCAGTTGACATCGTCCACGCCTCTGCGCCATATAGTTTCATTTTCGTTCGCCGAGAAAGGACTTTACTTTTCAATTGCCTACCAAATCCAAAGTAGCACCTGTTGGCAAGTGTGATTCTGCGCTAGATTTTAAGGCTGACATTATTGCTGGCGTTAATGCAGGTTCCAAAATAGACGAAATTATCTACGACTTCAAAGTTATGGTTGTCAACAGAGACGTGTGAGCCAAGTTGCAAATGCGATGACTGTTTGTTTGTCTAGTTCTCGTTCACTACCAGACCCATTCGCTTCGTTACTTTATCAAGCCTGAAGAAAGCAAAACTAACGGAGCAGCTGTAGAGGCCGATATTGTAAATATCATCGGCTCACGCCAGTAGCTGTACACTCTTATAGCAGATTGTACCTTCTCTAGTCAGCTCTGCAGCACTTATTATTCTCAATAATACAATTACACACAATTTATTTAACAAGAATGCGTTTAAACAATTATTCAAAAACATATCGAAAAGTAGCGTTTATCCCAAGCAGTGAATATGTTTGAAGAATTGTTTGAGGCTCGAGAAACTTATATATACAGGAAACGGAGTTGTTGTTCAAGCGTATGTTAAAAATATAACTCATACGGGCGTTTATTACAGCTGAAGCGATTTTCGGCCGAGCTCCTTCTTTCGACTTATGGTGTGCGCCTGGATTTTTTTTCATCAGTGGATGGACTTATAATTTATGCTGAGCCGCTAACGGAATCCAATTAATATGAGAGATACACTCGAATTTTTTTTATAATATAATATACATACTTAAATATCTATGCATATGTAAGGTAAAGTTCCAGATTTATAACAGAATATTTTTTTATTTGCTTGTATTAAATTTTTGGCTAAGTTTCTAGTGTATTTATTATGTAAGGTTCAAAAAACTACTTTTAAAATTTCCGTTTGACCACCTTTGTTGAACAATTTTAGGCACTGATCTGCTTTGGGATTGAACCCGTGTCTCTCATAAATGAGGGAAATATTAAATTATTGACAAGAAAGAAAAATTTCAACTGCCTTTTGGTAGTTACTCAGATTTCTACTTACCCATAGTTCAAGGTAAACTGGCTTTTGAAAAAGTGGATTTTTCCGTGCAATTACATAGTCCAATTCTGTACCACGCTTTGCATCCTGAAATGCCAATATCGAAGAATGTGTTTTGGATAAAATATTTGAAAGTTAATAAAATAAAATTACAAATAATATTTGGATATTCAAGTCTTACCTCGGGAATCATGATTATACCCGGCTTGTGAGGAAATATGAGGTCATGAGGTGTAGTAAAATTAGTGGCAGTAATGGAGCACAACTGACTAGCCACTCCACCTTTAGTATCCTTTACAGATACCTGGAAGTCATAATAGCGTCCTGGTTCCAAACGGCGCTGTAACACGACATTTGCTTGGCAAACAGAATTGTACTTTGTGCATGGAAGTGATTCAATTTTAATAGTGGCTGACGCTGCATCTCCTATCAATTCAAATGTCAGTGGATAGTCAAACTCTTCGTCCGTGGCACGTAACCGATATATTACAGATCCAACTTGTGCATCTGCCGGTACTAAAACTAGTCGCATGCGTGTCGATGGATCAAACTTTGGATCCACACAATCAACTATGTGTAAAGGAAAAATGATGCAAACCAGTATGCCGATTATCCATATCCGATACACTGTCGCCGTATTTCGCATAAATATGCAAAATGGTAACAATGTCGACGTACAATGAACCGAAAAGTGTGAAAGTAAATGATACGTGGCCCAATTTTTTGATTTAACTGCCATTCCTTGTATGTACGGACTGATTTTATTGATGTATTGATGTGGCTTATGCTTTCTTCTACTATTGTGGCTGGAAGTCATTGCCGTTAAATTGTACTGACAGAAGAGTTTCTGAAAAAAAAATTCATATAACTATATAGGAAATGCTTAAAAATTATTATATATGTATGTATGTATATCATCAAATTCATCACACAATATATCAGTTTTCTGATGTTTTTAGTGAAAGAGAAAAATAAAGAGGAACGTCGAGGATTCAGAACGGAAAGATATCATTAGTTTGTAATTTTAATTATTTTATGACCTCGTGAACAATCACGTATAAGTATAACATTCCTTCCTTCCTACTAAAATAAGGATGCCCATATTCGAAAGAATGCGATTTTGTCCACAAAATTTATTTACTTCTTCCAAATATCACTCTATTGTTTTGGGGTGGGATTAGTTGAATTTGGAAGAAATACCACTGGTTAAAGATTACCTAAACTACATGTCGCTGATTTGTGCCAAAGCCGCAACGGAAGAGAGGGCAGAGCTGAGCAAGGATGAGGGTCTAGATCATGCGTATGGGCACTGCTCGCGCCACGAAGTGCAAATTGTGATTGGCGACTTTAACGTCAGGGTGGGCAAATAAGGTACAACAACAGTTTAGAAGTTCAACATTCATGACGGAAAATCCCTAAACATAATAAATCTGGTCGAAGTCACCGAGCCTGAAATTTGGTTGTCCGCAACCAGACTGCAGATCGAAATCTGAAAACGCGCAATCAAATAGCTCATGCTGTGATATCAAAAAGCTGTAATCATAATAGACTTCCGAGCGGTTTTTTACTGGACTTGCACAACTGCTTTCTGAGAGCATTTATTAACAACTCACAAGGTCTGTTTCTTTTGGTGAGCAAGACTGTGACGCTGCTTTTGAGGGGACCATATGGAAAAGCCAGATGGTGGAAACAAAGACATCGCAGAGCTTCGTAAAAGCAATAGAAAACTCTTCAACGAAGACAATTGAGCTAGTTCATGGCAAACCTCTAAATACTCCCTAAGAGCGCTCAAGAAAGCTGTCAGGAAGGTACATAGAGAATCTCGGTAATCCGTCTGTCCTTATCTAAAAAGCAACCCTGAAGATAAGAAGCTAAGGAAAGTCCTTTCCAAGAGCTTTGCCATTCTGGACTATGTCTCTACTCACTTCTCTGAATGCTCCGAATAATGTCATGCTTTTCCAAGCTACTTCACAGAAACTTTGGACTTGGAGTACACTAAGTGAAACTGCTTTGGTATCTCCCAGTCAATACGTTGCTTATCAAACTAAGAAGCATGGACTGGGAGTTGATATAATACGCTGACGACATCGCCCTCACATCGACTGGAAAACATCCCCAAGTTGTATGTGATCTATTCCAAAAGGCCTTTTATACAGTACGTAATTGGTGTGGTCTGGATGTTAATCCCTCAGAGACCGAGGCATTAACATCGATATCACTCTTTCACCGAGGCCAAACATCTAGGTACAATCTTTGGTAGTCAACCCCTACGAAAGTACTTGAAAGGCTGACATCACCGCCGTTCAGGAAAAGTGATGGTCGGGACAAGAACCTTGTGAAATTTACTAATTTACTACAAAAGCAGATCCATCAAGTTGTGATAGACGAAAGACATGTCTCCAGTGGAATAAGCCTACTGCCGTGGAATAAGCCTTCTAACATGGCATATAAGATTCTATCAAGCGTATTGTGTGAAAGACTAAAGCCCACCGTCAACAAACTGATTGGACCTTATCTGTGTGGCTTCAGACCAGGTAAGTGAACCATTGACCAGATATTCAGCATACGCCAGCACGAAAATGAGCTGCTTCTACGCAGCTATGTCTGAATTTTGTATCTTCGCAAAATTTATACGACTGTATAAACTGACCTTAAGTAGCACTAAAAGCTCCGTCAGGAACGGGAAGGACTTCTCCGGGCCGTTTGATACCAAACGAGGTTTCAGATTGTGACACAGTGTGACTTTTTTAACTTATTGTTGGAGAAAATAATATGAGCTGCAGAGGAATAGAGAATTCACAATATTCTACAAGAGTGTACAGCTGAGGCCGATTGGCCTTAACAACCGCGCAGTGAGTTCTGCTATTTCCAAACTTGATAAAGAGCGAAGCGAAGGGTGAGTTAATGAGTGAAGGCAATACCAAAATTCTTCTGTTATCAAACAAACAGTCATGGCTCTCGTGACTCGGCTCTCACGTCACTGTTGACAATCATAACTTTGAAGATATTTTCGTCTATCTAGGGGCCACCATTAATACCAATAAAAACGTCAGCCTTGAAATCCAATGCATTATCACTCTTTCCGACAGGTGCTACTTTGGACTGAGTAGGCAATTGAAAAGTAAAGTCCTCTCTCGGCGAACGAATAGCAAGTTCTACAAGTCGCTTATCATACCGGTCCTACTATAGGGCGCAGAAGCGTGGACGACGTCAACATCTGATAAGTCGGCTCTTGGAGTCTTCGAGATAAAAGGTTTGTGAACGATTTATGGTCCTTTGCACTATGTCAACGGCGAACACTGGAGACGATGGAACGATGAGCTGCACCAGCTATACCATGATATTGACATAGTTCAGCGAATGAAGAGACAGCGTCTACGCTGGCTGGGTCATGTCGTCCGAATGCATGAAAGCACTTCAGCTTTGAAAGTATACGAAGCAGTAGCCGCTGGTGGAAGCAGAGGAAGAGGAAGACCTCCACTCCGTTGGAAGGATCAGGTGGAAAGTGACCTGGCTCCACGTGGTATTTCCAACTGGCGCCTGGCAGCGAAAAGAAGAGAGGAATGGCGCGCTAATATCGATTCGGTTATGACGCGTAAGCATTGCCAACGCCAATAAAGAAGAAGAGGAATAGAAAGCCAGAGTTAATAGACAATTAGTTTTTCTAATTGTGTATTTCTGACATAAAATAGAAGCCTCTCATAGGTCTCTCGGTCGAAAATCGTATGAGCATACAAAGATAAAAAATTAATTTAAATATTGTTAACTATTATTAACTATACTGATGTAAATGATCGTGATGAGACTATGGTACAACATTTTTTAGATCTTAAGGAAACTTTTGAGATAAACACTGATAAACATGCAAACACAAACAAATACGTGATAGAACCTAATATTGCAAAATAAACTGATTAAATTTCTAAAACTTGACCCGAGTAGCCCTTGCAGTCTTGTGAGCAAAACATTTGCTGAGAAAATCGCTAAAACGAAGAAGAGATTAGCCATTCTACATGGTTTTGGTGGTGGAAATTGATAATAATTAAATCAATAATTATCATACATCTTACGTCTGAAAATGCACTTCTCAGGAAAGATGTGCTATATAATTCAAATTCCCGTCTTATAATTGCCTTGAACAAATACGTTGAACTAATGTGACTAATGAAAACCGTTGGAAAGCATAATGTGCAAATAGCGTGGACTTTAAGCTAACAGTCATATATAGTTCCCTTTTCCAAACAATTATTCACATCTGGAATTCGAACTACATATATTGTTAGCAAGTAATATAATATAATCAGACAAAGTGATTCGGCGGCAGTAAATCGTTTTCATGTGAAAAAGCATAAGGAATTAAAATCCTATTTTTACTTCTTGGTTGGTTAAAAATTTTTAAGCACAATTTTGTGTGTGTGCATTGGCAAGGTGGTCGCGCCCCAGGCTAACTTGCAAACGATGTGATAGTAGCGATTGCCTGCACAAGATGCAATCCCAAGACGATAATTTATGCAAACTTATACAGATTTTAGGTGATACTGTCAAATCACCATATGATAAAACTATAAAAACTGAGTATCACATGCCACAACTGCGGAAATAAGATTATATAACAGTATATAGTATGAATATTATATTAACAAGCCTATTCTGTCGAGGTAACAAAATTTACTTTGGTATTAAAATTTACCATTCAGTAAATTTTGTTACTGTTTCGTATTCTTAGTTCTTTGTCACCCTGTAAATTTTGTTACCAGCGAAATGGGAGGTAACAAAAAATCCACTGTTTGATTATGTGTTGTTAGTTTGAGAAAAAAATTAAGCATATTTTAAGTCTGGAATTCATTGAAGATGGAGAAAAAAGTGAAAATGGCGTATGCTAAATAGTTGCGAGAAAAAAATTGCCCTTTTAATTTGTAAGATAGTGTTTAAAATCAACTTTTTTGTCTTGGCATATTTTCCATTATTCGGTTTGATTGTTTATGACTTAAAATGCAAATAAATAAAACATATTTATTTTATTCTTCTCTTCAACTGGCAAATGTAATTTGACACGAAGGAAAGCTGCCAAAGTTTTTTCAAACGTTGTGATCAGTTCGCCAGAATACCAAATTCAATTTCGGCTGTTAAAAAAAGCAACAAAATTTACTTTACCGGTAACAATGAGAATAGGACACAATTCTATTTCATCATATACATTTCGATCTTTATCCGACGTTTTCAGTAAATCTGTATTATTCAAAGCCCTACTGGATACTAAAGCCAGTCACATTCTCAATTGATGGAGTCATGCCACCATACGACCGCCACCCGCTGATGGTAAAAGCATTATAACATTAACCAGAACAATAACTGAAAATCTAAGAGATTGGGATAATAAATGAATGAATGATTTACAATGGTCCATGAATTCTCACCACAAATTCTCGCATCGAGAAAGCTTGAGCCAAATGGAAAACAATTTATACTGACATATACTCATTGGAATTACCCGTTCATATTGAACAAAACTTATTGTACATGCTCTTCTTCCTGTAAAAGGAGATGACTGACCAAAGATCAATAACTGTTTCCAATTTTTTTCTAAGCCGCCAGATGTTTCGCCCGAAATTAGCAGCTCAAAATCTTTAAGTACGTGGTTAAGCCTCATGGTGAGATAGTGCACACAAGACGGTTTTTGGAGTAGTCAAATGGAGAAAAATAGAAAAACTCTTTAAATTTAAAATCTTATTTACATCATTCGTGTTCTTCTGAAACAGACACATTTTCATAAGAATGTCCAACATATTTGTTAGGCAGTGTCCTTTAATATGTATTTCATAATGGGTGTACGAAAGGTTAGCTATT